TAATCTTTTAAGGTGTGGCTGTCTTTAAGTTTTTCTTATATTCCTTTATAAGAATAGGAATCTTTAAATTCTAGTCTCCTTCTGTAAAATTAAATTACTATATAACTTTTTTAAAATATATATTATAAAACAGATAGATTAAACGCTCTACATAATTCCTAATAATCTTAATCCCTAAGAACTATTTAGTATCTCCCCCTTTATATAACTTATACTTAGCCTTAATCTAGCGCTTAATTTTAAGGAAATAAGCTTTATCTTCTTTATAGTAGGCAGTAAGAATATTATTTATATAGAATTCTATAAACACCTTCCTATCTAGCATATAAAAGAGGCATAGCTCTTTAAGGCATGCTTCTATCCCTAAATTTATTAAAGTTAAAAAGAACTTATTAAACTATAACTTTAGCAAATCCCTAAGACTATATAAAGCTTTCTTAAGCTCTAGATAGGTATTAGCTTTATAAAATCCCTTTAGCATTTATATTATAATAAGGAGGCTATCTCTATCCTAGAATATATTAATAAATGCATTTTTAATATTATACTGCTTAATTTTAAGCTTAAATCTTACAGCTAGAGTAATTAGTATATAAAATAAACATACTGTAAGTATAGCAGTATATATACTCTTAATTATAAATTAGTTTTATAAATCCCCCCTTACTATAAGTCTTACTTTACAGCAGTTAAGATAGCTATCTTAGTTAAACTTATAGGTAAACACTTATCTTATTAGTAATAGTATTATTTTTACTTTATTAATTAGGATCTTTTTTTATATTCCTTTAAATTATAATGCTTAAATCTTAACTCTTGCGGCTTCCTTAAACTTCTCCTTTAATAAATACTTCTATATCTCTCTCTAGCTATTTAGTAGCTTAGCCAGGTTATTAAAGTAAATACATAGCTTACTTAATGCCGCTCTTATTTTATAAGCGCTTTTCTACTTAGCTGCTCTACTAAGCGTTATAAAAATAGTTTTAGTAATTTTTATATTTACATTAAATAGGCTAATTTTATTAAGCTATATCTTATTTAATAGTAATTTAAAAAAGCCTATAATAATAGTATAGATCTTATCCTTAACTTTATTTTATCTAGTTCTTCTTTTTTAATTAAGGGAATAGTTATTAACTGCCCTTAAAGGTTATTTTTTATAAAGCTATGCGCTTTTATGCAGTAGAGTAAGGGGTTAGACTTCTTCCTAAAGTAGAACTTTATCTTTACTATTATTAACGCTACTTTTTACTATTATAAATCCCTTTATAAATTTAGCAGCTTCCTTAGCTTTTTTTAAAGCTTATAATTACTGCTAGATCTGCTTATTTTTATTAAATTCTAGCATTTAAGGTTCTTTAGCTATAACTCCTTTAAGGGGCTGACTTCCTATTAGCATTTATAGTTAATCCTCTGCTTAGCTACTTATATTTTATATACTAGCTAAGCGCTTAAGAGTATACTCCTGCTTTAGCGCTAAGGCATAATCTAGCTCTCTTTTTAAAGTATTATAAGGCGTATTTAGCCTTATAAGCGCAGGGGCTTCCTTATTTACAGCAGTAGGTCCTTTTATTATAATTTAAGGGATTTCCTATACTTCTTTCTCTACCCCTTAGCTTATATACACTACAGGCTGCTTAGCAGGTTCCTTTAAGTTATAAAAATAAAGGCTTAACAGCAGTATTAAGATGTTAATATCTTCCTCTTTTAAGATATTATTAAATAGCTTATTTAGCTGCTTATTAAAAAGCTTAAGAGCTAGCAGCTTCTGCAGTTTAAAAAATATAGTCTTATTAAATATAATATTCCTAGTTTTTAAGACCCTGCTAAGTTAAGGAATCTAGATATAATATATATTAAAAGCAGAATAGCTAATAAGATATCTAATTAAACCTCTAGGGCTTGTTTTAAATAATTTCCTATTCTTATTTGCCTTACATTTTTTATTTAATGCATAAGCATGGCAGCTATATATATAAATCCTGCTTTAGTTTAGCCTTAAGTCTGCTTTATAATAATAAATTTTTAAAGGAGTAAAATCCTTAAACTAATATTTAAGGCAATCTATTAGACTAAGTATTCTATTAGCTTAAGATAGGCTTATATTATATAAATATGCAGCTGCTGCTATACTTTTAGGCTAAAGGTTTATTAGTAAATTAGCTATAAAGATTATCTTAATAAATTTAACTGTTATCTCTTTATTAGCATGCTCTTTACCCCTGTTTAGCTTATAGGTGTAAGGAGGTGCTAATTTAAAAATAAGGCTATAATACTCTACTTCCTTTTAAAATAAAGACTTGCCCTAAATTATAATTATAGCTTTTTTATTATCCTGCTGTAAGATAATAATATTAAGTCTATATTATCTCTTTATATAGCTAATAAAGTTAAAAAGAGTATAAAAAATTATAAGTTACTTTTTATTAAGCAGCGGCTGCATATATATCTATCTGCTATATTTATCTTTAATTAAAAGGAGCTAATTACTTCTATTAAAACCTAGATTATAATCCTAAAGATCTTAATAAAGTTGCTAAAAGGGTCTTAGTAAGCATCTCTTTAATAGTCTTTTTAAAATTACTTACTTAGCCTTAGCTAAAGTATAAAATTTACAGTCTAGCTGCTTAATTCTATTAATTTATATATTCCTTATATAATATACTATTACCTTAAGGGCAGCTGGTCTTAAATAGCCTAATTGCAGATATTATAAATATTTAGAGTTAGATTTTAAAAGAGGTGGATCTTTTAATAGTCTTCTTCTTCTTATTATATTATAAATGCCTTAATCTAACACTCTATTATATATAGCTTTAGTAAGCTATATGCTTATATAAGAAGGGGAAATAGGGTTATATTAAAGGAATAGTAAATTATGCTTATATATAAGCTTAGCTAACACTATTTAGTTAGCAGGCTTTTTAAAGTGTAGTAAGTAATTATAACCTAAGTACTAAGCTCTTAATTAATGTAAGCAAGCTTTTAAGACTATATTAATATAAAAGCCTTTAATAATAATAATATTTTTAAGTATAAGATCTATTTTTAAATTTCTATCCTCTCTTTTTAGTGCTCCTTTAATAACCTTTATGCCCTTGCTAAATATAGGGAATTATATAGTGCCTGCTTTTATAAAGTCTCTGCTTATATTAGGAATAAATATTCCTTTTTTAAGTAAGTTAATATTATTAATTAGATAAAAAGCGCTATAAGAATCTAGCAGGGTGCTTTATAAAAGCAGATAAATGCTATTTTTAAATATAGTATATATCCCTAGTCTGCTTTTTAAATTAAGAAAGCTAATAGGGTTAATAAGCGCTGTAATTAGTCTATTAGGTATAGACTTAATTAGCTTAGGGCTATTACTGCTATAATCCTGCGCTTAAAAAAGATTCTTTAAGCGTAACTCCTTCTAAGTGTTTAATTAATAGTAATTATAAATAATCTTAATATAGGCCTTAAAAGGTATACTATATATTTTAAGATTCTTCTTCCTAGTTAGGGCATATTTTAGCTTTTAGTATTACTTAGGTGGCTATGCATAACCTTTCTCTCTCTTATCTTTATAAGGATATTCCTTAAAAAATAAACCTTGCCTTCTACTGCTTAGTCTGCCCTTAACTGCGCCTTTAAAAGCATTTAATCTTCTAGTTAATATAAGATATATTCTATTCCTTTTCCCTACTAGTTAATATTTTATAATTATATAAAATATAGCTTTATACTAATATAAGGAAGAAATAAAAGATATTTTAGTTATTTTTAAAATTATAAGCTTATTTAAGGCTTATATTACCTAGGTTAAGGTAAACCTAATTAATACTGCGCTTAGGAAATTAATAATAGCTATATTACTTTAGATCTTTAAAATCTGCAGTTAAGATGCCCTTACTGCTGCCTTAAATTAATAGTTAAATTAAGCTTAAGGGTCTATTTCTAAGGCATAGGCCTTATTTAGCACTGCTTAGTAGCTCTTCTATATAGCCTTAAAAATACTTAAGTTACTAGGAGTGATTATCTTTTTAAGACCTTTTAGGAGCTTGCAGATTATAATAACTTTATATTTATTAATCTCTCCCTTATTATTCTTTTTAAGAGTATCTTTAAGGGCTTAATAGATTCTTTTACTAATAGTTTTAATAATCTAAAAGCATATAGTATTATTCTTCTTCTTTAGATTAAAAGCATTTAATTATTTAAATTAGAATTTAAGAAGCTAGGCATAATATATAGCTATTATCTCCTAAAGCTTTAAAGGCAGATTATCTTTACCTAAGGCAGCTGCTAGCTTTTACTTTATATCTTCTTATAAAGGAACTTTATTAGTTATAAAGTTATTGCCAGCAGCTAATAAAAGCTTAAGATTAATCTTCTCCTAAATCTTATATGCTTAAGTAAAAGACTTAAGTGTTTTAATCTAATTTAATTAATCTAGTTATGCTATAAGCTTAACTAATGCCAGCAGCATAGCTAAGAAATCTTTAGTTAATTCTATTATAAGATTTAAGGAAAATAAGCGTATAAATATAATAAAACAGTATAAAAGGCATATAGGAAGTTATTAATAAGGTACTCTTACACCACCTAGGCTTATAACTGTAATAATTTAGGGCTAAAAATAGGATTATTTAAATAGCCTTATATTAGAAAGAGGAAGAAAAAGGAAAAATACTGTTATGGCTAGCTAAATATATTTGCCTACATTCTAGGGCTCTGTATTTATGTTCCTGAGCATATAATCTAAAGGCGCTAGTCGCCTTTAGGCGCTCCTGAACGTCACAATCTGTTAGTCACGCTTCGACATCATTAAGAACAACGACAGAGGCATTGGATCAAGTTATTCAGATATTTATATATATATATATATATATCAATCCGTGGATCTCTGCTCTAATTGCCTCCTTCTTCTCATCATCTAAGCATATATCACTTCGAAACAGCTTCATCCTCCACCTCCCACCATGTCTCTCGCAGATCCTCCTCAACTCAGCTCGAGCTCCATCAGGATCCTCCTCCTCAACCCCAACTCTTCCCGCTCCATGACAAAATCCATGGAATCAGCCGCCAACTCAATAGCAACTCTGTCTCCAGTAATTCTGCCAGCCCATCCATTGTAGTCCGCCAATCGTCTCAGCTGACTCCTTCGAGTCTGTCTCCATCAGCACCTACACGGCCCCTGAGCCGTCTCCTGCCAGCATCGACAATGCCGAGGGCATCCATGCCAGCGTTCAAGCGGTGATCAACGACCCAGACTTCAAATCTCGTCTCCAATCCGAGGCCTATGATGCTGTGCTTGTTGCCTGCTTTAGCGTGCACCCCCTCGTCAAGCACCTTGCCAATGCCCTTAAACCGGTTCCCGTAACGGGTATTTTCGAAGCCAGCATCCTTACTGGGCTGTCTCTCGTTCCTCTTGTCGAAGAGGAGCAGCAGAAATGGGGCATCGTCACGACGGGGGCCTTCTGGGAGGCTCACCTTGCTAATGGAGTTGCCGCTTTCCTGGGACAGGCACCATCTCCGGCATCTACCACAGGTTCATCAAGCTCCAGTGACGGCAGATTTGCCGGCGTCTTTTCCACCGGCCTCAATGCTGGAGACTTCCACACCATCTCACAGGAGCAGGTCAACGTGCGTCTCAGAGAGGCTACCAAGCGGCTGCTGTCCGCGGGAAACGTCACCTGTGTCGTCATGGGCTGCGGTGGCATGGGCGGCCTGCAAGACATGATCCGCGCCATCGTCGTCCAGGAGTACGGCCAGGACAAGGCCAGAGACGTGGCCATTGTTGACGGAGTCCAAGCCGGAGTGCTACAGCTGCAGCACGCGGTGCTCAGCCGGCGACTCTTTGGCGTCAAATAGGCCGCAGCCGGCTCTTGTGCGACTCAAGGAGCGACAATGACACCCCTTGTTTGTCCATTGACTCGGCCTGCTGCTCTCTTGCACGCCGGTTGTCACTCATTCCCCTGTCAATGTTGCGGTGTGAAAGCGGCCCCCTCCAATACCCAGAGTCCTGGACAATGCTTGGCTCACCGGCCGTGCGTGTACGACATCCAGACGCATGCATACCTGATATGCATTTGCATCATTTACCGCCTCCGGTGTCCCGATTCTCTTGTTGGAATAGCAAACAAAGCGTGAATACAACCTGACTCTTAGAACATGACACGCTGTGTCAAACGCTTGCTCCAATCAATTCCTGTACAGACGTTGCTGGTGCTTCTCAAACACAGCGTCATCGTCACTTGCAAGGCCGCAACTCTATGATCACTCTTGGGAAAGCCGGCGGTTACTCGTGCTGTCTCTTGTTTTCAGTCTTGAACCGTCTCCTCCTGCCCAAAACTGCTGCCGCCGTCACGTCTTACGTTTCTCGCGCCGGTTGCACGTCCGTATCACCGAGCCTTCATCTTCCGCTTCCTCCTCGCCCCTCCCCTCGGGTTGTCTGCACACCCTCATACAGATAGCTCTGCCTTGCTTCCTCCCGGCGATATCAGATGCGGCTATCCTTTGCCATCTAGTGCCATCTAGGAGCGCTTGCACGACCGCAAGAGACATGAACCTCAAGATCAACACAGCCAAATGATTAGGGAGGAGGGTCTTTTCTACTACATTCATCCTGCCGCCGTACCATTGCACAGCTTATCGTACGGCACAGATTCTCATTTTGACACCTCGTGCCCGTGTACTCGATCCATGTTGCTCATGCCCTCCATCTATTACATACACGCCTCCCTCTTTGCATCTCCTCCGCCCCCGTCTCCAGCTGCCCCTCTTGAGAAATCGAGACAATGTGTGGAAACTGGACTCACGGCAAGCGACGTGATCTTCCAAAGAAAACACAGCAACCCCAAAGACGTGAAACAGATGGTGCCCTTGACGGCGCATGCGGTACAACAAGCGCCTATGGGCATGTGTGCCCCCCCTCCCCCCCTGTATCCCGGTGCGCTCATGTTTTTGTCTCTGAGTCTCATCCGTCATCCTAAGCAAACCTTGGGATAGTTTTATTGGTTATTTTACGACTGTTTGTAGTGAAGAATGGGGATACTGTCTGTGTCGTGAACTTGTGGAAGAGAAGAATACGATTTGTAACGTGGTTCTATGAAAGAGACAAGTGCCGCCTGTATTGTGATGTCTAAGTACGTTCTGTGCAGTTAAGAAACTGGCTTAATGTGATTTTGATGTCTAGTTTTTTCCATGTTCTCCCGGCTGTATGCGGCTTCAGTCCAAGGAACGTCTGGCCTCAACGTTGAGGATGGGACCAGACGAGAGAGACCTTGGATTTATACCAGAAAAGCCACTTCATTACATTTTCCATTTCTTCAAAACTGCTAACGACAACAATCAATTCGATCCCTCTTTAGCATACACAAACCCAATCCATTAGAAAGAGGAGAAGAGAAGAGAACATTCGCAGCCGTTTCCTCCACAGTCGCTCGCTCGCCATGAGTTGCCCTCCCGTTGTGTCCGGGCCAATCTCCAAGTTTCTCTCGTCGTGCTTTTGGTTCTTCCTCCCTTCCCTCCACTGGTAAAGAAAAGATGGCCACTTTGTCTTTCCCTCTACCGTCATGAATGCCTAAGAAGGCATCACGGGGGTGAAGTAGGTAGACGGCGGGGTAGGCTCGTAGAAGAAGAGCTCATATGATGAACTAAAGATAACTCAATAACATGAAATCAAGTAAATAAGGTGTGAAACAAAACACGCGGAAGAGTGGAAATACGAGAAAACAAAGGAAAAAGTAGGAGTCGGCCGCAAGTAGGGAGGATAGAGAAAATGTGGCGTAAAGAGCCGCACTTGCATAGTGTTCAGAGTTCAAGTCGTGCTTCACTCTCTCGTAGAAGGCCAATAAAGTAAAAGAGGCCGCCGCCAGCATCTTGGCTTCTTGTGCGTCTCTGGTCGATGCCGAGATGGGTGGAAGAAAAGAGGATAAGCCGAGTGTTCAGCTGCCGTAGGAGTGTGGGTGCTCGGCGGTAAGGGGTCTCTATTCTCTCAGTGTTTGACCCTGAGAGATTCGTGTGGCTTCCATGGCCCAGTCTCGTGTGGAAGTCAGAAGAAAGGGTGGGTTTCGCAAAGGCGAGACACGAGGGTGGCGTTGTGCCGCGTTGAGGTTCTTTTTTGCGAGGAGGCTTTCTCTTTGGGTGTAGGGGTCCTTTTTTTGGTTCGTTATTTTCAAAATGTTTTGCAGGGTGTTTTTTTTGTTGTTGCAACGCTCGCTTGTTCATCTGTATTGTTTGCCATGTTTCATTGTAGTTTTTGTGATTTTGAACGCCACCCAGGGGGAAGATGAAGATGAAGCTGAAGATGAATACACCGAGGCAGAACACAGATGATCTGATGGAAGAAAGCAATGGAAAAGACAATTAACTTGTCCCAGTCGTGCGAACAAAAAGAAGTGCAACAGAAAAAAAAAAAAAAAAAAAAAAAAAAAAAAAAAGGAAGAGCAGATGCAAAAAGCAAGCAAGGTATTACACAGCGAAACAGTCCAGCCTCGACAGCAAAGCAGCAAAGGGCAATGAAACAGCATCAGCTCCGCATACCAGACTTGCGCTCATTCTCCTCGCCGCTCAATCCATACGGCGAATGCCCGTGGCTGCTCGTCAGATAGCCGCCCAGAGCAGCAGCCCCCGTGTACGTGCTCGCGTAGCGCCTCGTCGTGTCTATGTACTTGTACGTCATCTCTGGTGCCGTCATCCTCGTCGGCTCTTCGGATGGCGCCATGATGGAGTCGAGGGACGCGTTCGCGGCCGTGGTGTAGGCTTCGCTGCGGTGGAGGTGCGAGTTGGAGGCGGTGGGTGTTGGGTACGAGGATAGGGGGGAGCTCTCGAAGGGGGTGTAGGCGGTTGCTGGCTCGGAGAGGGCCGCGGGGGAGGAGCTACCTGTGGAGGACTGGGATGTTTTGCTATAGGCCGAGGAGATGGACTCGGCTCGATAGGGGTGCTGATGCTGATGCTGATGCTGGTGTTGGTTTTGGTGCTGGTGCTGGTGCTGCTGGGGAGCGCTGGTCAGGGGGCGGGCCAACGGCGTTGGCAACATTCTGTCGCTGTTGGCGAGCGGGTTGCTGAGAGATGCGATGCCTCCGTAGGCGTACCCCGTATTTGTCTCGGCTCCGGCAGCAGGGCGATGAACCATTGTCGCCGTCGGGGGAGCAGATCCAACGGCAGCAGAGGTAGGGCCGGCGGGATAGCCGTAGGCAGAGGCCGGATCAGGCTCGACGTACATCGACGGCTTCGACGCCGGCGGGCTCGAGCCCATGCGATAGGCGCCCACCATGTACGCGTCCTGGGGGTACGACGGCTGATACACCGAGTACTCCATGCTGTTGTCATCGGCGTACCCTCCGGACCAGGCCGACATGGGATAGTACTTGCTGCCGTAGGCGTAGGCGGAGGCGGAGCCGTTCCTATACGACAGCGCGTCGCCGCTGGGCATGCTGAGGGCGTCTGGGTACGGGGACGGCAAGGGGGTCGTGGGCATCGGAGGCACGACGGCTGGACCGCGGGCCTGGAAGTTGCGGGCGACGTCAAGGCTGTAGGAGAACTGCTCGTTCTTGAGGTGGGTTTCGTGGGAGGAGACCTGCGACTTGAGGGTCAGCATGCTGTTGCTGACATGTCTATCGTCATTGCCATTCCATCCTCGTCATCTTCTTACCCGGAGGAACTGGCAGGGCTCATAGCCAGCGTTCTTGCAGTTGAGGCACGGCTGGCCGTTTCCGCTGTCTCCCGTGCACCGAATCTTTCTCTTGCGGCATCGCATGCACTTTTGCCGCCATCAAATGCATCTAGTTAGCGAATGGTCTTCTCTGTCTGCCCCTGCCTCCCACATCCATTCTATAAAGCCCGGTAGATCAAAGGGAAGAAAGTCGAAAGGGGGCTTACCGCGACCGCGATCCTCTTTCGCTGCGTGCTGGGCTCCTCGGTTCCGTCTCGGTCACTCATCATGCCGCCCCTAGAGTCGCTGTGATAGGAGTTCGCTCGACGGTCCGTGTACGGCGCTGCGTAGGGGGATATGCCGCCTCGAGGCGAAGAGTACCGTGTGTGGTTGGTAGAGTGAGAGCCGCTAGATGAACCCATTGTGGTTGCTGTAAGTTGTAGGCGCCTAATAATAAGGATAGGTGACAAGCGAGCTAGAGCTATGATGATGTATCTGCACTGATTGTGTGTATGTGTGTATGTGTGTATGTGTATGTGTGTTTGTGTGTGTATCCCACTTCTTTCTGCCGGTGACGTTTTGGCTTTGCTTCCCACTGAATCAAGGATTCGATTCTGTATTATACTCGTATGAAGAGACACGCTTCTGAGACTGTAGAATGTAAAACACTCGATGGCTGCTGTTCTTGACTCGCTCCTAATCTTTGGCTTTGGGGGCGTTGAGTAAGGGACGGGGCGTAATGTAGAGTCGGAGAGGTAGAAGGGGAGAGACGGGAAACGACGGGACTGACGTCTTGTGTCCCCTTGAGCTTCAGTCGATGACTCGGTGATGCTGGACACTAAAACAGAAAGGCAAGATCCAGATGGCTGCGTATGCAGTTGTTCTCTTGACGTGGACGAATCAGGGAGATTCCTTCAGTGAATAGGCAGCCAAGGGGGGTAATGCAAACAAATTTGGCAAGGCCGGTGAATAGATAGACGGGACACTGAGGGAAAATGATCCGAAAAAAAGAGTCTTAAGATGAAAAAGAGGCAAAGGGTGAATGGGATGATAAGATCTAGAATAAGAAAGCCGAGAGCAGAAGAGAGAGAAAAAAAGAGAAGAAAAGCTGTAGCTCCGGAGATAGTTATACATGATCGGTACCCGCCCGTCCTCCTCGTCGAATCCTCCATTTCAACCCAATTTTTTTTTTGTTTGTTTGCTTTGCTTCATCTCCCGGGCCCAGCTCGTCCAATTATTTTGCATCCTGTGCCTTTCCCTCCTGCTTCTCTTTCTCTCCGCCTGCCTATCTACACACACTCTCTCTCCATATGTCTTCGTCTCGTTCTGGACACAGCTCAACAAAACAAGAAGCACACAGGCCAAGAACAAGCTGCCAGGAAGTCACTTTCTGGCCCGTAGATGCTGCGCTCGGTACACAGCAGTTGACAAGCTCGTCGGCTTTGTGCCATTACTCCCCAGACTCAACTCCCACCAAGAGCGTCTCCCTCACACTGTCAGTCTCTCTATGGCTCTTTCTTTTCCTTGTCAAAGGCTACGCAAAGGCGGTGGGGACGCGGTACCATATGATGGCAGGGAGTGCGGAATGGAGAGGCTTGATGCAGATCGAGAATCGGTGTTGGTACATACCCGGAGGGTATCTGTACGTGTTCGCCACAGGCCCTTGTTCATTTCCTCTGGCTTGCTGTTTTACCGAGCAGGGGATTGAAGAAAGAGAGACAAGCAAGACAACGGCCACACACGTGGGAAAACGAGGAGGACCCTCAGAAGAAATCGATCTCACCGGATTCTCGGGCCGGCAGTTGCTAAGCCCCCCCTTGGCGACTTTCTGTAGTGGCATTTTCCCATCTCGATTAGATTTGCCCCCCTGGCAAGGACGATAATGATCTCATGATAGAAAACGAGCTCTACAGTAACTTGCATATGTTGTGCGTGTTGCTTCTGCCCGGCCCAGCCTCTCCTCGTTCTATTTCCAGCGCTTCTTCATCACTCCCCCCCCCCCTTTCCACGTTTTTGTTTATTCCACTCCGGAGGGGCGTGTAAGTGGACAAGGTGCTGAATAAGGTCAGTGCGTAGTATACAAAATAAAGTCTTCTTTGCCTCTCTTCGGGAAGCCTCGTCTAAATCCAAGCAACGGCCGTCTGATCTATTCCGGGAACGGAAAATGGATCCCTAGGGGGAAAGGGGAGGGAGGGGGACCTCTTCCAGGACCGTGAACTTCTGCATATTGGATCTTGTCCATACAGATTTGCTTGCACTCATGAGGCCACTAATCTACCCTCGATACAAGAAATGGATCGTCGTCCTCATACGCAAACCGCAGAAACAAGCACAACGCAAATAGTCCGAGAGGCTACGAGCTCCAGTACGAGGCCCCCGGCCCAGGTTACAATATACGCGCCGCCGCAGATTGTCAGAAGCACCTCGGGGAGGGCCATCAAGGTCAATGTCGTGTACATCTCATGTTACGATAACGTAGCGGTCAGGTAAATTGAGATGCAAGTTATCCTCCTCCTGTGGAACTCCGCAAGCAGCCTGCACAAGGGCCCCCAAAGGCAAGAAAGGTATCTCGCAACGTCGCACAAAAACAGGGGCCACCAACTTGATTCCCGCCCCAGGCCAGGCAGGGAACAAAAGTACAAGTCCTCTGGGTAGTTTTGATGTACCCTTTTCTTTTTATTACAAGGGTGCCGTCCTTGTTCCGTGTGGAACTTGACAACTGTGGAGGCAAAGAGATCCTGGAGTTGAATCAAGGCACATGACGAGCAACACAAGGGCGTAAGGACGAGACATTCTCATCGAGAGGCGCACAAGCTGCACGTGCTGCTCGGCAAGGAAATGGGATACTGCAGTTTCATTAGAACATTATCAGAACATGGCAACGGATCAGGCAGCTTCCAGAAGAAAGTTGGAGGCGTGGAGAGAATTGAGAGTGGTTGGGGAAAGAGTACATACAAAGTACAAGTGAGGATATTCCTCAGGTTCGTTTGACGGATTCGCAGGCGAGATTCTGCTCGGGGACATCTCTTTCAAGATTCGATACGAAACCGCACACACAGAGAAGGAGGGCAACAATTACTGCAGGTAGACGGCAAAGCGCTCAACGAGGAGTTGTCGTCCGCTACATGCAATGTAACCCTTGATTGGTGCTCGATTCCTCCCCTTTTGATGCTCAATGACAACAAAAACTGGAGGACCGTTTACACCGATATGCCGCCTGTGCCTGTCCAGAGACAGCTGCATTGCCAGGTGCGTCTCGCGTATTGCAAAGGGCTGCATCCTTCAGCACTGGCGTTTGGCGATGCTGTGACCGAGATGAGCTGGCCACTCCCCTCCCGCCCCCCCTTCCTGCACATAGCATGCCTTACACGCCTCACAGCGTTCGCCCAAGCCTGTACGAAGTAATGTAGGCAAAGGAATCTGTCCGGGCACACGACAGCCAGGACACCGCCCAACGTCCATCTACTTTGTTTTGTCTCGACCAGAAGGAGAAGCGGCGCATGCTGCCGTCCACCCCTTCTGAGCTACACATGCACGCAAGCACGCACGCACACGCAGTCAGCGGCCGGGCTCTAAAGCAAGGCACGCCAACGCACAGCGTTTTTTTTTGACGGGCGAGGACGGGGAAAAAGCCCTCTAGATGCCGGAAGGAAGGGAGGGGGGGTTACGGAGACACCTGCAAGGGAACAAGAGGCTAGGAGAGGTGAAGAAGGACGGCGAAACCAAATGGCGCGGGTTTCCAAAAGCCAAAGAACCAGAGAAGAAATAGACCAACAAAGCACATGGCTAAGGGGGGCGTGCAAGAAAGGAGTTGTGAGTTTAAGCCATATCAACAAGTTAAAGAAGACAGAGACAGACATGGAAATGGAGGTAGAGACATGGAAAGTGAGGTACGAGGTGAGTCAGTCCGTCGAGGCTGTGAGACAAGAGACACACGATGATGTGAGAGAAACGCACATGTACATCCAAGAGGAAGGAGAAAGGGCATGAGATGCTGCACACGCAAACATGGGGATTGGCTCACCACTCATTGCCCTCGTTGCCCTCTCTCCCACGCCGTTTGGCGGCGGTGAACGCCTTCGCTCCACCATTGTTTCATCCTGGACTATGCATAAACGTTGTCTTGTTCGTTTCTGATCAGATAGCCCAAGTCGGTAGCTATTACCGGCATGTGTCTATCCTTTCTCAGCTGTGTGTCTCTCCTCCAGCAGGTTGCCCTACATCTCCCTGGTTTAAGACCCCGATCCATAGAGGGCCACGCTTGCGCCGCCATCGCCGGTCTTCAGGTTGATTACCTCGTAATGAACAACACTTTACACTCCAAATGTTTGGACGCCCTCGGAACTGCCGAGTAGATTGTCGCGCCACTTGGCGAATGAAAGATCCAGTCTTCAGCTTGTGCCTGAATCGGACCTAGTCCACAGCCTCGTTTTCCACCCCCTTGCTTCGCTCTTCTCCTCCCCCTGTCAGAAAGGTCAAAGAACAACCTTTTGACCGGAATCTCAGAGATTGCTTACTCCAGTCTCCCGCAATAGTAAACGCTCTGCAGTACTTCCAGAAGTGTAGAAGGGAAGGGACGGAAATAGGAATAACTCCCTAGCCCCGACCGCCGTTGTTCTTTTCTGATCTTTTTTTTTTTCTTCCCTGTCTTTCACCCCCCTCCCCATCCTCCTCCCCCTGTTTGAAAGGCGGGCAGGGCGGTTCTTTGCAGTTTGGCCTTTTCCCTCAGTTCCCGTCAAGTTCGCTGCATGCAACCGTTGTGTGTGACGTGGGAACGCTTAGCGATTGGACGTGCTCCGGGGGTCCAGAAACACACAAGACAGACAAGAAGCAACGACAGATAGTGGTAGGTGTGTGCAGGGTACCATGGCAAAAGCACAACGGTCGTCCAATCCACGAGGTGATGGCGTGAGCTGGCCAATGAGCAAACAGAGACAGCACGCAAGGCTGTGGGAAAGATCAACGGATGATCTGGGTTTCTGTCCGGGGTTGAGAGCAGGATTGGGGTGAGGAGCAAGGGTACCAGAAACACAAAATGACACGGGGGGATCAAGGACGAGAGCAGGGGCCCCATTCGAGGAACGTTCAAAACGCATATCGAAAAAGCTTGGGATCCATTATCAGCTCGTTTGATCCAAGGTCATGGATAATTTGCAACCACGTTGCTCAATTCCTGTTGGATTGGGAGCACCTATAGGTATGTTTGGTGTAGTCTAGTCAGTCAGTGACAATGTCCCTCTCGTGCGAGGTGACGAAGCGCTTTTCGAGGGCAAAAGGGCTGCAACAGCCTCAATGACAAGCTTCGTGTTTCTGCTGGTGACACTCACACAGGCACACACAATGTCTGTTTCATCTGTTGGCAGCTTTATTTCCATCTTGTTCTCGTTGCCGTCACGGAGCACTGGTCCTATTATTATCATCCACCCATGTATTTGTGTACAGGCCAGTCGAACTGAAAACAACAAGCGTCACTTCCGCGCAACGGTGCACCATCTTGTGACTTCTTTGACAACCGGTGTACGAGGATAGACGCACGTATACCGTAACGGTATGCCCGTCTCTGTCTGTCCCGTGACACGAGAGCAAGGGAAGCGCAAGTGACTGACTGAGCTGCATGTCCTGCCCATCCCACTCATATGCATGTCTATTTCCTTCGCCCCAATGATTCGAGAGCGTCACCGGTTCTTGTAGACTGGGGGTGGGTGGTCGGGATGAAGCAGAGCCAATCAAACAGAAAGCAAACGAGGCGGTGACTGGGAAAGAAAGTCCAGGTTGAGGACACTCTCGCTCAGACAGAGACGCATGTCTCGCCTTTTGGATCGTTGATTGCTTGCTTGCTCTCTCTTTTACTTGCTCATTTTGCTTGCTCGTTTTGCTTGTAGTTTAGAGGGGGGGAGGAAGGGCCCCATCGCGGCTCTTTCGTCGCTTATACGGCGAGGCCGGGTTTGAACTAAGTCTCCCTTGTCGATCTAAGCTCGGCTTCAGCTGGTATCAGGTTTGTATGTGCTTCGTACATGCAGAGGCACAGCCTGGAGAGCGAGATGGGGGCCTCGTGGCTAACAATTTGTGGCACTCACCGACAACGATTTGCATCGGAGATGGGATGTCGTAGCACCAGGCGGGTCCCTTGCAGCCCGTAAGTAAAATGATGGGGGAAGAGAGGGGGGGAGCAACAGTTGACGTGGGCGTACAAGTAACATACGGACGCCAGCTCACAAGAAGAAGGATTTGCTACCTGGTACTCCGTACGAGGCGATAGATTGACTCGTAACGAGTTCATTTAAACACTTCCGATTCTGATTCGGTTCGGTTCGATCTGGGCCCACGGAGGAGATGGCCAAGGGCGTAAATCAGCGCTGAAGAAGCACCACGGTATCGACGAAGAGAGAAAGGCTACAACATTGTTGACTACTTCAACAGCGAGCCGGACTCGTATAAACGTAACGGCGTAACGGCGTAACGGCGGCTCGGCAAAAGGCGGTAACGATAAATGAAAGGGGAGAGTCTCTAGAAGCGTCCACGGGACGAATAGCTGTAAAGTAACTATGCGGCCCCAAAGAGACGGCTATCTGAGATTGATTAGTCCCGTCGGTTTCCTTTTGTGATTCTGCGGGGGACCTGTCATGTTTGACAGCAGCTCGCGAGAGCGTCTGAGTGCTCCTTGCTGTAAAGCTGCATGTGTATGAATGGACAGGTAGGTAGATACGGAGCAGATGGATAGCGAGATGCCGGTAGCCATCGGGCCTTGCAGTGAAATGAGTCGTCAAGGCCAGGCAAGAGGGAAACAAGGATTCGGGTGCTCAAGATGGGCCATGGCGTCATGTTGTCTGCCTGCCTCGGAAAGTGGTAATATCGTGAAGAGTTCAGGTTTCATACGTCGCGTATGTACCCTTGTGAGATGGCTCATCTTTTACCGAGTTTTCCATGTTCTAATTCTGGCCTTTGAGCAGTCAGCGGTCTAGAATTGACAATGCGGTATACAGATTTCATGGGATGAGGTCAGTAGAGTCCAACTTCTTGCAGGGTGAGCTTAGAGCTTCCACCACATGGACTTAGCTCGGAGCAAACGGAGGAAGTGTCTGGAAAGTATGGCCGGGCATCGTTGGCAGGTTCGAAGCGTCTGTCCCAACCTTCGGAAGGAATTTTATGCGTAGACAGATGGAAAGGAGGCTGAGCCAGCAAGTTCCATTGTATTCTGTGAGACAGATTGAAACTGCGATTAAACAGGCCTTCCCAAGGCCCCAGTTGATCCAGGGTAGACTCATCCGAACTCGGGTCAGATAAGGTATTCGACCGCACGATAGACGTGCGTCCTCAAATCAGAGAGCTCGTAGAGCAGATAGATGCCCTCAGTTGATAATCAATCGCGAAGCTGGAAAATCGATCGGCCACATTGGGTCTGAAACCTCCCAATGCAGGTTAGTACAGCAGCGAGACGACTCTTTCTCGTTGAATTGGTCCAGACTCGTGCTGTAAAACCGTCCCTGAATATTAGCATAGAGGACAGTAAACTGGTATGAAAGAGTCAATGGCCAAGAGTCTTGAAAGCGTTCATTAATCATGCCACTGTCAACGCCCATCACCTGTCCCTGCGCCTATAGTCATCTCTATCCCTCCTATCATGTCGATAGCCATCCCGCGATCTGTGTCCATCATCGTCTCTGTTTCCTCGCCGTGGGCTCCGACTCCTATCCCGGTAGTGGCGCCCCTTGTCTCGATCTGAAGCTCGCTTGTGTAATCTATCATCGTTTCTGCGGTCATGTCGGTCGTCGTGCCTCTGATCATGCCTACCCTCACTTCTGCGGCCATTGGAGCCTCGATCGTCATGCCTCCCCTTCATCTCTTCCTTGCTGTAGACCATGTTGTAATCCTTGCCAGAGCTCCTCTCGTCCTCTTCCCGATATTGCCGTCGTTTCTCGAGCTCCTGCACGCCGCCCCATCCTCCTCGCGCCCTTGCTCTTCGCTTGTTGTTCGTGTCCTGTCTCCAGACGTCGCTGAGCTTGCTGACACTCTGTGAGAAGTCGACGTGAATTCGCCGGTCGTCGATGAGCACGTCTTGCATCTTGGAGTATGCGAGTTCACACGATGCCTTGTCCTCGTATTCTATAAAAGCGTACTGCAGGCTGTCTCCCGTCTTCTGGTCGCGAATCACCTCGCAGCTCAGAATCTTACCAAATCGGCCAAAGATGAGCTCCAAGTCTTCATCTTGCGTGACAGGGTTCAGTTTGCACACGAACAAGACGTTCTCCGGAGGCTTCACCTCGGCAAAGGGAAGGTCGCCCATCAGCTCGAGTGTCAAGGCCTGTGCCCTGGCTTCTCTCTCCCGCCTTCTCTTTTCCAGCTCTTCCTCGTCTAGGTCATCGTTTTCGTGTAGTTCTTGTTCGTCGGCAATCCGCACCGTCCGCAATTGCGCGTCCGAAGGGGGAGGGCTGGAGCTAGGTTCCCTGAGACCGGGAGGATCAGGGTAGGGATCGTCCAGGATTACTGTGTGCTTGATGCGTATGTCGACAAATGGATATTGTTTATCGTCGACCATGGCCTCGTTGATCTTCTCCAGCGCATCGAAGCCCTCGACGACCTTGCCAAAGATGGCCGCCTTGCCATCGAGATAATCCGTCTCCTCACCCAGCGTGATGATGAATTGTGATGCCGCGACCCTCGTATCCGGATCTGAGGCCAGCGGTACCGTCGCCATACTCACGGTGCCTCGCTCCAGATGCTTCAGCTTGGGGTGAAAAGGAGCTGTGAATGTGCGCTTGGCCGGGTCGCCCGAGAGGAGGCCCCATATTGAGCAGCCGCCATCAGAGTCTTTGGAGAGAGGGCCGAGAGGATCGCCGGTCTGGAAGGAAAAGTTCTTTTGAACGGAGTGGATGGGCGAGAAGTTGTAGTATTTGACCTTGCAGAGTTTCAGGAAGCTGAGGCGATGTCAGCAGCTTGGAGCATCAGAGAGAGAGGGGATCGTGACGTACTTTTCGCAGAGCTTGGGAGCGTGGTCAGTGAGCAGGTCAATGACAATGTCACCGACGGTTGTTTCTAGCAAGACGGACATGCTGATTCTCCTCGTGTGGGCGGTATCAATGGGAAGAATGAGGAAGAAAAGGGAAGAAGAGCTGTCGCGTGTGCCTGACGCGCGAGGCTGCGATTTGGTTGCATGAGTGACAGTTATGTGGAGACGCAGCCTTGCATGGAATATGATTACATAATATAGTGATGCTCCAAGCTTGAAGATATCTCCACCAGACAAAAGTCGAGGCTTGACAGAACAAAGCTCCGCCAAGAGTTGAAGATAAGCTTCTCGATGTGGGTTTGTGGATCGTACCAATAAGTCTGTTCATCTAATCTTCGAAGCACAATGGATGGAGTCCGATTGGTAGATGTCCATCTCAATGCTAAATGGTCGGCCTACATCTTCATGTTGGCTGCATATGTACCTTACCTCTAGGTGATGTTGCCTGAATGTTGAACGCCGCAAGAGGAGGAGACACCTGTCAAAACGCATTCCTATCCAGTCGTCTACCAAACACTAGGATTATCTCGTCTCGATTCCGGCAGGTCATCGAAAGAGCCAATTTTATAGAAACGAAGTCCTAACTTGAGACCCCGAAGCCCCGTGCCCTTTCCTATCCTCAGCCTGTCGCTAATTGCAGGCCCGTTGTTTCAGTCACGAGACTGTCAATGCGCCGCCTTTCGTCCATCAAGCCTGTGGTCTCGTTGCAGCGCCTCTCTACCTTTATGACCTGCATCCTACTAAGTAATGAGCACCACTCTTGTCTTGTAGCGCAGCATTGTATGTGTCAAGGCAGGCTGAGAATTCTCAGAAAGGACCACGAAAACACATGTACGGGCGTTCAAAGTTGTGAGGGAAATAATATGGATTGTGACCGTCTCAACAGCCTAACTGTGCTTAAACTCGCTAAATACCACAAAAACACAATAGTAAACAATACAGAAAAGGAAGATCCCAAGACTACTAGAGAATATAGAATCATGAGGTGCAATAAGACATATGTATGTATACATGTATATAACCAGACAGGAGACTCGATTCCGTTTTCCCTATACAAGAGAGCTAATCCACAGCATACGATAAGTGAAAATGCCGATGACAAGAAACAATATAGAAAAAAAGGGTAGAATTGCACCAGATGAAGGTGCTGTGGTATGTACATGATGAATGTAATTTCAAGTACATTGCTAGAAGACAGGTGAATATCGCGCCGCAAGCAATACAATGCGATATCTCATGCAGTGATAAAACAGCATGGAGTCGGCAGCATACCCAAATTGGGTAGGTGGTTGAGGACGTATGAGATGGAGTGTCAAGGAAATTGACGAGGCGCGGTAAATCGAAGAATGTCCCCAAGTTTTGCACTCCTTTTCTGTATTCCCCCTATCGCGATGAAACAGAAGAAAAGAATATAAGGAAATCTCATTTTCGTCGCATAGTGTGAGCTCTCCCGCTTGAGCTCCTGTGGTATATGTTTTGTTTTCCCCGTACACAAGAAGAATAGACAAAAGGGATCGAGATAAAAGGCGTTGGTATGCCCGCGTTAAGACGGTCTCCAAGTGGTAACAAGGCTAGGTCGCCTAGCCGAGACGGTAATTAGAAATTAAGAATGTTGAAAAGGAGTGACGTTGTGGCTCAGATAAGCCGAGGTGGTAGTGATGCCGGATATGAGTTGAGCATCAAGTATGTTCAGGCCTCCCCAACAATGGCTACGTAATGTATGCCGTTGTTGATTTTTGAGTGCCTCGAGTGAAGTCACTCTCGGCTGGGCGAGCTTCGCCTCCGCCGTCCTGAACGAAGTTCCTGCTCCGTCTCCATCAGTCTGGCCTGAGCCCACATGCGCGTCCTCATGTCGCTGCGCACGGCATCGCAGTTGAGCAATTCGGTCAGTGCCCGCTTGATGCTTTCGTTGACATCAGAAAGGCGCTGCTCCTCGGCTGAGATCTGGTAGATTGTGTCTTCGTCGACGATGGTGTCGAGCTGGTCCTCGAAGCAGCGTGAGTGCCTTGAAGCTCGGCGAGCGCCGCCGGATCGCGAGTGTCGTCGTGATGATGGCGTTGATGCTGAGACTGGCGATGAAGCAGCCAGGGCGTGGATGGAAGTGCGAACGGGCGAGGTACTGGGCGAGGAGATTGTGGAAAGGGTGCCGGTCGAGGCGGTGCGCGGGCGGATCTGCTCGAGGTTGCTGCAAAGCTGCTCGTGCTGCTGCTGCAGACGCAGGTACTTTTGCAGCGTGTAGGCGTAGTCGTGTTGGTAGCCTTCAAAGTCCATTGTGAGTGATGGTGTGATGTAGAAGGTACTGCTCGGGTGTGTCGATGATGGTTGAGGTTGTTGTTGATTCGGCGCTCTTGCGTTATGGCGTCTCGTTCAGCGGCTGCAGCGATATGATCGTGGTATTGCTCTTGTTCCCAACTGTGACGAAACCATCGGACATTCGACCAAGATGTAGTAAAAGTTCACTCTGCGCTGCAGGTGATGCCGAAAGAGATTGGCACGATGGATGGATGAGCCGGCAATGGGATTGAGGCGTTGAATTGCGAGTGACGGAGTCGGGATCACAAGGGTGAAGTGCTGGCGATGATAGGAATAGCAGCACTATGGAGTACTCGCTTGGTAATAATAGAAAATTGATGGGTGTGTAATAAGGTGCGATTGTGTGCAGAGGACGTTCGTTTGAGCCTTGCTTCCGAGCCTAGCAAGGGGGGTTTCGAAGACGTTTAATATTAAAGGTGCACGAAGCAGCTTCTTTCTGTGATTCTGCGGGCAAGGTAGGAGATTGCCTCTTTTGCCCAAGCGTGAGTAAGGTGCCGCCACGGGTATGTCGTAGGTGATTCTGGGTTAGGTATGTATCGATTGTTCGTTGGTTGGTAGGATTCACTGAGAAGCGTGCCGATCTCGAGGAGGATTTTTCTTTTGGTAGGGGCAGCTTGCCTTGGTTTATAGCGACAGCACGGGGGTGATGGAAGACTGACGTCGGGTATGGCAGGTCAGGTCAAAAGCACGGAAGTTGGCGTGATGAGGAGCGTATAAGTGGGCGTCTGGTAGTGTCGCAGCCAGCGCCAGGAGAAGAGCAAAAGGTGGACCGGGGTGGAATCGAATACTGGGACCGGGAATGGGAACTGAGGCCCGGTTTGCTTTTTTTGACGCAGCACTAACACAAGGGCTTGCTTGGCCTCTGCCACTCACGAGATGCCCCGGCTAATGAGGGTGTGGAGCGAGAAATAAGGCACGGAGTATCGATAAAATGAAGCGGGAATGCTAGTGGCAGCATGAGATGGATGGGGGGGGAGGAGGACCGACAAGCTATGTAGCAATATACTTGCAACGCACTCGGCCAAGAGGCTTGATGATACGAAGTTCTACAGGTATAAGGAGACGCCGAGGCTTGGAGTCTTCTGCCAAAAGAGAAGACGAGAGCCAGCAAGCTGCAAGTCTCAAAACCAACAATGCGGATGTACCTGTACGGACTGGCTGGAGACGGCAGAGCAAAAGCTTACCTTGCCTTGGCTTTGTGGTTCCAAGTCCTTGCAATTACATACTAATCGTTCGCCAGCATGAGCATGGGTTGGTTGATGCAACCTTGCAAGGGCGCCAACCGGCCAATGAGAACCTCGGGCTGAGCTCCGTGAAAGCGAAGCTGAAGGAAGGGGGGTTTCTGCTTCGGATGCCCTTCTGGTCTGGGATGGCCTCTTCCTGGGCCGGGCCTCTGGCTTCTGCTGCGCCGGGGCCCGACAATCTATTTTGCTGCTGTAGCATGCATTTGGGCGCCAAAGAAGGGGGGGGGGGTGGGATGAGGGGAGGACGTCAACGTTCTCGTACGGAGTACAAACCAAGGATGGCTCTTGGATTTCTCTTATTCAGAGGAGGTGTGTGACTGGATGATAGCTTGCCCTTCGGTTGCGATACGGTATCTCTAGTCCTCCAACGCATACAGTAGCATCATCGCTAGCCAAAGTATAAGCTTCTGCGGAGGCAAGACGGACAGCCTACCAGAAGGCGTAGAGTTGCTACAGACTCCCTCTCCTCCAATGGCGAAACGGCGGGTGGCGAACCGGCCTCTGCTGGCAAAACTTGGCTTTCTGATCCTTGAGGTGCGATACGGGGCCCCTGCTGGCTTAGCTTGGTTGCTTGGATTCCTTCTGCTGGAACTTTTACCGTAACCTACGGAGTACATACATGCAGTACCGATAGGCATGGATGGGCTTGCGGGCGAGTTGGACGATGGCGCTGCTGCACGTTGCGATGGGTGGCTGCTGTTCTGGCTCGGGGCTGGCCGGGATGGTGGACCTGAGATGCCCGTGGTCCTCTACGGCAGGGATCTCACGTTATTTTTCTGGGTTTTTGACCAAGCCTGTGGTTGTGATCACGCCTTGGCTTTGTCTACCTACGGGCATTGACGGTTCATTGACACACCAAGAAGGGGTGGAGAAGGAAGCACTCGAAACACTGTGAACGCTTCAATGATCATGCAATCGCCAAGTTGTATGCACGAGCACAGCAGCTGTCACCGCATCAGCCAGACACAGACGCGACTCGGGGCGGAAGCAATCTTGTGTGAAGCAACCTCGACAGCCGGTCACGAGGGCCTCGCCCTGTTCTCTTCTGAATCCCAATCGCGGGCTTGCATCTGTGCCAATGCAACATTGCGTCGCCGAGCATGGCGCCGGTTTGCCCTTTTGTCCAAGTCCAAGTCCGCCTGTCTGTATCTTGTGGTGTCTGTGTCTTGTACATACAGTCCGGCGTGGCTGTGCGGCGGCACGGAGTGTGTGCCAATGAATCGATATTAATTGACTTTGCTGACCTACGTGTGTGTCTGTCCAAGGCAAAGCAGCACAATAAGCTGGGCTGAGCTGAAAATGTTGAACCCATTGGGCTGAATGCTGCCATTTGCGCCAGAGATAACGAAGCGCCCTGTGCCGTCGCCTTACCACCCCCCTTCCCGCGAGTACAAGCATTACGCCAGTGAGGCCTGAGATAACGGCAAGCCATGGGAATGAATCGACTGGTTGACAATTGGGTCCGCGGGATTATCTGACACTGCTTGTATCTTGAATCGCATCTCCCTTACATCGCAAATCCTGGCTACACGGAGAAGAGTATTGACCTGGAGCCCAGCACGCCAGAGATAAGCCTCAATATCAGGGACGCTGAGGACGGTCAAAGCTTGTGTTTCCAGCGCCTCTCAGTCTGCGTATCATAGACATCCCACGTCCGCGCCGTTCTAGCCAGTGATCAGCCCTCAGTGTTACAGACACCTTCTATCTACGCCTCGTGATCCGCACTGATCGGCGGTTACTCCCAGAGCTTGTCACCCAGCAAAAAAAAAAAAAAAAAAATTGAGTGCTGATGCGACTTCTATCATCAATGCCCCCCTGACCATCATTTCCACAACCCACGGCCGATCACTGGGTACAAGACCCAAAGCAGCGGCAGGATTTAGCAAAAAGAGCCCAAGGTGAGGTTACAGCTGACTTTTCTCGTCGTCTTTTCTCGGCGTCTAGTCTAGAACGCTCCCGAATATTGGGCACCGAGACACGGTGGCAGTGTGGGTTGACTCGTCTTATATGAGTAACAAATCACGGCACACACAGCAACACCGGTGAAGGTTTTGGACCGGGACTGGACTTTTTCTTTGTTTGCAGCGTTGCAATGCAGATGTCTCTTAGCGAGCAGAATCCTACATGAGCTTTTCGCCTCTCAACTCAGCCCACCTGGAGAACCTCAATGAGAGAAGTGGCCGTCGTTGTACGTAATTCAGTACATGTACTCCGGATCGTGTGTGCAGATGCATTTCACCTCACGGGACCATCGGCTAGCGATCCGCACAGGGAGACGAAAGATGGATGATAACCTCCGCGCAATCGAATGCTTCTCACAACGCGGAGTGTTGCAGTGCAGCTCCCCTCTCTCGATGAACTCTCAATTGGCCAACGCAGCAGGCGGACCAGGGGCGGCTCAAGAGGTCCGCTGTTATCTCGTCCCGTCAACACATTGCTGCCCCAATGTCCGTGCAGTAGTAGTCGTTTGTACTCCGTGCATTCTTGCGGTGACCGGCCTCCTCCCGGCCTCCTGGGCTTTTCGGTCTCCATGAAGCAAAGGAAGTTCTTCAACCTGGGTCCGTCTAGCGGTCACGTTCACCCGCGACTCTGTGACGCTTCCTTGCCGATCAGAGATCGTCTCTGGCTAACGTGGGCTCGCTAATAATCGCCACACGATTCCATCGACGACACGCAAGCTGGACCGCTTTTCTTTCTTTCTCTTCCTCTTTGACCTTGCTTTCGATTTTCGATTTGTCTATTGTAAGAATAAACTCTCTCCAATCGGTGTGCTACGGACATTTGTTCAAGCTTGAAAGAGGAGGGGCAAAATCGATCAATCTGCTCATTGAGGTGGACCTTGGGAAACCTGCAGGACTGCTGCGGCCTGACGGAGCAGTGTGCTTCTCACGCATGTTTCTCAATGCGCCCAGTCTCAGTCAGCCCGTCTTGCTTCAAGTACGAGTTACTCGTCCAGAATCATCGTCGACTTCCGAACCGGGGTCCTCTGGAGGCTGCACTTCTGCACGCGGGCCCAATCTATTCCCCCTTTCCCCCTCCCACTTCCCCAACCACCAGCTTCCCCGCTCATGCAAACCGTGTGCTCTCACAGCTCACGCCATCTGGAAAGCGTTTCTTGGTTCCGGCTGAGATATTACAGACCTGCAAAGAGACCTGATCACAAAGGGGGGATGACACAGAGAAATCGACTCCATAGCCCGCTCGGCCTCAACAACCGGTCCCCAGACTATCGCTTCTTGATCCCATTCGCTCCTCTGGCTCACCGTTAGTGGCGCCTTTGTTTCCTTTTGTCCCTTCTTTCCCCCCGATTCCCCCGCAGCTTGGCACTTCCCGCTGGAAAAAAGCCGTGGAATGGAAGGTTTCCAAAATCGAGTGATGGAACATGCCACCAAACGTAAGATGTTTGCAAATTCTAAATGCCGGCTCTATCAAAATCTCCAGTTCATCCAGTATTCAAACTGTACAAGCCACTGTAGCCGGATTGAGTTTCAATTCCTTCCCCCCTTGTACTCGGCTCACACTCGAAACCTTGTCCCTCCCCGGCTGTCTTATCTGACTTCCCCAGACTTTTTGTTGTTCTCCCTAGCCACGACTTCAGTCTGCCGGCTTGGCCTAACATGCATGGTCGAGGGCGAATAGCTCCGGCCAGGACCAGGGTCTAGATTGTTGGAGAGGAGGAAACATGAGAAGACGGTCACGCTGCTTTGCGTGACGTCAGCCATCGGAAGCGATCGTGATTTATTGGCAGCCTCTGAGCTATTGTTAGGGATTGGACATGATAGGATATGCCAATACTTAACAGGTACCCGGACATCCAACAAGCTTGGCAAGCTTGGGTGGTGCTGAGATGGCTTCAATGGCTTCAATGTTGCCGTCAGGATCGTCTGATGGAACGAATGGGAGGGCAGCAGCCACGATTCCTAGAGAGGCTCAAGGCGGAACCAGGCCAACGGCAAGCCAATGATGGTTGTGGCTCGCACTCCCCAAGCGCCACAAAAGCTACCTTGTCCCCTGAAGCCATACTGTAGCTGAAGTCTTTGACGCCATCATCATTCCCTACCCTGAAAGTCAAACCAGGTCGATGCCGCTTTTGCCTTGGCGAAGCCGTTGCGGCTGTTAGGATGGTGTGAGAAAACGAAATGAGGCGACTTGCGCATGGATGTGTCATTTTTCGCCTCACAGATATTGGCATCAAGCCAATGATGGTTGATGAAGGCTGATAATGATGATGATGATGGTTCCGATGATGAATGGGCTTTCGAGCTGAAAACGAAAACTACACCCAAAGTATGCTTGCAACTCTACGTTGTTGATCCTTCCTTACCTTCGCAAAGCATATTGATATGTATTATCTCAACCGATCGATTGATGACATTCGTGTGTCATGATTTGGATACCTTACAGATCCTAATGGCTACTTGGTCGTTGTAGAATGGTCCTTCCTGTTGATCACGCGGCGGTATCTCAAACGAGACATCTTCCACCCTCAACCCCTCGCCCATGCACCGTTCCAAAAAGACATGGAACGTCTGCAGATTTCGTTGCGTCGCCGCAATGATGACCTCAACATGAGGGTACAGACTGAAAAGGTCCAGGAGCGTGCTTACCAGGTCCGGGATCACGCTTGGGTCGAACGTGATGTCGGCCCCGAGCACAACATCGAGCGGACGGCCGCCGTTCCACCGCTTCTCTTCGCTTCCTACGAGTGCATGCCCCCACTCGAGTTTCATGAGACTTATGGCACTCGAGTCTTGAAGTTGATTCAGGCTGAGATTTTCAGGCAAGTTGTTGATGACATCGTCGGAGCCGTCGGATGCTATGGCATGCGTTGCCCCCAGGTACTTGACACACAAGATGGAAAGATACCCGGTTCCCGCCCCAAGCTCTAGAACTCGTTTGCCCGAGACAATGCTGGGACCATGACAGAGAAGCTGTCCCAAGTGAAGCGCTGCCTCCCAGGTCCTCAGCCCTGTAGTGCCGCCTGCAGCGATGAGGGCACGATTCTCAAACAGGTCGATGTGAGCCTCGTGACCTGGCAATGATGCGAGATGATAAACAACAGGGTACTTTTGCTGCACAGCATCATTCTCATTGGGAGCTGGCGTTGAGAATAAGACGGAGAGAGACGACATGAGGCAGTCGGACACTCCCTGCTCTACAGGTTAGAGCGCGATGACACTGCCAATTGAATAGTTTCAGCAGGTGGTGACACAACTTACATGCTCATCCCAGTCTTCTATGCTGGCCTCAATGCGGGAGATGAGCTCTTTGAGCACTCGCAATTGATATCTCAGCGGAGGAGAGCCTCCGGGAAGAGCGCCTTCGGCAAAGAGCCTCTGATAGATGGCATCTTGCACATCGGAGCGTCTGATGTATTGAGGCTCCGGATAATTCAGCGTCTGCTCCAGTTGAAGATATTGGCGGCAGAAGCGGTCGACCTGTTTCTGCACTGAAGCTTCCATGGTTGAGGAGAAGCTATCATGTGCATGTAAGTCGAAGTCAGTTATGAACCACCAATGCTTTGCTCGTTCATCCCATCTTTTCTGGCGATAACGTCAAACCTCTATCAGACGAAATATGGTGATGCTCCAGCATGTAAACCTGGTGGAGAGACCCCAAGATCATCCTGCGTAGGTCATTGGCTGACAGGAGCGGAGTTCATCAAGCTGCAAAAATAGCAGCAAGTCCACTTGATCCGAACATTATCCTTGCCCACGTGATCTCGCACAAGCCCCTCCGTGATTTTTCCCAGCCACTGTGGGCTCCGCTTACCTAAGGCGCACACATCCTTAGGGCTTGGGACCCAGCCTAAGCGACACGAGTGGTGGCTCGGAATTTTCGCAGCCCCGGTTTTTCACATTTGCGGCGAGCCCTTTCTCCCACGATCTGAAGCAACGACGCCAAACCGCCGAAGTCTCTCCCCTTCGCTCACTTCTTCCACAGAGACAATCCAGCACAGCAACCATGGCGGATAACGACGCTCCCGTTACCCTGCGAACTCGCAAGTTCATCCGCAACCCGCTGCTTGGCCGCAAGCAGATGGTGGTGTGAGTATTTGCCTTCCTCTTCTCTGCCGCCTCCGTCGTCGCCAGCATTCGATCCGCCGCCTCTGTCAAGTCCTCTATCCGCGAGAATCGTCCATCCGGCAATATTCATCGAGCATCGACAGACCTCCTCTCGACTACGGAGGGCACACCGATCGCCTCCACGCTGTGGCTACGCACCAACACTTTTCTCGCGGAATTGACAACGGCACCTTGATTGGACTTTTGATCCTAAAGGATAGAGGAACGACAGAGCGGATGGAAGAATGAGGGCGGCAAAAGACGTACATGCGCGCGGTCTCGCCATCTCAGACCACGTCGCGAGGGGAAATGATGGAACAATTGGGCTGATTGTGAAACGCATAGTGACATCCTCCACCCCGGTCGTGCCAACATCTCCAAGACCGAGCTGAGCGAGAAGCTCGCCAGCCTGTACAAGGCCCAGAAGGAGCAGGTCCAGGTCTTCGGCCTGCGCACCCAGTTCGGTGGCGGCAAGACCACCGGCTTCGCCCTCATCTACGACTCCCCCGAGGCCCTCAAGAAGTTCGAGCCCAAGTACCGCCTGATCCGGGTCGGACTTGCCACCAAGCCCGAGCGTGCCAGCAGACAGCAGCGTACGTCTTCTTACCCACGGCCAGCAGCGGCACACTGCTGCCACGTCCCCAAATTGACATCTTGATGTGCGATTCCGTTCTTTACTGACTTTGGCATTTTCGAACTACAGGCAAGCAGCGCAAGAACCGACAAAAGACCCTGCGCGGCACGGCAAAGGTCAAGGGTGCCAAGGCGAAGAAGGAGAAATAAACGCAACGCTCTCAATACAATATTGTTGGGGCTTGCTGGTGGAAAAAACTGTGGGCGCACTTCTTTTGTGGTACTGGGGCCATCATGTTGCGACAGTGCTGCGGATTTTTTTTACTCTCTCTCGGCATGGGTGGATAGAAGAATGGAAGAAATATTCTTCTCCGGTTCCATTGTCGATGAAAAATTCCTCTAGAAACGGCTGGGAAAGGGGAGTCATGGCTCAGCCCCCTCCCCGTGGGTGTGCGTGTGCCTTCGATACACTAGCATGAAATCAACGGTGTTTTCGGGTTTCGGTCCAACATTGCGTTTCCTGGGTTGGGTGAAATTCTTTGGTGATGAGATCATGGGCTATTCAATGGAGAAACGAGAAACAGGAATCCTGATATTGAAAGATGTTCGGAGCAGTATGAGGCGTAAGCATGTGTCTCGCCACCAATGGCTTCCCAAACTCCAAAGCCCATAAATTCCTGATTACACGCATGTGATTCCAGTCGACTGTAGGTCCCATTGGCCACGACTCTGACAAAATCTAGCAAAGCAATAAACGTGAAGAACCTTAAAAGAGTCAATCTAGTCCCCAAGTCACCAAACGCCAGAGTAGTTCAGCCAAATGTTCACGCTCATGCTCACGCTCAAGTCACTTCAGTTACCGGTAGCACCATGAAAACGCAGAGACCTAAACGACCAAGTCACAAACACAAAGGAAAGGGCAGCAATGCCGGCAAAGATAAAGTACACCCAACCACCATGGCCGCCTAGCCAGGAGTTGAGGGCCTTGTTGACGATGGGGAAGAACTGTGCCACCAGGAAGGTTGCCACGTAGTTGGCTCCCAAGCACCAGCTCTGCGTCGCGCCAACAGCTTCCTGGCCGACGAGCTCCGACGCCAGGATAAAAGGCACAGGCCCCAGGCCCACGGCGAAGAAGGCGACGAAGAAGAGCACGGCAAAGGCTGACACGACCTTGAAGCCAAAGACAATGGACAGGGCCAGCACAAGCGCGCTGCTGCCCTGGCCTACAATAGACATTAAGAGGCACGCCTTGCGTCCCAGACGGTCCGGCAACGGGGAGCAGGCCACGGTCGTGATCAGGTTGACTAGCGAGACTAGGATGCTGAGCAGCGCAGAGGAGATGGGCAACAAGTCGGCAAGCAGGGAGACAGAGTACATGACAACGGAGTTGATGCCGCACAGCTGCTGCACGAACATGATGCCAACCAGAGCGATGATGACGGGCCGTGTGTTGGGATCTCGGACGACCTGTAGGAAGCCGAGGTGAACGGGCTCGTTCTTGGCCGACGTGGCGTTGGGCGGAGGCACGTCGTCTGCATCGGCGTCTTGGGCAAGGAGGCCCCGTTCTTCCTCGGCAGCGCCTGGAGTATCTGGACTCCAGCCTTGGCCCTCCTCACTTGCAGCAGCAGCGTGGCCGCGGATCCTCTGCAGCGTCTTGTTTGCTGCAGCCACGTTATCGTGCGCAGCGAGCCAAGCCGGGCTTTCAGGGACAATCAGCAATCCAAGGGCCTGCGCCGCGGCGATAAAGGCTCCGATGCCCAGATTCCATCGCCAGGCACTCCCGTAGCTGAGGAAGAAGCCCAACGTCTGGGTGATGAGGATGCCGACATTGATGGATATTTGCGTCATGAAGCCAAAGAAACCCCTTTGGTCGGGCGGGCAGACTTCGCTGATGTAGAGCGGCACAATGACGGTGGCCGCGCCGGCCCCAATGCCGGAAAGGAAGCGGCCCAGGGCCATGATGAAGACGCTGTGCGCGACAGACTCGATGGTAGAACCGGCGATGAAGAGGAGGGCCGTCACGCGCATGGCGAGCAGGCGGCCGCGGCGGGAAGAGAAGGGGCCGGCGGCCAGGGCACCGATGAGGCCGCCGACCGTGAAGATGGACGAGACGGTGGCGAAAGCGGCCTCATCCATGGGGATGCAGTCGTCGACGCCATCGTGGGTGTCGTGGACGGATGTGAGGAAGCGGGCGAGGCGGGCGACGGTCGAGACGGATTTGCGGTGGCAGGTGATGACGTCTTGGGGTGCGTTGAGCTCGGCCTGGGCTGGTCAGTCTATGGGACCCGAATGAAGAGTCTGTAGAGGTGGCACAGTTGGGCAGATTGATAGTCGAAGCTCGAAAGCGAAGCTCAGACTGAAGCTTGCTTGGCTAGGATGAAGGGAAGAGCAGCAGCGGTGAATGATGCGACAAGAACGTACCAAGTGGAAGCCAAACTGGAGGGATCCAAGAGTCGAGATGGCGATGAGAATGATGAGATATGGCGTGACTCCTTGGCCCGCCATGGTTGCGGATTTGTAGGAGCTGAACCTGAAGTTGAAAGGTCGAGGTCGAAGCTACGAAGAAGCTGAAGCTGAAGTTGAAGATCAGTTGCGTCAGCTGGCCCTAACAGGTACAGTACCGCCATGTGCTGTAACCGCAGTGGGTGGGGAGGGGGAAGCGGTAAGGTCCAGGGGTCGTGTCAGATTGGCTGATTGGACCATGGATGCTGATTTCGGCTGCCCTGATGACATGGCAAACGAACCGCACGAGATCCCTATCTTTGACTGTCATTACGAGACCTGCATCTGTCTGCTTCGTGAATATGATTGGGCTCGACAATAATCCTTATCAGTCCCCTGCAGTGGTGGTGCAGTTCGAATAACGTGATGCTTTGTATGACGGGACACCAAGCTGGAGTGCTAGATTCCGATATGCAGCCTACCCTAGGACCCAGGAACTCGAAGAGCCTCCAACATGTCACACCCGATTGACAAGAGCAATGCCCGAGCTGTTGGCTCGCCAATAACGATAATACTGGTGAATCTTCATTTATCGTTGGATGACCTGGTCAAGAACGCCGAGGACCGACATTTGGCTGAGAGGTTGTCTCATGTATAAGGGTTGCATGTAAACCAAGGTCATTTTACTCAAGCTGTAGGTATCATGGAAGAAAGACGAAGTATGAGTTTTACAACGCAAAACGCTTGGTTTCTTGCATATGATATATACAATCATCTGGCAGATACTAAAACATTTCCATTACCACACCCGACCCCAGATATCCTCGCCTAACACTCAAGCCATTAACGCTCTCAAGCTGTTTCTCCTATCCCCAAGTTAGTCGCCACGGCAGAACCCAAAATATCAAGACTTCACTCACCCAAGTTCTTCAACACTTTCCTCCCTCGAATACTATCTTCCTCAAGACGCTCCAGAGTCGGCTCGACAATGCCCCCTTCGACCCATGCCTGCACAGCGGGATGCTCATAGAGCCGGTCAATGTACTCTCCCGCAGCCCCCGGCAGCTGAACCCCAAACGTCTTGAACCGCGAGGCAATCGGCGCGTAAAAGGCATCTGCAACACTAAACTCCTTGCCGGCGAGCCACGGGCCGCCAAACTTGGTGATGCCCTCGGTGAAGAGCTCCGCCAGGCGATCAATGTCCCGCTGGAGAGCCTCGCTCGGGGTGCCCAGCTCGATGCGCAGGGCGACGTTCATGGAGCACTCGTTGCGGACCGCGCTGAAGCTCGAGTGCATCTCCGCCGCGGCAGACCGGGCAAAGGCCCTCGCGAGCTTGTCCTTGGGCCACGCGGCCGGGAATTCCTCGGCGATGTACTCGGCAATGGCGAGCGAGTCGAAGACAACAGCCCCAGTCTCGCTGTCGACGAGTAGGGGTACTTTGCCGGAGGGCGAGAAGGTGAGGAACTCGCGGCGCTGCTTGGGCAGGTCGGAGCTGAAGAGGTGAAGCTTCTCGTCAAAGGAGATGCCGAGCGCCTTGAGGAGGACCCAGGGGCGCATCGACCATGATGAGTAGCGCTTGTTACCGATATAGAGTGTGTAAACCATCTTGCGTGCTGGTCTTCTTGATCGAGCGTTTTTGGACTGTTATATCGTTGCGTTGTTGACTTTCTCCTTGAATTTCCAGGTCCTGGTCTCAAATACTGTTTATATCTTCGAATTGATGCTCAATGATTCCCCAACGCAAAGGATCGAGTCTCCTTCAGCTATGACTCGAAGAGTTCCGATATTGATGCTGGTCAAATAGAAAACACGCCCTAGGTTTGACCACGGCACACAACTCTAATTTTCAAGCCACCAAACGCATTTCGTACTGCGGCTGTGACCTCCCCTTTGCGGGGCATAATACCGGCTCTCGAATACATAGTCAAAGCCCTTAATCAGACTTCTTTACTCAATTGCTATGAAACCTCATACGGCCCGATCCGAAACCGATAGAAAGCGAGGTTTTGAGTCGCAGTCTGTGTTTGTGATGTTGGATCTGAAGGTGCATTTGTAAGCAACGGCACGTTCTCTAAGGTACCTACAGTAGGCTAAAGTTGAAGGTAGCTCAGCGGCTAACATAATAACTGAACGCTCGAACCCACTGCTATAATAGTCTCGACCTGAGTTCACACGAGTCGCAAAACGAGGCGGAACTGGGGATGCAAATAAACAGACCTTTGTACCTTTGAAATTCGTATCCTTACATCTCGAAATAACAGATCCTGATACGCTTGATTATTCACCCGACGACTTGGGTGACCATCTCCGTTCACCGGCCCTCAGTCCCTCACGACGGAGGCCAATGCCCGATTTGGGGCGGCGAGATGCGGCCTATGCGGCCCACTGATGCTACGTAAAAAGAACAAGCCCACACTTTGAACCGGGTTCGATTAACCATAAACGAGGGCCGGAAGACGACCATTTGCTAATGGTCCTGACTAGCAGCAGATTTCAAGCAGACGGACTTGTTCCTCCGCCAATCCTTTTGCTAGACTTATACCCTGTTTATACCCATCAGTATTAAAATCGAGCTGGCTTGCCGCAAAGATGAAAAGCTTTTCCCCTTGCTGTTGGGTCAGTAGTAGCATTGGACGTGGTGACTCGGCTCGTAATACTCCGTAGAACGGCATGACTGCAGCTGATCCACTCCCTTGTAAACTTGTAAGTTAGCTGCGCCTTACCATCGACCATCTTGTGCATGACGCCCTGCCCTGCCATCGGCCTCATAGTAGTTGTACTAGGATCTTGAGGGAATGTGCACTTTGATACTACTTGCAGATCATGACATCCTGATCTTCCAAAGAAGGCCTTCTTCAACATGTAAACAACACCAGAGGTATTGATGACTCAAGTGGTCAATATCTTCACCGACATCACCAGAATTCAGCTTCTCTCACGGCTTGAAAACTGGAGCAGCGGACGACGAAAGCCGAGTAACGCGGCTCCACAAAGACTCACGAGCAACCCAAACTGATCGGATATCGGCCGCATGTCCACATCCGTTCCCCATCTTGATACTATATGACTGACCCTGCTCCGTACTCCGGAAGATCATCCTTCTCCTTGCCCTCATCTTCAATCGCATGGTGTGACCTGGAATCGGAATCTTCTCGTATCCTGACCTCTGTTGACCTTTTTCGAGAAAGGTGTCGTGAGCGCTTCTTGAATCCGGTGCTATAAGTTTGCCGTCGTTGACCGCGGAGATTTTTCTTTCTTTTGCTAGGATTCCTGCAGCGACATCGGCATATCCTCAAGAAGACAACGGCCCCCAAATCTCTGTTCCCAAACAAGAAGGCGCCTGATTAATAGACCAACTTGCTCTCCTTCAACTCAAGCGTGATATTTCCAGTCGAGTGCCAAATTCAAGCTGGTGAATCGGACAAGATAAGACAGGGAGCGAAGGAAAAAGCACCGGTCTCCTCATCATGGGACTTACACAACCGGCCACGACAGGCCAATCATCAACCGAAGTGTCTTCCACCGACGACGTCGCTTATGAACCGAAGCCGGAACCAATCACTCACAGACCTCAGTCAATACCATCTGCCGAAGCACAACCCACAGATGCTGCCATCACGATAGGACCTCCGCCGGATGGCGGACTGAGGGCGTGGCTCCAGATTGTCGCCGGCCACCTCGTCGTCTTCACCACCTGGGGTTACATCATCAGCTTCGGCATCTTCCAACCATACTACATGCAAGAACTCAACCTAGAGCCCTCTTCCGTGTCCTGGATCGGAAGCATCCAGACGTGTCTGCTGTTCGTCATCGGCACATTCACCGGACGAGCGTTTGATGCTGGATACTTCAGGCCCTGTCTGATATCGGGTTTCTTCATGCAGCTAGTCGGCATCTTCACAACGAGCGTGGCGACGACGTACTGGCAGCTGTTTCTCTCGCAGGGACTGTGTCAGGGCCTGGGCTGCGGGCTCGTTTTTGCACCGACTATTGCCAACATGACGACGTACTTCTCTAAGAAGAGGACATTGGCCCTGTCGGCGGCGGCTTGTGGTGGCGGAACTGGCGGCGTCATCTTCCCCTTGATTGCGCAGCAGCTGATCCCCCAGGTTGGATTCCGCTGGACGGTGCGAGCGATGGGATTGGTGGTTTTGGTGAGCAGTGTCATTATTGTCCTGCTGGTGCGGCCGAGGCTGCCTCCGCGAAAGGCCGGTCCTCTGGTTGACTGGGGCGCATTCAAGGAGATGACTTATGTCCTGTTTGCCATCAGCATGTTCATCACGCTCTGGGCCACCTACTTTGCGTACTTTTATGTGAGCTTCTTACCGCTTTCATCGTCGTCATTTCGAATCATGGGTTGTTTCTAACGGAATTCACCAGGCACGCGCGTTCTCCATCGACCGGCTCGGCGGCTCTCAGGCAACGTCGTTCAACATGCTCATGATCATCAACGCTATTGGCATACCAGGGCGATTGATCCCGGCATTTCTGGCCGACAGATTCTTCGGAGCCGTGAACGTTTTCATCCCCACGATCCTCGCGGCAGCTGTCTGCATCTTTGCGTGGTCGGGCGTCAACTCCATCACGGGCGACTATATCTGGGTCATCTTCTTTGGCTACTTTGGCGCCGGCATCCAGGGCATGTTCCCTGCGACAACGGCCGGGCTGACCAAGGACTTGAGCAAGAGCGGCGTGCGAATCGGTATGATATTCTCAATCATCAGCGTGGCATCGCTGACTGGGCCGCCACTGGCTGGGAAGCTGGTCGTGGTGGCTCATGGAAGCTATATCGGGGCGCAGATCTGGGGAGGAGTGTGCCTCGTCATTGGCGCATTGTTTCTCATTGCGGCGAGGTGGGCGAGCAAGCGGGAGCTTGCGAGGGAGAAGCTGGAGGAGCAGTCGGGTAGCTCTCCCGAATAATGAAGTGTACGATGACTGATGAAGAACTTAGAAAGAGGATGAGGACGAGGTAATGGCGGGAAGAAAAAAGCATATAGAATCGGCTGTTTGTTTGATGGCGTTATCATATCTGGGGACCCCACTATCGATACCGAAATTAATAGAGATGAATCAAACTTTGGAACTTGCTGCTTGATAGCAAAAGAGAATGGATGTCTGTGCAATGTATGAGATTCTCAGACTGGAAAATAATCAATAAATGTCTATCAAAACAAACCATAAGAGTCACCTTTTCTACAATTGAGTGTCATTTCGCAAATTGATAGTGCGGATCTGCTTTGATAAACCGCTTCTCAAACTGCTGCCCCGCCATCTCCAACCTGCAGAGGAAAATCTCAAGTCTGCATCAAACACTGTTGAATCAACAACTGCTAAAAATGTCAGCGCCTTGGATCTGCCGCAGCTGCGTTAGAGCTCTGCGACAGTCTCATAAGCTGCAGATTGTTCGATTCTCCTCCAATGGTAAAATCCTTCCCTGCTCAAGGACAAAGGAAACTCCTTGGCTGACTTGCATGCGCTTCAGATGCCGCGTCCACTTCGTCTTCGCTGGCCCCGAGCCTCCTCCGTCGCGCCCAATCGCTTTCCGCAGAACACGACGACCTCCAGAAGAGCCTCAACAGCTCCTTCGATGCCGCAAAAGCAAAGCGCGCCGGCGAATTGGGCCGCGTAGCCTCCGCCCTACGAGACTGGGAAACGGCGCAGTCATCAATCGTGGAACTGAAGTCGATGGCACAAGACCCCGACCAAGATCCGGATCTCGCCTCCATTGCTCGGGACGAACTCGAGGGCGAACGCGCCAAGCTCGAGCTACTGGAGAAGAAGCTCAAAGAAAGCCTGACACCGAAACACGCCTTTGCCCACCTGCCGTGCATGGTGGAGTTCCGACCGGGGCCGGGAGGTCTCGAGGGGAGATACTTTACCGATACGCTGTTCAAAATGTACAAGGCGCTGTGCGCGCGGCGAGGATACAGGGCCAACGTGCTCAAGTACGAAATGGCCGAAGCAGCGGGCGACCAGTCGTCCTCGTCAGGCGAGCAGCCCGTGCAGGAGGCCATTCTCGAGATCCAGGACGAGGGCGCCTACGACTTGTTCCGGGGAGAGGCGGGCATGCACCGCGTGCAGCGGATTCCGAGCACCGAGAGCAAGGGCCGCGTGCACACGAGCGCCGTTGCGGTATGGGTTCTGCCATCCTTTCCCGAAGGCGGCACCGGAGGCGACAATGTCGACGTCGACGACCCAGAGAGCGACTTTTACATCAACCCGCAGGACGTCAAGATCGAGACGATGCGGGCCAGGGGCGCAGGAGGGCAGCACGTCAACAAGACGGAGTCGGCCATCCGCATGACGCACATCCCGACGGGCACGGTGGTGTCGATGCAGGACCACCGGTCGCAGCAGCGCAACCGCGAGGACGCGTGGAAGATGCTGCGGTCGCGCATTGCCAGCCAGCGTGCGGAACAGCGCGAGGAGGAGGCAGCGCGGCTGAGGAGCAGCGTGCTCTCGCAGGCGCAGATTACCCGCGGCGACAAGATCCGGACGTACAACTATAACCAGGATAGATGTACGGATCATCGGGCCGGCTTGGATGTGCACAACTTGCCGGATGTGCTGGAGGGTGGAGAGACGCTGGACAAGATCATGGAGGCGGCGAGGGAGTGGCTAGTGAGTAAGGAGGTCGAGATGCTGGTCATGGAGGAGGAAGCCAAGGCGAAGAAGTGAGGGCAGGATATAATGAGGTGTACGATGAGAAATGAAGAGTAAGACTGGATCTTTGTAAACTGTATGATATCTGTATATATGAAGCGTGTACACCTAGATTATCACGCAAGATAGACACCTTTCTTCAAGGACTGACGCCTATTGGGTACATTACAAATCTACCTCGTTTGTGAATGATACCATCACGGAGGCAGATCTGAAACTTGTCCTGTCTGGCTAACTCTGTAGCCATGCAATGTGAATTGTAGTAGATATACACCTTCGAACAGGTTCCCACCAACCAAGCCCCATGCTTTTGCGCCGTAAACTCCAAAGTTGTTCACATCTCAGCCCGCTCCCAAATCGGCGGGATTGCGTTCTAGATAACCCTCAACTTCAAGATCCCAATAATCGTATAGGCCCCATGTAAATAGAGCTGGAAAAAGATAATAGAAGCCACAAATGATCAAACGCAGGCAGAAACCGCTATGTAGTTGCTTCACATCAGACCCCCAAGAACAAGCTTGCCTATCCCCGCCACCTCTGACTTTGCATGCGCCCTGCTGTGGTCCTCAAAGTCCTTGACGACGCCCTGCACGATAATCTTGCGAATCTTGGCATCCGCCTTGGTGAAGAGCTCGGCGATGGGCGCAGAACACTCCCGCGGCGACGGCACCATGGCCAGGAAGCGCGTGTAGCAATCGATCAGCACGTCGCACAACGTGGCAAACGTCTCGAAGAAGTCCGGGTCAAAAGGCAGCGACGGCGTCAGCAGGTACGTGTACTCTTCGCCGGGCAGCAGCTCCGACTCGGAGGCGGCAAAATTCATGACGGCGGGCGCAGGCCCCGTGTTTGTCGAGCCGGCGGTGGGCGAGTTGTGGCCAAAGGCGGCAGAGGAGTCGTCCATGCCAACGTCGGCGGACGCGGAGCGCCTGGTCTTCGCTCCTGGCCGACGGAACATGTTGGGGATGCGTGCCCGCGTCAAGGCGGCGGTGGAGGAGTCGCCGTGTAGCGTCTGGAAGGAGTCGAACTCGGCCAGCAGGGCATTAAGGCAGCGCAGAAACTCGAGCGGTGTGGACGAGTATAGGTCGTGGATGGTGGGGATGGAGAGGCCGAGGAGAAGGTAGTTGGTGGCCTTGCGCGAGAGCTTGCGCGGGTCGAAGCTGGGCATGCGGGAGAGGTCGGGCTTGTCGAAGAGATATGTGTTGAACCAGTAGACGCGGCCTTCGTGGCTGTTGGTTGAAGATTGTTAGCTTGCCATTGTCACTCAACGAAGACGAGGGAGGGCAGAGCAAGACTCACGCTTTGCGCAAATAGTCCAGCGTCGACACGCGCTTCTGGGCCGTCTCCGTCATCTGCTGGTGCAGTACATGTGCCTCGCCCTGCGCCAGCGCCCACATGGTGCTGCTCATGCCCGGGCGCGCCTCAACGGGCGTTGCTGGCGGTGCCATGGCGCTGGATGTGCCCGTCCGCGAGACGGTGACGGGGTCGGGGGGACTGGCCGGCGCTCGAGGGCCGTCGATGGCGTCTCGCCTGTCCCTGTCCCTGTCGGCGTCGGCGTCTCGTTCCTCCCCCTTTATATTATCCTTGTCCTTTTCCTTGTCTCGGTGGATGTGGACGCCGCCGTCCTTGTTCACGATCTTTGCAAAGGCGTGGGCAAGATCAGGCAGAGCAGGCGCACCGACGTCGGCAGCAGCGGCAGCGGCGGCGGCGGCGTTTGCGTTGGCAGCGTTGCGCCGTCGCGAGCCCGGTAGTGACGCCTTGAGGGAGGAGAAGGATGCCTTGCGCTCTTTGCTGCTGCTGCGGACGGCGGACAGCGACGACGAGTCGAAGCGGTGTTCGCGGTCTCGATCTCGGTCACGTTCTCGATCACGGTCACGGTCGCGGTCGCGATCTCGGTCTCGATCTCGGGTGGCTGGTCGCGGCAGATTGAGGGAGGCCGGGCTGAAGAGAGCCGCCATGGTGCCCTTTATACTCCAGCAATAGGAGACGGGAGGCTTGCACTATTGGATCGGGTCGTGGGGGGCTATTTTGGGTATGGAAAGCCGGTTCCTTTCGAGGATCGATGGGCGATAAGCGGCGCTTAATTTTGGTGGCTTCAGATGGTTTCTTCCGGGTTAGCGAAGGGGGCAGATCTGGCAGCTCGTACGACTCATGGCGGCGACTTGGCGTGCTTGCTGTGTGTAATAATTGCCGGGAAATTGTGCATGAAGACGATGGACGAGATGGGATATGACAGGTGACAGATGGCCGAGGGGAGGAGATTGAATGACGATGGCAGAGGTGGGAGGAAGCAGCCAAACAAATGTTAGAACCTACCTGAACCAACCTTATAGAGGTACAATACTCGCTAACACAACTTGCTAACACAGTTGCCATCTCACGATGGTTTTCTGTCGTTTCTCGTCTCTTCGTTGATGTTCATGTTCATGTATGCGGGATTGAGGAAAAGATTGGGATGCACGAGTTAGGAGGATTAAAAAGGAGGATTAAAAAGGAGCATCTAACAAAGTCGGTGTCATTTTTTCTCTCCCGACTTTCCTACCCAGGATGTCCATGCAACTGCTTGGAGACGCCTAGAGTTGTATTACCTACCTTGCACGTCTGGTTACATCCATGTCAGTGAGCGTGCGAGACCTTTGTGATGAAGTGTAGAGGGGGGACAATGTCGATGCATCAGGGAGAAGAGGATTATGCTGGTTGAAGCTGAGTTGCCTTTCAGCATGATGAGAGATACCTAACAGGTTAAATTTTGGATGGCAGAGTGCAATGACTGCCATGGACGTGAGAAAGAAATCTGGACATAGAGGGACGAAATCACATGGGTGAAAAGCGGCGGAGACTCTCCATGTCAGGCATTTTATCTGACATGAAACGTGCATTTTGGAGAAAGGGAAAAAGTGGGAGGATCCAACAAAATCAGGTAAGCTGTGTGGTGTCACTGACATTGCTAGATTCCAACTCTTTTCAACACAATCGCTGCATTGTGAATATTGTGGCAATTGATTAAGCAGCAGGATGCAAGTTTCTTATCCTTTCTTTCATGAATAACATATACTAAGCTTCATTACCTCCTCATCAACATTGACATCATCATTTTCATCATCATTATACAGCCTTGTCGGCAGGCACCTCGCGCTCGACATGGTCCAGCTCAACCCCCTTGTTCAGCACATGCTCCACGTCCGCCTGCCGCTGGTCCTCGCTGACGACGCCAAACAGCACGTCCATGTCCTCGAGCGTGAGGCCCTTGGTCTCCTTGATGAAGAAGATGACGAAAATGCACATGCCGATGCAAAAGCAGCCAAACATGATGAACGTGCGCCATCCGATGTGGTTGACGGCCGCGGGTGTGACCTCTGTGATGACAAAGTTGAACAGCCACTGCGTCGAGGCAGCAAGACCGACGCCGTACTCGCGGAGGCGGGTAGGGAAGATCTATAAGGCATCATAGGTTAGCAGTTATAAGCAGGTTAACGATGGTGAGAGCGTCTTGATCATGACTCACCTCAGACACATACACCCAGGGAGTCGGCCCCCAGGATGCAGAGTATCCAATCACATACAGATAGATCATCACCACCATGGCAATCGACGCCTGCGAAACCTTGGAGCTGTCCGGGTTGGGCGGATGCGTCGCCAGCACAGCGCCAATGATGAACATCATGCTGGCCATCCAGATGGAGCCTCCAATCAGACTCTTCTTGCGGCCCCAGCGGTCGATGCCCAGGATCAGGAACAGGCCCGTGGCGACGACCTTAACAGTGCCATACACGCCAGTTGCAAACAGCGACGAGTTGGTGCTGCTGATGCCCACCGTCTCGAAGATCTGGGGCGCGTAGTAACCAATGCTGTTGGTTCCCGTGAACTGCTGCCAGAACATGATGGCAAACGCCAGCACAAACCGGTTCCAGTTACCCTTCTTTAGGCACTCTCTCCAGGTGACGCCCTCGGTCATGGCCAGCTCCTCCTCGATCGATGCCCGGATCTCGGCCAGCTCCTTCTGCACCTCGGGGCTGTCCGGGGAGTCGTTGCGGATGTACGCCAGAGACCGCAGAGCTTCCTCGTGGCGCTGCTTCTTCATCAGCCACCGCGGCGACTCCTTGAGGAACAGCAGGCCGCAGAGCATGAGGCCGCCGGGGATCATCTGGATGCCCACGGGCACGCGCCACTGCTTGGTACCCGGCTTGATGTGCAGAGACACGCCGTAGTCGAGCCAGTAGGCAAAGGTGCTGCCGATGACGAGGAACTCCTGAAACAGGCCCGCGACGCGGCCTCGCGTGGCTGGCGGGCAGTTCTCGCTCACGAAGACTGGTGTGATGGACGACATGCCGCCGACGCCGAAGCCGGCAATGACGCGGCCGCCGTAGATCTGCCCGATGCTGTGCGAGGCGCTGGTCTGAATGGCGGCGCCGACGAGGAAGATGAAGACGAAGAGCATAAGCGCGTACCGTCGGCCGATGCGTTCGTTGACGAAGGCGGCCGTTATGGCGCCAAAGAAGCAGCCGGCTGTCAGGAGGGAGACAACGTTGGACGAGACGTGGGCGTTTTGGGCGGATGCGAAGCCGCCCGAGTCGGTTGGGAGGCCGAAGTCTTGTTTGAAGCTCTTGAGGGCGAGCACGCTGCCCATGACGCCCGTGTCATAGCCTTGAATGACGATGATGTTAGCATATGCATCGACCTCGTGGCTAGGAGGCTAGAGTAAGACATGATGATAAGATCCCAGAAGATGGGATCCGGATGAACAAGTCTTGTCTCAAGAAGCTCTGGTATTGAGAGGAGAACAAGGGAGGGAAACAAACCAAACAGCAGTGAGCCTAGATAGGCCACCGACGTGAGGATATACACGCGATAGTTCTTGAAGAAGCGCATCTTGGGCGTCTCAGCAACCAGAAGATCCGGCTTTCAACACTTCCTCTTCCTACGAGAGCGAGACAGAGCTCAAGGAGAGGGTAGGTCGTCCTTGATATATACCCTTACAACTCGAGAGCTCTCCATCCCGATGCTACGCTGAGTTACCTCCATCATTCCTTGATTTTGTCAGGAAGTGAGCAACACACCCCAATTAGCACCGATCCTCCATATTGAGGGCGTGCTAACAGCAATTCCCCCGGAGCTAGGTATGCACTGGTTGGTTCGCCGGATGTGGATAGTGAGCACGGGCATGTTTTGCAGGGCTGGATGTCCCATGATTTGTCCCATTTATGTATTCTTGTATTCTTCGCATTCAGATGCCCTCTCGCACTTGATTAACCCCAGATCCGACCTCCATTTCCCCAAAGCCTGTTAGCTGGCGGATTGGTTCGGGGGAGTGGGACATCGTGGAGTTGGCCGGGTTAGCGACCAGCCCCAACCAACAAGCAACAAATCAACATGGAAGAAAAGCAGCTCCCCCGCAGAAGGCAAGCTGGAGCTCCCCGCACTCGGGCCGGCTCCAAAGTCGGCTCTCTTTGGGCCTGTCTTGTGTCCATATTACCTACCTTCGGCAAAAGGTTTCTTGACGGGAGCGAGGCGGTTTCCCCGTGTTAGTGAGCGACCCCCCTTGGGAGGAAGACGTCCGTTTCTCGCTGGAATACAACCCGAGATGGGTGTGGGGGTTCTTGGCTCAGTTGCCGAAATGCCGGTGGCTGTTGGGAGGGATTTCCCGCCAATGGGGAGGGGAGTTTGTATGATGGCTGTTTTCTGGAATGTTGTTTGTTGGCGTCATTGAGGGACTGTGCATCGAGCGTGTGATGATTTTCTTCTTCTTTGGTATCTTCATACCATCACAGAAAGACGAGGCTCATTGTGAGAGGAAAACGAAGACGAAGAGTACGGATCATCAAGCACCGAGACAGGGTTTGCACCTTTGGGGGGGATGTCAGCCGTACAGACTGCAGAGGGCTCGTTTTAGTCCCTGCAACGGAACACTTCCCCCTTCTGATGTGCCAATGCTTCGGATTCGGCTAGCTTCGACATTGGACGATTCCGCATGGCTGGGGTAGCATTCGATGTCACTCAAGCACATGCGATATCCAGCTGAGGTGGTGCTAGGATTCGTGCCAAAAGGCAGCTAGCATCCCATAGGCCAGGTGAAATCATGGTTATCGTTCACTGTTTACCCAAACTTGTCGTCGTCGTAGGAATATCATCTGGAGTATTCTTCTACACGCTGAACCATGAGCTTTGGTGTTCACCGCAAGCGTCTCGTGGTGGGACTGGAAAGTTTAAAGCAGTGTCAAGCAGCCTTGGGGTAGACACTTAGAGACGGTTATCCTGGAGACTATCTTTCTACGCACTGCTGAAAGAGCCTACCTCCAGCCCGAGGCGTTTGCAATTCTTCAACCGTCGACCTTCTGGATGTCTCCTCATTGTGAGCTTATATCGAATCTCAAGAGGAACCCGCAGTTGGTTGCGAAATCAGCATCCGCAATGACACACAACTACCTCCACAATCCACGGTCATATACCCCTGCAGGGAAAATTGACTGCATGAGAATCGGAACGCCCGTGGAGATATTATGAGTGGTCCGCCGTAGTCCAAGCTCCTGTCGAAGCTCAGTATCATCAGCTAAGTCTAAAACGTTGAGTAGGCATGTTTACTCCGTATACGCACAACACTTCCAGGTGGAAAACATATGGTGCATCAGATTAAACTATAAATCAAAATGGTATATCCCAACCTATATATGTCTATATACAAGCCCAATCTTCATATATGTGGGCGTCCTTGCTATACAGGAAAGATGAGTTAACCCATTCATCCGCGCAGGCCTTCTGCCATAGCCAGCAGCAGACCAAGCGCCTTGTGAGCCGGCGCCCTGGTCTTCTTCTTCTTGGGAGCGGGTGCTTGTGTCTCATCCTGCTGAACCTCGTCGTTCTCATCTGTCGACCCCGAGACAGCAGAAGTAGCGGCGGACTTGGACGACTCAGTCTTGGTGCCGGCAGACTTGATGGCCTTCCGGGGCACGCTCCTGAAGACGCAGTCGCCGTCGCCCCAGATAGAGTTGGCGGCGTTCACCCAGAGAGTCTCGGGCTTGATGAGCGTCTCAGCCGTGTAGAACAGGCGGCAGTCGGCAGCCTGGTAGACAAAGTGCGTGGGAGTCTGGTCGTCAAAGGGCGAGAAGGCGTTGCGGAAGTTGACCGACGCAGTCGTGAGCCTGAGCGGCATGTCCTCGAGGGCGACAGGGATGTAGGGCGAGAAGACAGACATCTCCTTGTCGGTGAAGAGCGGCTTCTTGTTGTCAGTGGCGTTTTGAACCAGGACTTGGGCGTTATTGAAGTATGTCGAGATGGTGTTGAAGGCGAGAACCTGGCTGCCCTTGACGCCTCCGATGCTTTGCATGGGACCAGCCTGGGGGCGGCCTCCGGTGGTGACGACGCGAACGCCGTAGGGGATCATGTGGTTGACGAAAATGGTGCAAGTCGAGGAGCACTGGCCGTCAGTGAGCTAAACGAGAGAGAGGCGTGTTAGTGAGAAACGGCGATGCAACTCATCGAGGGGTGACCTATAAAGGGGATGAAGGGAGGGCTTACAATGACAATGTTCTCTGGCGCAAACGGCGGAGTTGTACCGTTGAGGACTCCTCCCTCATTATAGACGTTGATGGGGAAGAGCGTCTCGTTGTTAAAGGCAAAGGTGTTCTCGGCCACAATTGCAGTGGAGGGAACGCCAAGGATATCGAAAGGGCCCAAGAAGTCCTCCACAGATTTAAAGGTGGTGTTTTGGTCCGGCTTGACAAGGGTGGGCACGAAGAAGCCATCTTGGTCGAGCCCATCAGCTACTGTGTCTGGAGAACGGTTGTAGGTTTCAACGACGAACTGTGTCCCGGGATGGGAGCGGTATCGGGTCGCCGAGAAGATGGTCATGTTGGGAAAGAAGACGCTGACGAGGCCAAAGCCAGAGTTGACGACTCCACCGCCGTTGTTGGTCACGTCAATGATGATTTTAGACTTGCCGGCGGCAATGGCCTTGGAGACAAAGTCTTGAGCCTCAAGGACGAAATTGGCAATCTCATTGACCGGGATACCGGATGCCGCGTCTGTTGTTTCAAACGTGGGCACTGTCAAGACAGCGACGTCCTCCAGCCCCTTGTCGTCGGGAAAGTATCCAGTGATCAGGTTGAAGGGATCCTTAACGATGGGCTTGGGGTAGGTTTCCGGAGCGGGCTTCTCTTTCGCGCTTGTGCTCGACTCTGCGCGCTTCTTTTCGCCGGAGTCATCCGATGAGGCTGGCTTGGGCTTGCAGGCGGCGTCCCACAGCTCATCACCGTTTGAGAAAGTGAAGTCGGTGTCGAGCCGTGAGCTGACGATTGCAGTGAGAGGAAGTGTCTGCTGTGTTCCGTTGGCATAGGTAAGGTTGAATTCGTGCGCCCCTGGTATCGTGACGAATCCCGCGTAGGATCCAGGAAACTCGCTGCCATCACGGGCGATGGGCACGTTGGCCAACATGCTATTGTATCGGGCATCCGGGTCCTGGAAGCCCATAGTCTCGGAGAGCTGTTCGGTAAACGCCTCGGCACCGACTCCGTTGATGAGCGTCACGGGGGAGACGTCCTTGTTGCCTTGGGCGAGGAGCTTTCCATCACCCAATGTGTAAAGACGAGGAATTGCTATTCCATCGCTGGAAAGCGAAGCCAACCTCAGTGGACTCCGGAAGGTGAAGATAAATGAGCAGGGCAAGATGACGAGATGGCCGTCGTTTGCAAAGCTGAGGAGGTGGAAAAGATCCGCGTCAAAATCGTACTGTGACTTATACAGATTCGCAGATGCTCTGTCGCGGATGTTGGCGAGCCCCCCAAAAAGGTCGACAGTGGCAGAGAGAGCCGTGGGTGGCGGATCTGGTAGACTCACGTCAGGACACGGTTCACTGATGGGCGAGGTTAAGAGAGAACAAAGCATTACTTCTCAGGATCTCGGTGGTGGAGTGCCATTCAAGATACTTTTTGAGCTCGTCAACGAAGCTGACTGCCACGTCGGACTTGAAGGGCGTAGTCTCGATGCAGGCGAGTGCAAGCTGACTGGAGAAGCTGGTTGCTGGAAAGGTATTATTAGACAAAGGCATGTACAACACAGGTTTTACTCGGTTGATTCAGGACTTACCCCCAGACTTGACCAACTTGGCAATCTGCGCACATGGCTCAGCGGCTGTTGAAGATTTGGAGGAGGTTGAGGCTTCTGCAGCCAAGGCCGTTGTTGCCACGGCCGCCACGGCGGAGAGACGTGATAACCAACCCATGGCTTCTAATAGACGAAGAGAAACAGAACGCTGAGAAGAAATAACAACCCAACAAAACAAAACAAGAGAGAAAGGCCACGGCACCACTCTGAAGCGTTGTGGTTCTCTTGACGCTGGACACTGCTTGGTGATATAGCTCAAAGCAGAGCATGTGCTTGTATATATCCATCTCGACATCAACACCAGCTCACATGCCGTCATTATAAAGCAAATCGTAACTCGACTCAGCTCCCTCAATGCCAGTACCTTTTTTTAGGGCAGTCCATACTTTCCCCCAATTAGCTCCAATAATCGAGGCCAAATGATGGGGTTTCAACAGACCACAGCCCACTTTCACCCACGTTCGTCTCTCCCCCTGTGCTGACGCGACCCGCAAACTCAGCCTAACCCTCTACCAAGCTGCGGTGTAAGTTGGGTGCTTACACCTTGTGCACTACGGCGGCAGTCCAAACACTCTAGGATTCCTAGCTCGAGTCCTGAATTTTGAGTCGTGATTCGTAGCTCAATGCTTGTGCGTTGTCGAAATTGTAATCAACCAAGATGTGACACGAGAGATCTTCGTCTTACTTCGGCCTCTGCGTCCCCTGGTTAAAGTCCATATCTACGGTTTGGAAGAGTATCGTGGTGGTCATTTGGCCCTATTGGAGCTAGGCCTGTCATCGCCCGCCCATGCTAAGATCTGCCAAACGCGGGCCTACTCGGAAATGTGCCATTGGGCTGAGATGGGCCCTGAGGAATTCCGCACTATCGCCATACGAGCAGCGAACCAGAACTACCGAGGCGGAGCTGCAGCAAGCTGTCCGGCTATGGCAGGGGATAGGACAGCTAACGAGAACTACTCGTAATAGGACTTGGTCTTGTCTTTGAGCTGCACAAGCAGGGTAATCCTGAGACTGGCCAAGCAGTCTGAGTCGGCTTTGGGCTCTAAATCCGATGCAAAGCATGGAATTAGGAATGGTATCGTCAGCAGTCGTCCGTGGTTCGTGGAACGCTGTGACAAGTTTTTCCAAGATTCCAAAGAGATCTACGAATCAGCTGGGGGTCCTTATACTCTATATAATAGAACACACGAAACACGGGCAGACCACATGGCCAGGTCCTCCTGATATTGTTCAGTCACAATAGCTGCTGGTCCTTGACTTGCGGGTAACAGGCCAGTGGTAAGCCAGAGCTCACGAAATGAAAGTCTTGATGTTGTAGAATATCTCAGTAGAGGAATACTATAGTAGTGCTCCAGAAGAACAATAAGCAAAAGAACAAAACCGGAAAAAAAAAGAAATGAAGCCTCTTCCCGCCCTATCACGGCCGTCAGCTCGCCTAACCCACAACCATGCAAAGGTCCCCAACCGCGTCATGCTCGCTCCAGGGTCTAGTCCCACACTGTCAGATGGCTAACGCTTCTAATGCCAGCGTGGCTGAGCGTCTATGATGACCGGCCCGCTGCTAGGCTGATTCTAAATTTACCCATCGTTGCTCGATAGGACTGCTGTGCATTATTATTAGGGCTGGCGTTGGTAAGAGCTGCGGCCTTGGCTTCATTTATTCCGGGCAGACGGCCTGTCACTACTGAAGAAAAACGTTGAAGACTTGTTGCGTGCATGGAGTTCTGATAAACACTCGCTTGCTCTGCATACGCCCTCCCTTGCTTCGAGCTGCTGCTTTCTCCTTCACTGGCTGGAGTGGGCATACCTATATGTGAGATTGAACAAGTCCAGCCCTCTCTGACCCGACTCCTCGGTTTCTTTGTTGTCAATCATCCCGCAATCATCGCCAAAGAAGAGCCATAATGGGCAAGGGAGGCCGCATCGCATGTATTGCGGTGCCATACCTATGGACAATAGGAGCTCTGATTGCCCTCATTTTCGTGGGCTTAGGCTCAACAGACGAGGATTCGTCTACTTTGAACAAGTTGTATTTCATGAGAGTAGGTTATGGTCAAGAATTTGTTGAGTTTGTAACCATAACAGCGTCTGATCAACTTCATCACAGGCCGATCTTTCGAATGTCACCCACGTCGAGGCTACGAGATTCGGCGACCGGTTACTTAATGTCACTTATACCCACATGAGAAATGCTACCGAGGAGCTCGCCAAGGCCATGGAAGAGGCAGAGGAGGACTCGGAGCTGCGCGACTTCTACAACATCGGCGTCTTTGGTTACTGCACGGGCGACAAGGAGGGCGACAAGTTCATTGTAGACTTTTGCAGCAAGCCCAAGGGCAGCTTCTGGTTCAACCCGCTCGAGGTCTGGCACCTGAACATCAGCGGCGTGCCGGACTTGCTGCCGTCGCATCTCCAGTCTGAGCTCAAGACGTACCAGAAGGTGTCGCACTGGATGTTTGTTGCGTATGTCCTTGCATTTGCCACTACTTGCATTCAGTTGCTGGTAGGCTTTTCGGCCATCTTCAGCCGCATTGGAAGCTTATTCACGACTCTCGTCGCAGTGGTAAGTCGATGATCTCGCTCTATGGTAACCAGCTTCGAATAGCTCTCAAACTGACACGATGCTACAGGTTGCGACAATCTTCATGCTAGCGGCTAACATCACTGCGACCGCCCTGTTTGTTACCCTGACCGGCGTCTTCAACTCTTCTCTCAAAGAATACGGCGTGACGGCACATCTCGGCGGGAACCTCCTTGCCGCTTCATGGCTGGCCGTTGCCCTGTCCATGGCAAGCTCTGTCCTGTGGCTCTTCAGCTCATGCTGCTGCTCTGGTCGCACTGAAGCTCGTCGTGTTTCGCCAAAAGGCAACTATGAAAAGGTTGACCCAGCAGGCGGCGCGTCGACACAGCACAACGGCCACACCACGGCGCCGGCTCCCACGTTCGACAAGACGAATACGGCGTACGAACCATATCGTCACCAGTGAACACGCTTGGAGTAACAGGTTGATGTGCCGTGAGTAAAAGAAGGAAGAAACTGAATGTCGTGTTGTATATAGTCATTAGCCAAGGCAAAGCCTTTTTCATTTCGTTATCGTCATGACATCTGGGAGACGAAATGGTCATTGTGTCCAGAGCGTGATTCTGTCGATGTAATGGGACGGCCCTGTATCGTGTTTAGTAGATCCATTATACCAAAGTAAATAATTCATGTATATTTACCACCCTCATTAGCTTCCGTCAACTGTATGAGCTCTTGGCTTGTCTCTGTCAGCATGGATCATTTCAGTAGAGGGGTAGCATCTTCTACGAATGGTTACTCAAGGCTCTACACAACACAGCTATAAGCTGATGTGAGCCAGTGCGCGATACAATCGATGGTTGTAACGGAAAGACGCGCCTCTAATTGGGAGTCTAGCTTTACTGACTTCAGCCCTACAAACATCTACATACCGACAGAGCCCCATTTAACATCCTGGGGGACCAAGTAATAAAGCAGCGATGGATCAAGGCTTAAATCCCATCAACCCCCTGGACTGTCACATGCGACAAGCTCCATATCCCCCATAACCGCTGTGGCGGTGCCTGATATACATCAGGCGGGGATACGGGATTCGGCAGGTGTGAAAGCTCGTTACAAGCAACAATAGCAACCGCTTAAATCTCAACGCCTAACGCAGCTGTTTTCACCGTTTGGCTACTGTCTAACCAACGATGTGATAAGCCTGACTTACACAACAAGCCAGTGCTCCTGGCTCATCATCAATACGCAAAATAGCGGCTTAGAGCACATCAAGCAAAGCTTCTCTCGATTGGGAAAAATTAGGAGCGCCCCTTCCGGCGACTCGATCCCAATCTTCAATAGGCCCAAAGCCCCAATCTCTGCATTCCTATCAGTCACTCGTTGATATCGTCAAAGACTTTCAGGGTCACTGTACAAAAGAGACTCGAGGAAATCAACAAGTCCGGAGCTGTCCCCGATGTGCTCGAAGTTAGTGAGGAGTGAGGCTAGCTGGTAGCCAAGTATCTAGCCACAAACAATGCTGCCAGAATATGTCATAGAGACCACCTATAAGTGGGATAATATTATCCTCGAAAGCCAGAATGATGCTGAGGAGCCCCCGAAACGTTTGCAAGGTGCTATAGTAGGAGGAAGGATAGCCATTGCCAGTACTCAGTAAAAACAAGTCTTGTGAGCTTTATCCTGATACTCGGGCATGACAGTACTGCTTCTAAGACCAAGTGAAAGACGCAAAGCTAATCACAGGTTGGATACCCCAACGGCGAGACAGATGATAGAGTCTGTGCCGATACCATCCATAAAAACCCTCTCAGAACTGTATTTGGTTCAAGACGGTGATTGTCGCAGACTTTCAACAGCCTGCAGATACGGCTTGTTCATTCCGTACGGCCCAGGCATAAGACTTTCGGGGTTGCATTCTGTTTCTGCCCAAGACTGTGCGTTTCTTGATGCTAAAGTTCAGAGACACTAATTCTGTTACTTTGAGCTTATTTATAGAGTTGAGGTAATGCTGAGTGGGTGCCTGTAAGGGGACGCACCCTTGTCGATGCATACGTCTCCAGATGACGACGACTTACTTTGTATATCCACTCGACACGCGGCAACGACAGGCATCGTGAACCTTTGTCTAACGCCGCAGCAGAAAACAAACAAATTACATGACTTGAGATATTGCAGCTTTGACATAGCCCTTGGCTGTGCCAAGAGAATCACCACCTTGCACCACTCAGAAAATGTCTGTTTTCAGTAAAAGTCCCTACGGACGAAACTCTTTTACACACAAGCTGACTTTAACCGCAAGCAGAGCCTACAGAGAGAGCACATGAAGACTTAAGAGCGGAGACTCCCATTCAGCTGAACAGCATCTTTCACATTTAGCTCAATTTCATGCTTATCGGCCCTGTTGAAGCCTTGTCAGTCTGCAGCAACCGCGTTGTATTCTGAAGGGTTTATTATCATAATGTCCTTTCCGAGGTGAGAAATCGCCGAGGACGTTTCCTAGGTCAGCATCAGAGACAGACCGGGAGGACTAATCTCCTCACTCGTGCTCTATCCTGCATAGAGCGTAGACATGGCGATGGCCTCAACTCGTCATTCTTCATCTGTTATTCTACGATAGAATGAGTTTCTGAATGTAGTCCTCTCATGAAACCAAGCATCAGGATAGGCAACGAGCAGCATTCCCAAGTGAATCACCAAATAGTTTTAGCGTGGAGGCCTGCTAATAACAGATTTCTCACAAGAACAGCCATTCGAAAGCTCCTGACTACCCAGATTCTCAGCGAAAGTAGAAGACAGGTAGTCTGGTTGTCACATCCGTAGCATGAGTGGCTTAGACTTTGACCCCTGGAAGTTTTCAAGGCTAGGTTTCACTGCATAGATGATGAATGTGCGAACAGCGAGCGCAAGAACCATGTCAAGAACTGAGATTGGCAAGTTAGGCGAAAGCATCCGTTCCTATCAGGTATTTGATGGACCCAAGCATACCAGCCTAGGTAGCAATTTCGTGGGATCAATCGGAGGTTTCTTTTTACATAGCATCCCGACTTTTGTTCCTTGGCACATGCTCTATCGGAGGCCTTCTTCACAGCTCACCTGAAGCCCAATTGCTCATGTAGGTTTACAGAGGTCTCCGCTAGCTTTAGGACGAGGGTCAGCTCGTTAACGTGAATAACAGCCTGGCTGTGCAGCGAAGCTGTCACGATAGCACTACTTACGCGTCATGGCAATATTACCGCCGAAGCCAGACAGGTTTTCTTCTTTGTATAGCCCACTTTACAATCAATGCGTTACCAGGGTCTCTAGGCGGGCCGTCCCTCTCATAGCCTGTTCTCGCCACTATAATATGGGCGTGATGGATATCCGATTTTCAGACGATACTTTGATATCAAGACTCAAGAAAGTATTCATAGTCTCTGCTATCGACATTCTAAAATGCATCTCTCTCGCCTCTTCCAGGTGGCATTGCTTGTCGGCTCCGCTTCCGCCGAAGTGATGTCTGGTAAGCGCAACTTCACACTCAGTGGGTGTTTGCACTCTGTCTCTTACACATCAAAAGCAACATTCAACTCTCTTTACGACGACCCCTCGCGCTCTTTGAGTGAAGTCACCTGCTGGAGGAAGAACATCGGTTTCATGCCCAACTTGGACTGGACTCTTCAACAGGATGCGGCTGGATTTATCGGCCTGGATAAGGTTAATGGATTGAACTCTGTCAAGTGTTTCACTTGCTGGAAACTCAGCTATGAGGGCAAGACTATATCGCTGCTTGCTCTTGATGGTGCTGAGTCTGGAGTTGTCATGTCTTTTAGCGCTTTGCAATTTCTCACAGATGGACGTGCTCAGGAACTGGCTCGAGTCGACGTCGATGCTGTTGAGGTGGATACAGCGGAATGTGGATTCCCAGCAAGCAAGCTGCATGCATATGATTTCTAGTCCTGTCCCCCGTCTTGGTATGGCTCAGATGCTATGCGGTGGAATTTGCGGGAATCTTTGCGATACGCCTATAGTGTGCGTTGGAGTTATCTGCTGAATGGTCGATGTAGTTGATCGTGTGTAAGCATGATTTCTCTGAAACACTATGTTACATATTTCATCCTAAAGCGCACCTTTTATTAACCAGTTTATCCGAGAATTTACAAGGTATGTGACACGTCTTGTTCACGCTATATCATGGCAGGATATGGGTCTACGTGGGTTGAAACAATACTTGTCCTTCACAGCGTTTTCATTTCAAACATCGCCTCTACTCACCATCCTTCCGGAGGGATTCAGACTCTGTGACTCTTGACAGTCCTTTCACTTTACTTATCTACGGCTCACCAAACAGCTTCACGGTCATCTTCACTACACAGGCTCAGCGCTCATGGAAAGTATCAGCCAAAGCTGATGGATACCTGTCATTATACAGCAGATTGAACCGGCCATCGCACTGATAAAACCGCCCTTCCTCATAAACAAACTACTTGCTCGAGTCATTGCTCTCTAAGCCTCATCAGGGGGCGTCTGCTTTCGAGCAGTGTCCTCAATGTAGATCGTCGTGGGAGTCGTCCTCGTCTTGCTAAAGTCCCGCATCGCTGTTCCAGCCGCAAACAGCTCGTCAACCTCTTCAAGGCTCCGGCCTTTCATTTCCGGAATGAAGAAGTAAGCTACGCCAACCATGACCCAGTTGATGGAGCCGTAGATGAAACCGACCTTGGCACCCAAGGCGGCATACGGCGCGTTAAGGAGATACGGGATGGTGAAAGACGTGACAAAGGTGGTGATGATGGATATGACGGATGCAAAAAGGTTCGTCTTTTCCTTGACTCGAGTGGAAGCGGCTTCAGATACCACCACGTATGAAACAGGTGCCCAAGACAGGTTGTAAGAACAAGCAAACAAGATGAAAGACGCCACCTAAGAAATTTGTAAGCATGAGATTCGAGAGGGACGCTCAACACCAAGGCTTACCAATGCTGCTCTCTCAGAGTCATTAGGGTTCTTCTCAAGTCCAACTCCGCCCACGATGAAGAGGAAGATGGCCATGCCGGAACCACCAATCATAAGCATGGGGCGTCTGCCGACCTGATCGATCAAGAACCAGGTAGTAACGAGGCAGACGAGACCAGTGACGTTACTGAGGATGTTGAATAGGAACGCCTGGCTCTTGTAGCCCTGGGATTGGTAAAAGACGACAGAGTACTGGCTGGAAAAGGCCTGACCAGTAATCTGCTGGCCGAACATGGCAATGACAGCAACCATGGTTCGCTTTCGGTTGTCCATGTTGAAAACCTCTGCCCAGGAGCCCTTTTGCTCGGTAGAGTGAGCATGACGGAGGATGTCGATCTCTTGCTCGATTTCGGCCTCTGTATGATTCTTGTACAGTCTTCGCAGGGACACCTTTGCTTCTTCGACCTTGCTCTGAGAGAGGAGCCTACAGTTTGCAATTAATCAGCTTAACTCTACTTCGAGTCTTCGAAAAATACAGCATGATGCTTACCATCGGGGAGACTCAGGGACAAGAGGTAGCAGGCCCACGATGAATGCCGGGGCAATAAATTGCAGGCCGACTGGAATCTGCCAGCCCTTGTCACCCGAAATGTGCTGAGTGCCAAAAGTAACCAGCGAAGCAACCAACTGGCCAAAGACAATCATCAGTTGTAGCGTGGACGTCATCATACCGCGGAGGACCTTTGGTGATGTCTCGGCCAGGTAGATGGGGACCACGACGATAGTCATTCCCGTCATGGCGAAGCTGATGAATCTCCCCACGGTGAATTGTGCGCTCGTCGTTGCGGTTGTCTGTAGAAGAACGCCACTGCAGAATCCGGTGTTAGTGATGATACAATATACAAAATCCCATCTAAATCAAAGGGGTCGACTTACACGAAGGACAAGCAAGCCAGAACTAGAACACACATCTTGCGTCCGAACCGCTCCGCAATCGACCCACAGGCGATTGCACCCAGAGCTTTGCCCAGGAAAGGCAGAGAGGTCATGAGAGAAGACAGCCATGGGGGAAGCTTGCAGACGCCAGCTTCATTACATTCGCCAAACCGTTTGCCGAAGCTTTGCATGCCTTGGACTCCCCCAAAGTTGCCGACGTCGTAGCCAAAGTTGAAGGCGCAACTGCACATATAACTGTAGTGTTGTACGGTGATTAGAAGCCTCGGACCCGATCGGGATGTCATCAAACGGCGACTTACAGCATGATGAACAGGATGGTGCTGTTGAACTGCTTCAACCGGTGACCCACAGAGAGGTCTACCGACGAGGTGTCGCCCGCCATCTTGATGTTTCCGTATGGCAATACTGAGGATATCAAGGAGACGGTGATGGCCGTGATGAAAGGAGAGGAGTTTTGCTAGATGTTGTTGGCTGCTCTCGAAGACTCAGGCGATATGAGCGTCTGTATCCTTGCAGCAAAACCTTGATCGCGTTAGACCGCGTTCCCAATGCTACCGTTCCTGTCACCCTCTCCAGGAGGCGAGAAAATGACAGGATCATTCACGACATATATAGCATCTTTGAGACATCGAAGTCTTTGAAAGCCGCCGCTGGCTTTCCTGTTGATGACCGGATCGTTGAGCTTGGAATTGTTTGTAAATCAACATTGCACCATCTCGACGGTTCAACTCGCAATGGACGTTGTCCGCTGCAAAGCGCCAGAGCGAGTGGCCGAATGCCGGCAGCTAGGAGGCCGAAGTCCGGTGCGAAAGCCGGCACTTGCGAGGGCCGCGAGTCAAAATCTCGTCACATTTGCTCGGCTCTCTCCGCAAAATCCAGGGCATCATTGCGGAGAGGAAGTGTTCAAAGGAAACTATTCAATCCTAAGTAGGGGGAAACATGTCTCATCTCCACGATCTCGTGTCTTGGGATGCTGACTCTGTCATGGGGAAGTGGGAGAAGCTGGAGAATCCCCGTAGACCAAGGCGAGAACCAGAACTCTGGGACAACAGCTTGGGCAGCGGTTCCCGCGCGAGGCCCCGAGTTCCATGTGGTCATGCTCAGCTTCTGACGAGGACGAATGCCGATGACAGCTACTACTAGTAGGATGGAGGGATGGAGATGGTATGGAGAAGTAGTCTTTCGTACTACGAGCTCTCTGGCTGTGTCACAATAGTTTAGGCAGCTTTGATGGATCCCGCGTCTTCTTCTCTCCATGCATGATATGGAAAAAGTGTCTCCTCTCCATATATTGAACTTGGGGCTCATGATTAACACCTCGTCTACCACTCCTTTGCTCTAACACCACATCTCCTCGACCCTCTTGCGATTGAACGCCAACCCAGTCCTTACGCAATGGGCAGCCAAAAGGACACTCGTCCCAACTTCCTCGTCATTGTCGCCGATGACCTCGGCTTCAGCGACCTTGGCTGCTATGGCTCCGAGATAGCAACCCCTCACATCGACGCACTGGCGTCGCAGCAGGGAGCCCTGCGGTTCACACAATTCCACGTCGCCGCAGCTTGCAGTCCGACTCGTTCGATGCTCATGACAGGGACGGACCACCACATTGCCGGACTGGGACAGTTGCACGAGTTTGTCCGCAGCTCTCCTGCTCACCAAGGCCAGCCAGGCCATGAGGGCTATTTGAATGAGAAGGTCGTTGCTCTGCCAGAGCTTCTGTCCGATGGCGGCTACTTCACAGTCATGAGCGGCAAGTGGCATTTGGGCCTGCAGAAGCACCACCTGCCCATCAAGCGTGGCTTCAAGAAAAGTCTGGCGCTTCTGCCGGGGTGTGCGAACCACTATGGTAGGATTTGCCGCTTTCAACCAACCCCCCCCCCCCCCCCCCCCCCCCCCCTCCAAATTGAGTCGAGAGCGTGAGCAGCTGACAGATGGTTACAACAGCCTATGAGCCTGAATACCAGGACCCCTCCACAGAGCCCGGGCGGTTCTTCGAAACCGCGACAAGAGCGTTACACGCCGAAGATGATCGATATCTCAACGAGAAAGAGCTGGGCGAGAACTGGTACTCTTCAGACGGCTATGCGAGTCGCATGATCTCGTACCTCGAGAACCGCACTGAAGAGGAGCGTCAGCAGCCCTTCTTCGCCTATCTCCCCTTTTCCGCTCCACATTGGCCGCTGCAGGCTCCCAAGGAAGTATGCGATAAGTACAAGGGTCTCTATTCCGACGGGCCGGAGGCTCTGCGGCAGAAGCGTCTGGAGCGGCTCAAAGCTACGGGGCTAGTCAGCAGAGATGCCGTGGCTCACCCTGTCGTCACGACCGGCAACGAGGTGAAGAACTGGGAGTCACTCGATGCAGAAACCCAAGCTGCGTCTGCAAGGGCCATGGAGGTGTATGCGGGCATGGTAGATCGCATGGACTGGAACATTGGCCGTGTCATTGAGCATCTGCGCAAGACTGGCGAGCTGGACAATACTTTTGTCATGTTCATGAGTGACAACGGCGCTGAGGGAGCGAGCTATGAGGCAAGCCCTCTGGTTGGCGATAGCATCATGGCCCACGTCAACAAGTACTACAACAACAGCCTGGACAACATCGGTCGGGGCAATTCGTTTGTGTGGTACGGCCCTCTCTGGGCGCAGGCCGCAACCGCGCCATCACGGCTGTACAAGATGTTCTCTACCGAAGGAGGCTGCAGAGTTCCCCTGGTCGTCAAGCCTCATTCGGGCATTAACAACCAGCTCGGCAGTGCTGATGGCGGTGTCATCACGGACGCTTTCTGCACGGTCATGGATATCGTGCCTACAGTTCTCGAGCTTGCAGGGCTGAAGCACCCGGGCACGGAGTACAACGGTCGCAAGATTGCCTCCCTCCGTGGCCACAGTTGGAAAAGCTACCTGGAATCCGCCAGCGGCTGGAGTCGCAAGTCTCCGATTCATGACGCCGACTACGTCGCCGGCTTCGAGATTGCCGGATCAGGAGCGCTGCGTCGCGGCAATTGGAAGATCACCTTTGTGCCTGCTCCCAAGGGCCCTCAGCGGTGGGAGCTGTTCAACATCGAGGCTGATCCTGGCGAGACGAACGACCTGAGCAAGGAGGAGCCAGAGAGGTTCAAGGAGATGCTGGCTCTTTGGGAGGAGTATAGGAAGGAGGTGGGTGTCGTTGGCCTTGCTGGTGAGTACCCGAGGGCAGTTCAAGGCGCCCAGAAGACGACTCTAAAGGACGAAATGGAGGATCCTTATGCTTGGATCAAATATATTGGTAGACCAGAGATAACCCCCAAAGAGTTGGTGGGAATTGTCCCGTCCGCGTAAAGGGACATGCTGAGTAGAATCGTCAAATAAGTTATACGCCAATATCAAGAAACAAGCAACCAGTAGACTGAACATATTCGGACATTATAAGTGTTGTAGTGACTTTGCGATTCGCACTCTGACATATAGGACTGGCTCTCTAGTGTTGCTCTTCCGTCTTCGGCAATGTATAATGTTATTGCTTCAGATATTAGTCGAACTCATGTCAAAATCCAACCACGCAGGCGGCTCCGAAATGTCCCAGGAGATGTAGTCGGACATCTCGCCCGCCATCCGGATGTAGTCCTCCGCCAGATCAGATAAGTCCACCGCAATATTCATTACCCCTTCCTGAATTGTCGTTATATCCTGGTCATTGACGCTAGGAGGCGTAGGATGCGAAGCGTTCGTAGATGCTAGCTGCATACGGTCAAGAGAGATTTCGACACCTTCCAGGACACCGCCGTTTGTGATGCCGCCGCCGCCACCAAGGGTTGTGCCCTTTTGGGGCATCGAGATGATGGGGGGAGGGCGGACGGTGGCTGTTGAGGTCGAGCCAGGAAAGTCGTTTTTCACGGTCGGTGAGGAGGCCCGTCGCTGTCTCGTTTGGGCGCGGATCTCTTCTTTGGCGAGGCGGAACGGGGCAAGGCTGCTGAGGAAGCCGGTATCCTCTGGACCTGTCACTTCGGCCAGTTCTGTGTTCAATGATCTGGGGACGAAGTGTTAGACGCTGTATATTTCTAGATGATGGGAAAGTGACCAACATTGGGCTTGGATAGGCCTGCCACTCAGATACAACGTTGAGGAAGTCAAATTTCTCCAGCAACGGTATCAAGGCTTTGTGCTATCAGGTTATATACGGTCAGTTGCAATCTGCATCTTCTTGCCTCATCACCTGTAAGGCCGACTCACATAAGGATTCGGCTTGTCCTTCTGGAGGTGGAGGATAGCCAGTGCCCTCATATTGAACCGAATATTGTAACTCGCTCGCTCTCTCACATCGACAGCGTTCGATGTAGCCGTAGCAGTGTGAATAATCTGAATCTTGGTAGACTCGAATGTCGCCATTAAGCTGTGTAAATCATCAAAGACACGGATGCCGTAGCCGAATCCAATGCGAACGAGACGCGATATCTCGTCTGCGTGGAAGCGACACCGCTCCTGGCATTGCCTGCGAAATTCAAGAGGCGCAGAATGAAAGGCAGCTGATAGGGGAAAGACGTAGCCTGGAAGTGAGACTCGAAGGAGATCACATGCGGTTGAATGGTAGAGAAAGTGAAGCATAAAGACTGCGCCGATGATGCCAAGTTCTTTGTGGACGTATGCGTTGAGGTCAGATATCACCAGCTGTTCTGGTAAGCCGGCGTACCAAATCTCTAGGCGATGAATGATGTCGAGGAACGCAGACCCGGGATCCCAGATGTTGGCCTCTTGGTTGTTGTTTCGTATCAGTCTAGACATACGTGTTAGTGATGGCGGTCTGGATGATTCCGTCAACTCTTAAACGTTTAGTGGCTGACCTCAATACCCGCGTCCGGAGCTGTACAAGATAGATTGTGTGAGAGCGAAGATTCAGATAACTTCGATCTGGAAAGATCTCAAAAGTGCTCAGCCTTGGCGCATTCAGGTCGCTGATGTACTGCTCCTGGGCGATAAAATTGGCATCTGAGCATGGCAGCGGAACGCAAGGGAAACCGTGCTTCCAGTGAAGGTTCATATCTACCCCACCGCCGAGAAAGCTGTCGAGAAGGTAGCATGACCACAAGAGCCTTCTTTCAGTCTCAAGTTGGGTCATCTGAGAAAGTCCTGGTGCGTCCGACACCTTTTTGGCAGAGTCAAGGCTGAGCAACCTCATGATGCGCAAGCAGCATCCGAAGACGACAAACGCCAAAGCATGCTGATCCATAGCGATGGAATGCTCGCAGATGAGAACCATTGCCTACCATTTCGGGATTAGATATGTATAGACCGCAGTGTAAAAATAGCATAAAACAAACCATCATCGTTGAGAGGGAAGGATTCGCTATCTCCCTCATCGCCAGATCTCTAGCTCGTTCGGCCCAGGCTGCCCCAGGAATGCCATAAGATGCATTGACCTCGGCAGTATCATCCAATAGATGCATTCTGACGCTGTAGTCAGCCACTAGGGATCGACGAGAATGCGATGAATGCTGTCCTTACCGTGCACCGAAGGCGGCAACTATGTAAATCACAGCCTCCCCAAAGTCTTCATTGAGGGTGCCTCTGTCCAGTGCCTGGTAGAAAGTTGGTTTGTGGATGAAGCCCAGGCAACGAAGAGTTGAGATCCGATCAAAGAACTTATCGGCCAGTGCTCGTAGGCGAAGCGCATCTTGTGGTAGTGTATCCGCGAAAAGCCTGTAGATGACAAGAGAGACTTGGTCAGTTTGCTTCGTTCTTCTCGCCTCTCTGCTGTCATTTCTGTTGCTATTCTCGACCCTGGCAGCCATTCGTACCATTGAAAGTCATGTGACAGTGGCATCGACAAAGAAACAGAGGAGTTTCCCCTTTGGCTTCCAGGAGTAGAGACGCTGCCGCTGCGAGTCGACGAAGCTGTTGCCGTCAACACATGGTCTTGCCCTGCCATCAGCGCGGGCGCTGACGATCGGGCAACGGCTGCATCATATTTGGGATTATATTTGCATATAAAGCCCTTCTTCATGCACCGCCTGCACACGGGCCGTGAGCGGGAGCAACGACTCTTTGTTCGGCGACATTCGTCACAGGACCCGACCTTCCGCTTCTCGACGCCCGAAGCCCGGTAGATGGTGTCCACAGAGTCCTGGATACGCTGCCGCGAACCATCTTTTTGCGAGAGGACCGGTATGTCACTATAACCGGGGCACTTTACACCAAGGCGATCGCAGTTGCGGCATGTTGGTGAGTTGCGATCGCACCGCACCTGGTGAGATGGTAAGTTGCAATGCTCAACGAGGCCTTGTACGAAAAAATCGCAGGCGATTTGACCAGATGTGAATGGACAATGGCCAATATGGGAAAGGAAGTTCGGTTGGTCAGCTTGCCTTTCTTGAGCGGCAGACAACGCATCCTGTTGACATCGTAATATCTTATTCCTCCGAGGCGGCTGCTTATGCATATGAAGGTGGGTGAGTAAGGGGTCTTCAAGGCACATGAATTGGAGATCCGGGGTAACGGAGAAGTGGAGTAGCAGGCATGACACATCCCATCACAAAACGCGAATTGTAAATGGCGTAATTGAATGTGTCCATCATGGAGAAGCTGTATGGGGAAGAGCTGCACGAGTAGTAGTAGTACATACTGGGTACCTTATGTACGGAGTAAGGACCCAAGGCTCTCTCTGGACAGCGACGCGGACCAACACCCCGGCTTTACCCCTGTTCATGCGCCCTTGTTGCGTGTTCAACGTTGTGGCAACGTGTACGCTCGGATTCCCTATAATAAAGGGGGAACCCATTTCCTGAGTTGTCCATCTGTCAGCACCTTGAAAACCTGCTGCAGTCCATCATGGGCCACCAAGTCGGGGAAGACCTTGATCTAGGCCTCCCCAGCAACTTCGCCGGCACCACCACCATCACCACCACTACTAGTAGCTTCTGCACTCCAATATGTGTCCAAGCGCTCAGACTACCGATTATCCGGCTACCATTCGCTTCAGCTCTGGAGGTTAGCCGCACAAGCATTGCTCGTGGGCTAATAAGCAAGATGGCTTTTTTTGCCAAGCAGCGAAGTCCGACGCGTCTGCCCGCATTCGACATAGTGTCATCCTGGTGAGGCTCATCAGTACCCCGCGGTTACACACCCTGCTTGCAGCCGGCTGCTTACAATGTAACCCTGCAAAACTTATATAAGTCGCGATGCATCGTCGTGAATCAACAAGCCGCCTGAGCTCAACCTGAGAACAGATTCATCTGCATCTCCCGCCTGGTTAGCTCAATCGGTAGAGCGTGAGACTCTTATCAGAGATTCACGTTCTGAATATAGATAATCTCAAGGTTGCGGGTTCGACCCCCGCATCGGGCTTTTCCTATATACCCTCGGGTTGAGATGTCAAGGCGGCAATTCTTTTTTTTGCATGTTTTGGCACCGAAGCAGCATGTAAAGCAGATTGGATAGCAAATCGCAGAAATCTCTACTGCTTGCTCTTTGGTAATTGGGGGTTCATTTTTTCATGGGTTTGTCTCCTTGCGAATCAGCCACCTTGGTCTGCACCTTGTCACTGACTGCTGCAAACCTCTGTGGACCTCCTCATACCGCCAGTCCCCCTATATGTGCGTTCTTCCACCGTCTTCTATTAAATACATACACTTCGATTACGAAAGCAGAAGCAGAACATTTCTACTTTGCCCTAGAAGTAGCACAAGCATGTCAATAGTATTACTTGTAAGCCGAGCTCCTCACCTCGAGAACATAACGGCAACTGAAGATCTACTGTCGATTCTCCCGTATCTCCTCACCCTCGTTATCCGGCCTGCTACGGATACGTTCCATAAAGTTGTTGGTACCCGCGCAGGTCGCCAGCCACATATCGTGGAACAAATTTTTGCAGGCCACCCACGACGTGGTGACATAGACGACACAGTTCCAGAACCCCTGTAGGGGAATAACAAAGGCGCTCACGAACTGCAACGGAATGCTGATGGAGTTGTTGTGGGTAAGAGAGTACAGTCGGTTGGCGCTCGACGGTATCCATGTGATGAGCATGGCCCCAAAGAAGAGCATGGCGCACTTGGTGTATGACCAGGCAGCATTGTCTCGCTCGTGATTGCGCCGGCGTAAGGCGCGAAGAGCTCGCGATGCTGCGGATTGATGTGAGGGATGCGATGGATGCCTCGGCGGTTGTGACTGGTCTGATCCTCTGTGATGCATATCTGGGCAAAAGTAAGAAGGAGGATGTGTTCCCTCGGAGTTGTTCGATTGGTTCGACTTGTTGGATGTGATATGTACGGGTGGAGGTCGCGTAGTGGGAGATTCTGAGGTTGAGCCAGCAGCATGACTATCGGGCTGGCTCAGAATGTAGTCAATGGTTGTCCTCTCGGCATCGGACATGGGCCCCACGGAGTGTACTTCATCGCTGGATTGTATGGGACTCGTGACTTCATCGATTGAGATAGGATCGAGGTCGGACGACTGAAAGAAGTAGACCTGCTTTCGTACCTTGTATATCGTTCGACCGGCACGAATGTAGATGCCGAAGATGGCGAGGATGACGACCCTTGAATTCAGTCAGTAGCTGAACTCGTATCTCTAGTCTCCTTTCATTCCAATCTTGCGCGGGAGGTTCTCACCAAATCGGTGCATAAAAGACCAAAATACGAAGAAGAGCCCAGTCAGATGATATCCAACAATAAGCGATAGCAGGACCGAAGATCCGAACTCCGTGATGGCCCTGTGCGAAAAGCAGTGCGAACCCCGGTATCAGCGGAATACCGTAGCAGCACACCAAGTAGATGGGTTCTAATCTGCGCACGTCTCTGGCTTCATATTTGTAGTAAAGGGTGAGGTGGACGTTGATGGCCATAGCCAACGTCCACAATACGTCGGACGACAAAAAACTAAAGTGTCTTTGTTAGTCTGCTGAGCGTTCTAGGGGGACTATATCATGTCAGGGACAGGATATCCCCAAGAGGCAACATACACTTGAATGATGAACGCCTGAATCTGGCAACCGGCCGAGTCTGGGTTGTCTATGAAGTCACGAGACATAATAATGGCGATATCCGACAAGAGATTGCCAAACGACGCATAAAAGACCAGCCGATTGATGGATTTGCTGAAGTACTTGGAAAAGCAGAAGGTAAGTATAGTAAAGGCACATGCCACCATTGATATGATTGCATTGGTACGCTCAATGGTGGTGAGGACCTTGGCCTGTCCCTCCGTAATATCGTGCGCCATGACTTGATCGATGTAATTGTTAGATGCATTTGTGGTTCCAAGATTCGTGGCGAGCGACTTTGATCAAAACAACTGAATGCTCGCGCGGGTTTCGCGGCAAGTCGGGTGGTTTCGTAGGGAAAAGAATGAGGGCAGAAGCGTCGGGAAGGGCGATGCGCCAAGTTCGAAGAATGTCGATGTACGTGTGACGAGATATGGCGCTGCGGATAGCTTGATGGTGTTTGTTATCCTCCTCCTGCTGGTCCCCCAAGCGAATTGAATACAACTTCAGCGAATCTTTGTCGCCGCCTGGGAGGAGAGTGTCTAGTAGCCATGCTCGATCATTTTTGATGCTTGGCTGATGGACGAGTAGATCTTGAGGTTGGATGACGTTCTCACAGACGGCAGAAAGCCACCATCGACAGACTCTGTCGCACAGCGTGTCGGGTTGAATCCAATTCAACTTGTCGTTAAGATGCGATGCTCGAAGCGGATGTCAAGCGAATACCTGCGTTCGGTATTTTCTGATCTCTCCCCTGCGTAGGGAGTGTGAATGCAGGAAGACAGCAAAGCAAAAGCCCGGGGCGCAATCTCGTCTCAGCCTCTCCGATCTTGAAATCTCCCACAAGTGGCGCCAAGCTATCATTTTAATATTACAACCCGGGGAAAGATGTGATCATTTCCCTGCTAGTCCTCTGCACGCGGGTGCTCGCTGCCGACACCTAGCTCTGACAACATGGCTTGGGCATGTAAGTAGTGATGGAACCAGCTCCGGGGTTGGAGCGGTGAACACGTGCAGCCTAGATGGCGGAGTGGCCGCCTGTCTTCAGCTCTGGGGTAAAAGTGCCGACAGTTGGACCCGTCTCCAATCAGGACTCCTCCTTCATTTGCCGATGCCTCCTTGCTTGTCAGCCATTGGCTGGCCGCCATGCTGGGGGGGTGTGGCAGGGCTTTTCTTCAGCGATGTCGCGGCTCATAAAGGAGAGAGGCTTGTGATTCTCCTCGCCGGATCTGGACGCAACATTACGCTCGCGATGGGACCTCCGGGTTTCGGTGTACAGATAGAGCCTCGACTGCGAGTACTATTGAATCGGATTCGAAAGCCATACTGCCCTCTCCAATGGTCCTTCCCTGGCCAAAGATCAGTTACACAATATTGGCTGCCACGCGATCAATGGCCGATCTCGTTCGACCATATGCGATTCAGATCTTGGCCTTAAAGCCCTGGAAAGGGACAAGGCACGTCAAGGCGTTGCACGTTGGTCGGGTGAGTTCTATATTGAACGATGGCATTCTTCTTCCCTAATTGAAAAGTTGGCAATGCTGGCTCTGCTAGGTACTTGCAAGTTATAACGCTGTCTGAGCCTTCGACGTCAGCAAAGCATCATCGAGATAGCCAAACCGCTTTCGGCGCCGAGAGCAATTGGTGCCCGCATCCTGGTTAAGCCCTCTGCGTAGCTGAATGAATTAGCGCCGCTGAGGGCTGCTTTCCTCTAAAAAGTGCCCGATGCTTTGTGATAAAAGACTCATAAAGAGCTCTGGGCAACTCTGCGAGGGTGGGCATCACTTAAACATTCATCTTCCGTTTCTTCCGCGGAGAACTATTCCTCAAACTGCTCCATTTGCCTCGATCTTTTTCATTTTCTCTAGACGATGTTAGGAACTTCAATTCAGCACCCATCAAACGGTGGATTCGTATTCTACGTAGTAGCAGAGAATGGAGTATTCACCGGCATGTATCGTGCAGCAGTTCAACATCTAGTAGGCTTTAACCAAAGTGATTGAATAGACAATGCTTGAGCTTTTGCGGTAAAGGGCTCGATTATGGCTTACGAGGTAGTACTAAAGAGACGAGCATTAGTGTATCGTAGGAAGTTGTCGGCTTCAGCTGGAATCCTGCCCATTCGGGCAGACTCTTAAGTGGCTATATGTCAAAGGTTCGGCGGCTGCACCTCTCATGGGCTAATTGTTGCGGCCTATTCAGAACGATAACCTTTTCCAAATGCATTCAATCCGACTACGTAAGCTATGGTGAACACACGCTCAATTGCTATTTGGGGTTTGTGTTAAGTGCCCGTCCGTTCATCACGGCTCCGAGTCGGTTGGTGTAGACAACCTTCAGGAGAGCCACTGAATCCTGGCAGTTGCCAGCGCTGATGGTACTGATGGTAGCCGTGGCTTGCAGAGACGAAACGGCGGATTCAACGGCTCAAACTAATTGAGGAGGTTAACGACGGAAGTGATTTCGCCCAGGCGGATCGCCTTGAGATTTTGCCGCCGTGATGCCGCTTCCCCTACGTAAAATCACTAGGTGCTGTATGTATTGGGGACTCGAGATGGTGAACCTTGTGAAGGGCAACAAGGGGTATGTATGACAGAATCTGGCACGAAGAGGAGGTAAGAAGGCACTCAAGGCTGACCTCCCAGATTCTTCACAACCTTACCCCAGCTTTTGCGCTCGGCGTGATTGAGCACATGTTTGACCCCCAATCTTTAGAATTGCGATCATCGCTGCCGTGATGCGACTGCAAGTGATCAAATACATCAGCGGAGAGAAGCAACACTACCCAACCTGCAATCAGTATGCCTTTACCTGCAGTCAAGCTAACTCCGCTTGTCTCTTGTGTCAGCACGTCTCCGGGCCGTAAAGAACGTTCCGCATGGAGTGACGTTCAAGCTGATACACCGTCACATGGGAGTGAATTGGCCCAAAGCAAGCTTACGTTGTCTGCGATACGATCGAGGCTATGCTCCGGATACAAGCCACACTCCCGCAGTGTTTTGTCGAGAGTGATAATGAGATGACTTCCAGCGTGATCGCTTTGGATAGTTGATCTCGGAGTGTTGGTGCGACCCTATCGCCGGCCCGAAACTCTGTGACTCTGGAGACTCCGGACGCGACAATACCATCTCCGTCTGATGCGGGAGCTACGCCATCTGACAGCGGGAAGAGGCCTTTGCTCAATGCTCAGAGAAGCAACCATGTGTGTTGGATGAGATTGAGCTGATACTTCTCCAATTGAATTGCAATGGTAAGATTGACTTGAGCAGTTAGGATGTCTCGACGGTCGACAGATGCAATGTGAGAGTTGACGACAGATGTTAGTCACTGAACGCTCATGGTAGAGTAGCAGAAGAGAGGTAGAATGACTGACGCTGAAGAGCCGCTGCTTTCAAGTGTTTTGGGCCATTCGCCTCTCTTATGACTAATGGTCAAGCGACAAGGTGGTTGGTTGTACGACGGTGAGCTTCAACGAGCGTATTCATTCTGACAGGCATGCGTGATTCTGAGTTTTGCTGCCAGTCTTGTTTCTGACTTCTGACTTCTGACAATCGCGTCCGTAGGGCCGTGTCAACAAACTCAAAAATGCCCATACGACGTCCCGAATCGATATAAATGTGCGACAGTTTCTCACATACTTTGGGATGGACAGACGCTCCAACTCTCAAAACTTCATACCCAACACCTCGACTACCAGACGAGAGAACATCAGCCACGAACATGACTGACAAGCTTGGTCCTGCTATTCCTCCGGGCGGCGTCTGGCGAATGACCGTTTGGGGAAAAAGAAAAGACGGCCTGTCAAAGGAAGAATTCTCTCGTCGATTTGCTCAACACGGAAGGCTTGCTGGACCACTACTAGTGAAGTATAACGGTATTTCCTATCTACAGGTATGTTGAACCACGATTCATTTAGTAGATCAGTTTTCGGTTCTCTAACTCTGCTCTGTCTTTGTAGCACCACCTTACAGACAATTACATAAATGAGGTCAACAAAGAGCTTGGTCCTCAGCATCCGCTGCCTTTTCCCATTGCCGATGTTGACGGAATTACCACTTTGACTTTTCCAACTGCCAAAGACTTGGCGGCTTTCATCGTCGATGCCGGCCAAGATGAGGCACTGAATGCCGATGCGGCTGAGTGCGTGGATAAGACTACAATTCAATTATCTCTGGGAGACGAGTTAGCTGTTGTTAAGGATGGAAAATTCCTCCTTTAAGCTGCAGTTACACTGCCGGATGGTGTTTGGTAGGCTACTACTGGACAACTGAGAGTTACTTTGTCACTTTCACTAGACACGCAATCTCAGAAGACCTTGTTCAGTCATGTCACCTTTTAGTGCATAGTGTTAAAAGAGTTAGTATACGCCAACTCATACGTGTCTTAGATGGGATACACAGTGCTTTGAAGTTAGCTCACTCAGAATCTACTAGATTCTACTATGACGTTCTTCAAGGTAATTCAGGCCTGTGGTCACAGTGATAATGAGCACGGAGTCTTGAGACAGTGTAGTTGTTCTTTGTCCACTTCAGCTAGAGACTGTTGTATATCGGTATGCGGAGGTCGCCGAAGGAACATGGTCAAATGAAAGACATGGCATACCACAGCCATCGGAATCTTCCAGGGTGCAAGAGATTAGCTTAACACTTAAAGTTGACTGTATGCATTGTATGCAGCGTACTTTGAAGTGAAGCTTAAACCTCCAGCCGCAACCAGTGGTGGGGCTCGCCTCCCAATTATCACATGCCTTTACAGTCGAAGTCTACGATATTGCGCAGAGACCAAAATCCGGTCCGTGGCCTGGACATGGACATGGTAGAATGCCCAAGACTGTTGTTCATGGTGATCATTGGCCAACCCACCCATTGAGCCGCTGTCTCTTCAAGCCAATGTCTGTCAGAGAATTAGAAAGAGGTTAGAAACTTTTCCAGAAGCACTGTGAAATGTAGGCAGCCTAAGTCTTCAACAAGTTGACCGCCTCTCTTGACAAACAGCAAGGATTGGCGTTCTATCATCTCAGTTTGCTTCAATAACCTTGGTAGAGCAGCAGAAACGGTTTCGCTTGCTAACAGTGTAAGAGACATGAATACTTTTGTTCGCGGGCCAGGGGATGACTGATCCGGATTTACCATTGGTGAGGAACTTAACAGAATCCGGAGTCGATTGTCCTAGAGGGCTAGAAGGAAGTATTGAGCATTTGCGGCAACACTCATGTGATGTATGAAGTGTATGACGACTTGACTGTCTGCGTGGACCAATATAAAAGCCAAGTGAACAACGCTCAAGATTGGAATCTCCACAACTGTAGAAGATTGTCAAACAGTGTCTTCACGCGACACAACACCGTCAACCAGTATTGCAGCACTGCCGCAAGAATCGAACAAAGCCTGAATCGATGTTGCCCCACGACAAATGATGTCCAAGGAATAGACCCTCCGGCAGCACTGTCAGAGGCACATGCTAATCAAGATCCATCCACTACATCTCCATCAGCGGAAGTTCTACGCCATTCGGTGGCTTTTGCCAAAACTCCACCCTCCAATGTCGACGCAAGTGTTATCATCTCCTAACATCTAACAGTGTCGCTGTTGCTTACGTCTCCAAGGTAACCTATTTTGACATGTCCTGTGTATCAACTCATTTCCAAACATCTTGGCATATCTCAGTCGCCTGCGCCGACTTCACTTGAACCCGCCCATCCCTGAAGCAGACAGTTTCTCACTCCATACTCCTGCACATCATACCGTTTCTAGGGCGTCGTAGTTGGTTGATATGCTCACCTAGAGTGACGGCTCTGGCCAAGAATCGCAGGATTTGGTTGATGGCGGGTCTCAAGTTGGGTTCAGTCATTGTTGGGATGGAAGTTCCCGAGGCGTTTGCGGGGAGGCGGCATCTTTCTCATGTATGGGCTGTCAATCAAAGTGACGAGTCTCTGGAGAAGGCGGAGACATAACGGCGAGACGACTGCCCAAGGAGTAACTGGGGGCAGGGATTGAAAAGAATGGCACGGCTGTGGTGCATGTTGTTCATAATGGCACGCCCTGGTGGATGCCACGAGCGTTTCAAGGACGGACCCGATCCTGCTTGGAAGCATGGGGAAGTGGGTTGCTGTTCTACAGCGGCTTGAGCGGTTGGTGATCTGGAGTCTGAGCGCTGCTATAACGTGGCCCCCCTTGTCCTTCGACGCCTTACTAGCTATATCCTTGTCAACGTACAGTCTCTCTATGACCTCTACAACATCTAGGTCTTAACGTACATGGCGATAGTGGTACGAAGTGGTGGCAAGAATGAAGCATCTCCATCAAGGATTCGGATCGCCTGTCAAGTCTGCGGGAACGTGGGGGATTCGCTCCGTGAAAGCTTCGCTCCGGGCGATGAGTGGCACCAGCGCACCAGGACCCCAGGGCCTACATGCTGTCAATCCCAAGTGAGGCGTCCCTTTACAACAGGAAGCTTGAGATCTACACTAGTTGAGCAGCATTTGAGTAATGTCCTTGCTAAGCTCCACGATAGCCTCCGGGGTAGAAAGTAGATGAGATGCTAGCTTTCGAAGCATGGGCCCCTCTAATCTATTGAAATCGGGACCAGATCTGAGATCTGATGCTAGATCGTGCACCAACAAGGGCCAAGACAAGGCATCCTGGTAACCTCAGAAAAGCTCATCCCTCGGACCAGCCGAGATCAACGATGTGCCATAGCTTCTATCGCAATTAGTTCAAGAACACTTGAATAATGCAAAATCGCTTTCATATTATGTGGATAGTGCAGGTAGTCTCTCAATGCAGATGATTGCCACACCGGTTGCCCTGCAAATCACAGCAACAATCTACTCTATAACACACTAGCCGCTGGGTAGATGAATCGTCAAGAATTTGCAACACCAGAAGAAATCTCGGCAGCAGATGACTAAGGAGGGCATATAGCCGTTTGCCGAGCAAGTTCGGACCCCTTACCAAGCAGCCCACGCAATCAGCTGAGAATGCCCGTTTAATCGCGCATCTTCGATCGTAGACTCCCCGTGCCTAGGTTCCACGATCGCGATGGAGCCGTGGGAGTAACAGGATCCTACCCCGGTTTTGGACGGAGCATTGACCCGGTATTGCTTGCAGGACTCCACAGGAAGTCCACTCCGGGAACTGCAAGATGATTCAGTTGAGATGTGATTTGCTACGCTGTCTGTTCCGTGAAATTTTTGAACAAAATCGTTCTGAAAAAATTTGTGAAAAGAGGCACCTTAGTTTCAAGGCAAGTTCATTCATGAAAGCACACTGTTCCAACCCGCCAATGGGGTCCACTCGACCTCAGATTGCTACCGGTTCGTTGACAATGGATCCATACCAGGTAAGGATCGTTCTCGAGAGAATGACCGTTATTCAGCACGGCGTTGGCGTATGGTCCACGACTGAGATAGATGTGGCTCTTCATGGAAAAAGATTCAAAGGTAGGAATATGCATTACATCGAGACTATTCAAGCCAGTTCGGAGATGGCTTTGCCTCTTCAAGGGGGAGGCAACTGCCATTGTGAGAATTTTGTGCGGAACGCGGAAGCCCGCTCCGGGCTCCGTTCTTTCTCGAAGCCTCAAGAACGTGAGGAGGCGTTCGATGTGTATTGTTTACGATGAAAATGTTTTCCCCTTTTCCCTTGTGGCTCTTTGTTTCCCAATTGTTGGCTATCCGATGGTGGCGCTCCGGACCTGCGTGGTGGCGTTAAACGTCGACGAATCACCACCCACCTCTTTCGTTGGACAGCGACGAAACGGTTCAAAATTTTCATCCACCAACTGCCTAAAAAAATTTGAATGTTTTCCTTTTCGGAATAGTTTTCCGGATGTAGAATCTGAATGGAAGTTGCCTGAAGCAATAGTCTTACATGTTTGTCGTGTGTGTGTGAAGCAACAGTGATGAGTTGACGAGTCACGCGACAGCCTACAAACGTCGCAAGCACTTACACGGTTCATCTCAGACAAGCTTAGCGTTGATGACTGGTTTACGAGGGATTCGAGTTCGAATCACACGGAACAGAGTCAAAGCATGCGTTGACGCTTTCTTGATCTCACATCCAAGGCATTGACTGTAGGTTTCCGGATCAGTTCCCCGGGGTTGCTTCTACGGTTGGTGAGAGCACGGTGATTGCCAGTTGAGGTCACCATACCCGGCCCGACCTTGCGTGAATGAAACTTGGCGTTTGACTTTGGACAAAAGAATCCATCCAGGACCACTATTCACGTGAAGGCATTGATTCAGGACAAAGGAGCTGAGCTCCGATGCCACACAATCGAGGTGGAGCCACGTGGAAGCAGGGCCGCGTACCTGCTTTTCTCCCCTGGCGGGCGCCGCTGTCACACCCGGAGTCAACAACGTGTCCCGGCCGGTTCGGTGCCTGAGCCCAAACTGTCTTGAGTTTAGGTGCGCCATTTTAAAACTGGATCCCTTTTGCCGTCCGATGGCTGAATGGGGGATGGCTGTTGCCAACGAGACATGACTAGCCATTTTCTATTGCCACACCGGCTCACCGTGATTGTCCCGAGGTGGGAAGCTGGAGCCTGGGAGCCAACATCTTCGTGGACACTGTGATGGAGATGGAAACAATCGTCCGTGACCCGCAACCCGCAACCCGCGCGGCTCTCAAGCGTACCGTCGGTCCGTAGGACATCGTTGCCTCGATGGGCCAAGAAAATCTCTGCAACGCTTGCGGGGGAAATGGGTCAAACACTCGTGTTTGTATAGAGCCCAGATGAATATAAATATGGCCTCGATTCTCCCTCTCAAGGACTCAATTTCTCCTCATCAATCTCTACTACAAGACAAACAGTCATTTCTCCAAATCCTCTTTGGCTTCGATTCATTCCTTCATATCGAAGCTCTTGTCTCCATTCCTTTCGGGACTTATACACGACAACAACACTCGGTTCGACAACCACTTCCAACACACACACTCCCTCTTCTACAAAGCAATTGACTTGCTTCCCAACTTCAAAATGTTCACCACCATCACTGCTATCCTGGCTGCCTCTGCTGCCACCGTCTCTGCCGTTGCGGTCCCCCGCGGCGCTGGTAAGAGCGGAAGCGCAAGCGTCACTCCCCACGAGCAATACTCTTCCTCCATCGGCGTGCTGGGCTGCCTCATCAACACCAACCGTGTTGCCTACTGGCCCATGGGCGTTGACTGCGACAACATCTGCGTCAAGGTCACCAACGGCGACCGAAGCCTCCACCTCCTCAAGATCGACCAGTCCGGCGGCGCCTACGACATCTCCTACGATGCCTGGAACTACCTTGGCTTCGGCGAGGGCGCCCAGCAGGACCCCCACACCGGCGGCGGCATCGACATGACCTACGAGTTCGTCGATGCCAGCGAGTGCAGCGACCTCCTCCACGACGGCAAGCTGCCCCTGTCCGCCTCCAACAGCATGAACTACGTGGCCAGCTGCATGAGCGAGCCCAACAGCTGGGTCAACAAGAACCACGAGCTCATCAACATGGCCGATCCCCTCTGCAAGTACGGATACGACGAGGTCTGCACTCTCGATCTCAGCAAGAGCAACCAGCCTTCTTGCCCTCACACTCTGGGTGCGCAGGTCGCCTACAGTGGCAAGGGCGTCACCAACATTGCTTACGGCACCGGCAAGACCGAGGCTGCCCAGTAGACTGGTTCTACACAATCTAGATAAGCCATAGATTTCAAAAAGTATCACGATAGAATGATTAGAAGCAACGAATAAATGTCCTTTACGAATCAAACAACAACTGTCCCATGTATTGCATCGTTTGCCTTGTGCGACTTACACGACTTCCCTACCTTGTGCACATAACACTTTATGATTAGAAGTGCTGTTTGACAGGAAGCCTGATTGGCTGCCTGAGCGCCTCGTTCTCTTGGATTGGCTGGAAAAAAAGAAAGAGCCCATGTTTGAAGTGCTGCTAGAACATGGTGCGTGGACGCTGGGAAGTACAGTACTGGCTGATGACGTCTGGGGCTGAGACTGAATGAAGTTGAAGGCTTCGGTGCTCGGCAAGTTCGGTCAATCTTGTATTAGGTAACGCCTCTGATACAGTACTGTACTGTCTGTAAGAATGTCTATGAGAGTGGATCATATCTTGCGGGTGTATCGGATTAAGGGGGATGACAAAGTGGGGTAAAAGTGAAGCCGAGGCCTCTCTCTTCCTCGTGCTGGTATTGCTGCTTGGCTGCTTGAGAAGCAATCCGGACACGAAGAAACATTGAAATAATTCCCGTCTGACCTACCTTGTCAATTGTCCATTTAGAAGACTTGTGTATGCCCAAATGATACTGTCACTTGAAGCCGAAGACCACCCAACTACTGTAATTGTTGGAGATGTCTGCTTATGCCCCCGACGTCATCTCTAAATCTGCAACAAATTGACTGCGGGAGCCGCTGCAGAGTCCCGCACTTTTGCTCTGGATATGCGCAGCTCTGCTCCGTCTTCCTTCGGCTTCTACGCATGCGAACTCTTCCCCCTTGCGTACTCTTGAACCCTTTCCCGCCGAATTGATAGGCTCGTGCCCGCATGGAATAGAGACGAAATCCCGAACCTGCGCACTCCGAGTAGCCGACCCCACTGTTTTGCGCATGCTAGCCGGGCTCTTAGTCATTGCGCGAGAGTATCGCCGCGCAAATTGATAATCAGCATCACACACTCGCGCGCGCTTGTTTTGCGAATAGAGTCACTCCGCTGCAATTCCGAGATAAGACGGTACGTTGCTGCTTCTGACAGCTGGCAGTTCTCTCCGAATCTTCTGTTTGCTCGTCCCTTGACGGTCCATCGTCGTCCCTTCATGCGCCGCTCTTGTCTTCTCTCTCCGCACCCTCCGACTCAGCATCGTCGGTCCACTAATCATCATGCCCTCAGCTCTTGAGACACAGGCCGTGCGCCCCAGTTCCTACAAGATGACGTCGGATGCATCTTTCGGTGCTGGCGATACCGCCCAGCTGCCGTCCTTCTACTCTCCTCGAACCGCTGCCGTCGACCCTCCCCGGAGCCGCGATGGCCAGCCCATTGACGACCTGTCGCTCTCACAATCCAGCCATATAAACTCCCCGAAGACTCAGCCGCCCCCGCCATCGCTTCTCTCCCCAGCCTTTACTCCTCCAGCCACTCCGGGGGATCAGACACCCACAACTGCCGGGCTGCGAGGAATCCCCGTCGACAGCTCGATAGCCTCTGGTGGATGCGGGAGCAAGAAGCCGAAGCTGCTTGAAACATTACCCGAGGTACAATGCGTTGTCCGCGCCCGCATCCCCACAGTCAACGGAACTGAGATGTTTTTGCATCTCTACACCAACAATGTCGATAACAAAGAGCATCTGGCCATTGTGTTTGGGAACCATATCCGAAGCAAATCCTTGGATGCTCCCCGCGAGGGCGAGACGGAGATGGATCGCATGATTCGCGGTGCCTACACAGGCCGGCTTTATCCCGGCCGGACAACGAGCGGTATGGGCGGTCCTTCCTCTGAGGCGGAATCACAGCGAGGGCAGTACAGCAGCCAAGATCCGCCATTGGTGCGCATACATTCTGAATGCTATACCGGAGAGACTGCATGGTCGGCGAGGTGCGACTGCGGCGAACAGTTGGACGAAGCTGCGCGGCTCATGTCTTTACCAGGCAACAAAGCCGGCGGCATCATCATCTATCTGCGACAGGAGGGCCGCGGTATTGGGCTGGGAGAGAAGCTTAAGGCATACAACCTGCAAGATCTGGGATCTGATACTGTTGAGGCGAATCTGTTACTACGACACCCAGCTGATGCCCGTAGCTACGGTTTGGCGACCGCTATGCTCATGGATCTGGGCCAGAAAGAAGTCCGCCTGTTGACCAACAACCCCGACAAGATTCGTGCCATCGAAGGCCCCAATCGGGAAATCGTCGTAAAGGAGCGGGTGGCTATGGTGCCGTTGTCATGGAAGGGCAAGGGGGGCTTCCGGAGCCAGGAAGTAGAGGGATATTTGAAGACAAAGGTAAGGAATTTGTCATATCGCCCTTTTCCTACCTAAGTGAGAATCCACAAGAGCTGCTTACTGACATGTGCTGTGCTCAGATTGAAAAGATGGGCCACATGTTAGACATGGCAGGACTTCCACAATAGACGAGGCATCCACTGGAGGGTAGAGCGATTGATGGGTACTGTTTCTTCTCTGGATATCGGGTTACTGGAGCATCAAAAGGCGTTTTACTCTTCGTTTTCACTTTCTTTACAATTTTCTCTCTCCGAAGTGGTTTCATCTGGGAATCAAGACTGCAATTATCTGTCGTATATACCCAGGTATCCATGTTCATTGGACGGCAAAAGCAGGCCAGTCGCATGCTACCAACCAACACATGTAATTTACCAGCCAGCAATGTCAATCACAAACTGATGCCTTATGATCTGGACACCTTCTGGATAAATGTGAAGAATATCGAAAGCCGAACAGCAATCTACAACTAAACGACCAAATGTAGCGCGCCGAGATGGGTATCTGCAGCTGATTCCGCCTCTGTTCATTCATTGGCCATAGTATTCTCACTTTTTGTGATGCGCCATGACCTTGACGTCGTCGCACGGACCCACTCCTTTCTGCTCCACTAAAATTTCAGCAGTGTGAGGCAGGAGCGCAGCAGCTGATGCCGCCTCTGTAGCGCGTCAAGGCTGCAGCTTTCGAGGCGCATTTTTCTAGGTTTCAAAACTCGACCCTGAAGCCTGAACTCGCCTTCCTATTGACCTCTGCCATTTCCCCGTTTCTCAGGACCTCACACGTCCCTTTCTTTATTGCATCATCCCGACAGCCATGTCGTTGAATTAATCTTGCCGCCCCTCAGCCATGCAGACTCAGGACATCCGCCTTCGGCTGGTGATCCGTCGCCACGGACTCCCAGAGGTCAAGCTTGTCTGGCCGTGTTCCTGCTCGGAGGACTTCACCGTCGCAAAGCTTCTGGAGCAGGTCAACGAGGTCGTGCCTCTCGAGAGCGGCGAATGGGGTCTCGAAGACTATGCTGTCGAGCTTGCGGATGGAAAGGGCGGCAGCTTTGAGTGCCTGCATTTCCAGCAAGTCGGTCGGATTCTGAAGGACGAAGACCAAGTCCTGTGAGTAGTCTCTCCTTTCCCTCGCTGCCTCTAAGATAGGCATGCCCGATGAATAGCGCTTCGTCATTCTAACATTAGGATCCATAACAGTATTCGATCTCTGCTCACTGGAGACCTCAAGCGACGCCGACTCAGCGGGCGACATCAGATCTCCGACGACGGTCGGCATCTCGTTGATGGCATCGCTTTTGGCAGGTCGTGGATTAGAGCTCCACATGATCGCCCTCACGTCGAGCTCCCCCCTCGGAAGCGCATTCGGGTCAACTACGATGACGATGACGAAGAAGACGATGACGAAGAAGACGAAGACGAAGAAGCTGAAGAAGAGCAAGAGCCGTTTCTCATCGGCGCCCCCCGTTCATCCCGAGATGATAAGTCTAAGAATACTCGCAGCAAGAATCCATGGGAAGGATCACTTGCCGCCCAGCTCTACGAACAATACCTCAATGAGAGCTCGGCCTCTAGCTCACCATCGGAAGAGGACGATATGGAAGACGACATCGACGACGACGAAGACGAGATGGAGGACTATACCGATGAAGAAGACGAGAATGAGGGCGAAGATGACGATCTAGAAAGGGAGCTGCAGCTCCTTAGGGAGGAAGCTGCCGCCGACGTCAACAGCTACGCACACGGATACTCCGACTTGTCTGGGGACGAGATGCGTGACACCGTAACAAGAGGCTACTCTAGAAATTCCAGCCCAAACCTGGTGCTAAACTCCGCGAGCGAAGGTCCAGACACTCCAAGCCTGTACAGTGGAATGTTCAGCACTTCATTTGCCCCGTCAAGCGCGCAAGGATATGCTGCTGTGCCTGTGGAAGTTCTTACTACCGTCTTTCAGACAGCGTTCCCGGAGCTGCATGGCGACATTAGGACGGCGCTGAAGCGAACAAACAAGGATCTCCGGAAAGCATACATGTCTCTCTCCATGCTGTGCGAACCATCGCTTACTTTCGAACAAATGTTGGACGGTGCCTCTATCATTCTCGCCCCTTTTACACGCCGTGGTGGTAGTTCTCACGTCTCCAGGCCGATCGTGGAAGATGAACCGTCCCAAACCCCCCTGGTGCATCTCAAGGGTGGGACTAGAAAGCGGCTCATAGAGGAGATCGAGGACAATGACGAAGTCGGTGACTCTCCGGAGACTTCTACAAATGGTGTCTCGATATTCGTTTCTAAGTTGAACCAGAGCCAGCATGCAAGCAGCAACAAGATTGCAGGAGCCTTTGTCGACGAGGTGGAATACACAGAGAACGAAGATGGTGCAGAGGATGAGGGTTCATCAGATTCTGAGAGCGACTCCAGCGACTCCAGCGACGAATCCGTAGACAGTGGATCGCCGAGCGAAGAAGAAAGTCGCCAGATGCGCGATCCACCCGCAACCTTGCCAAATGACAACGGATCAAGCGATCTCGACGAAGCATCATCTGATAACGATAGCGACAGTAGCGTCGACGTCAGCGCCCAAGGCACTGCCGAACTTGCAGGAAACGACGAAGTGGAGAGCTCGTCAAGCTCTTCCGATGCGAGTAGCAGTGGGCCAAGTGATTCTGATTCAGACTCCGATTCGGACTCTACATCTGAAGAATCAGAGTCTGCGTCCGAGTCGGAATCTGAGTCGGAATCAGGGTCAGAATCAGAATCTGCATCGGAAGTGGAGGAGATGTCATCAAAGCGGCCACAACCGTCGGCAGTGGGACAAGCCGCTACTGCGGCTGCGCTTCCACTTCATGTTCAGGCACCTCAAGTCGAGTCATCCAGCATCCAGAGTCCTGATAAGCCGCCGACCACCGGCCTCACTCGTACGCAGAAAAGGAATGCGAGAAGGAGACGCATCAAAGCCTTGAAGGATCTACACTCCAATCAGCCCGAATTGACGAACGGCACTGAGGGAGACGTTACGAGCGAAGATTTTCTAGCGCGAAAGAAAGCTCTCCTGGCTGCGATTATCGACGAACCCCGCGAGGGCGATACGATGAACGATGAAGCCCCGTTGCGAGATGTTTCCCTGCCTGATAAAGCTGGAGAGTCGGACATGACTGCTCCGGATGCAGACCAAATCGGAACACCAGACCCGCAAGACACGCCGGCAAAGCGTCACAGCCGCATTGACTTGGGCGCTGGCCGACGGCTTGTGTTCGGCGCATTGGGCTTGAAGCCGCCGGCCAACAAGTCAGACGAGCAGAAGATTCGCGACACGCTGATGAAGGACGTTCGACCACTAGTTAATCCACGAACTTTACCGAGCAACGGGGGCGATGGTGCCAATGAACCCACCTCTAATGTCGATGAGAAAGAGGATGAGGATGAGGATGCCTGGAGAGAAAAGATCAACTACAGGGCTGTAGAATGTTGCCACGAGGATATGATTCTCAGCGAACCTCCCTTTCCCTTTGTCCAGCGATGGGATCCCCAGCAAAGGCGCGACGTCATCCGCAAACGCAAGCGCGCGTCCGAGAACTACGAGGCTGACGATTCTTACCATGACTCGACATACTACTACGATGAACAGCCTGAGGACGACCAGTCTGCCCCAGAGACCAGGAAGCGGAGCAAAACCAACAAGGGAAAATCTGTAAGCCTGCAGACTGGCAGTGCAATTCAGGACGAAGAAGATGTGACACTCAACTATGACGAGGCGCCTGTCAAGAGTAGCCAGTTCACGGATGTGGATGACCTTCCGTCCCTCCCCAAAGACATCAAGTCACTCCCACCCCTAGCACCTGGAACTGCTAAGCCCGGCATGGTCATTACCTGGAACCAACTAGTCATGTCCAAGGCTACGAACTGGCAGCCGGAAGTCTTACCGCTGACTGGCCTAGTCGTCCCGGGAGGTGAAGAGGGCGAGGTCCACGTCATTCTGGCAAGGCGAGATCGTGACGATTACGAGAAGACCTACGATGAGGTGACCGGAGAGCGAGTGTACGGCAAGTTTGAGGTGCCCGATCTGGATGAAGATGATCAGGAAGAAGACACCGGTTTCAGGTCTCTCAAGTGGACAGAGATGATGGAGCCTCGCCTTTTGCAACAGGCACCCGCCGATGTGATGGCTAAGACGACCGTGGGCGCAACAGAGGCCACTGAGGCGGACGAGACGACCTTGTCAGGTCAAGACCAGGTAAGCGAATCCCAGTCAGGGGAGGATGGCTTGGACAACGGCTTCAGCACGGGGGAGGTGCGAGCTGCTCCTGAGGATGAGTTGATGCACGATTCTTTTGCCACTCAAGCCAACTTAGAGACTCTCTCCATACAGTCAGGCCAACGGCTGCCAAGGCTGGATGCGTCCATGTCCGAGGTACATATCAGCTCGGCCAGCAATAGCTTCGAACATGTTGGACATGCGCACAGCAAGCCAGACGCTCGATCGGAACACGTGTTGACTGCTACGTCCGACTTTCAGAAAGCACACTCCCCAAGGCTAAACCATTGGGTTGCATGTGACGACGGACCAGCTGCTGACAAAGAGGCAGAACTAGGGCCCGTCCTAGCGGATGCCATGGTGGAATCAGGTTCAAGCACACTCGCGTCAAACAGGTTGGAGCAGGCATCTGTAGAGATGGAGGTTGAGGATGGAGGCTGCAAAGAAGACGGCGGAGAACGACACTCGACGCATAGCGACATTGACACATCGATTCCGAAGCCCTCAGACACGGTTATTACCTCTTCGCATTTCAGCGTTCCGAGTGGGCGACAACCGCAGACCAGCTACTCCATCCATGACGGTCTGCAAGACGAAACGGTCATTCCTGAAACTCTGCCGCAACCACGCGAGACCACACCGATACAGAGCCACTCGAGGTCACAGACGTCGCCGTCGAGCCATGCAAGCAGCAGTCCATTTCCATCCCTGGAACAGATATTCATGTCGGCCCAACCCACCCAAAGCTCTGGACGGAAAATCGAGTCACCTTTAATGTCAGCAAGCCAATCGGTCCTTGCGCGGGATGCGGAATACGAAGAAGCCATGCGCAAGCTAGATGAGGGACATGAGTCTGATGTTGCACCCGAAATCAAGAAGCAAGAAGAAGACACTGCGGTGGAGAGAAAGCTTTTTCCAAACGCGACGCAGCCCCCATCCCGTATAGAAGCTTTGGACGAGGACGTTGCTCTGCCGCAATTGCCTCTTTCTCAAGCCGACAAAGGCAAGCGTGGCAAGCAGCCGTTTGCCATTCCGGCCGGAAGCCAGATCATTGTTCTGAGCTCCAGCTCACCCTCTGGTAGCGGGGTGCCTGATGAGGGTCATGAATCTATGGAACATGAGGAAGCAAGAGTGGCGCCAACGGGAGGTTCGCTACCCACTGGCCCTGGATGGGTCAGGAAGGGAAATCGACATGAAAGGCAGGTGTCGAACACGGAGAAAGCGGATGCCACAACGGCGTCACCGAGAAGCGGGCGAAGGGGGCGTCGCGAAAAGGAGACTCTGTCGATGGCGCCGCTTGTGAGCCCTCTGAAGAAGTATAAAGGGCGACGTGGCGGCTCTTCCATGTGGCAGTAAATGATGCATATATTCTACAATGCTCGAGAGAGGGGGCCATTCGATAATGTTTGCTTTGTACAGATGCAATTATCTAGAGGGATTTAGCAGATACCACATGGTAGCAAATAAGCACCATATTGCAAATCGACAAGAGCGGTCGTGATATACGTGCAGTGCATTGTTGGATGAGGAACGTCATCGAGGACCCGTTTTAGCGAGGGTTGGGTAGATTGGGTTGCCCTGATGTGAACACGAGTACCTACCTGTATCCATAGGTAGGTAACATTATTTCCACAGGTTATTGTCTCAGAATGATGTGCTTGGAAGCCGTTTCACATGTATGAATGAGGGCACCGGGAACCAGTGACTGGATCGAAAAGGATAAAGTGTTGAGACACAAGACGTATCAAGTAATTTGCTACGCGATGGCTCGCTGCAGCTGGAATCATGCCGAAGGAGTATCACATCGCTCAATTGGCAGTGGTATGATTGGTCAAGGTCGCTGGTTGCTGCCTAACCTGGAAGTTTTGGTGTTTGTGAGCTGGCAATGTTCGACGGACATTGAGGCAAGGGAAACTTGAAGAAAGGCGGTAGCTTGCGAAACGAAGGGCAAAGCCATTTGTGCTCGGGTCGCTGGAAAAGTTTAAAGAAACAACTGGGTACAGACCACCGATGCAGTGCAAGGGGAATGTTCTGTATGACCAAAGGATGGTGTGCAGGAAAGGGGAAAAGTGACGACCTCTCGAAGGCTTGCGAGAATTGACTTTACAGGGTGGGTGGAAAAGAGGAGAATCGTCAGCCAACCAGTTGTTGACTCACTCGAAATGGACGCTCACCTGCTGTCGGTGGCGCGTCGGGCTGGAAGTCATAGCCAGTTCGATGATTGGATGAAGAGGACGGTGGATGACGAGATTATGTTATGCTCGGGTTGGCTTTACTTTAACAAACACCAGCAGAATGTCGTTCCTGATCCGTCTGTGAATGTGTGCTATTGCCCCCCTAGGGGAGAGCGCATGTCTGCACGAGAAGGACATTGCGATATAAAGGCTTGATGGAGGGACAGTGAAACGTTTGATGGAGAAGCAGCTCTCCATCGTTTGTCTGGCACAAACGGGCGGATATGGTTCCTTCTTTGTTGTTTGCTTTTCTGTCTATTCCCTCTCTTTCTCAGGTTCACTTTCGTTTTTTTCTTTCTTTTTTTTTTCTTTGCCATCTCATCAGTTTTCATATTATTCTTTACTTTGGGTGTTTCTGGCCTTGGTGTACAGAACGTTGCCAGACTTGGCTGCGATATTCATTGGGTCCCCCGGTTTTCCGCAGCTCTCCCTCTTTTAGCTGCGTGCGCTCCTTATATATGTGGACAAACTTGACCGATTGTCATCGGCTGCATTGTTTCAGCAATTGAAGATCTTCATCACCACTTCTCGCATCTTTATAAAGAAAAAGAAAAAAGGAGAGAAAGAGAGAAGGAAAAGTCGTTGCATTCCTCCATCGTCATCTGAGACAAACCGGTCTCGCTTCCGTCAGCTTGAGCAGCTCAGCTCAGTCCTAGCTGCTGATCTAACGCCAGTGCCGGCTCACCCAATCAATACTGACGTCGTTGGACGCTGCAAGCAGCGAGTTCCCTGTCGCGCCCGGTGGGGCCGAGCTCGCCGTCCGTCCCATCGAATCAGGGCGTCATGCGACACTCTGCGGGAAAGCGGCGGCCTTGGTCGTGTGCCCTCGTCGTCTTCTGCTGCCTCTCCATGCTGGCCTGTGCACTTCCTACAACGTCAGTCTCGGCTTCCAGTTCTTCGTTGCAGGCACCGTCTCCAGCATCATCTCCGGCATCGACATTGGCATTTGCAGCATCTACAGCGTCTGCAGCAGCTCCCGTCAGCGCAGAAGACAGCCTGAACCGCAGACCCTCACCAGCTCCAGCGCCGTCGCCGGCCCACGGCAGCGAATCCGCGACTCCACAGGCGACCGAAACCAGCACCGAAGGCGCCGCTGCAGCGACTCGCACAGCACAACCTGAACAGCAGCAGCAGCAGCAGCAGCAGCAGCAGCAGCAGCAGCAACAAAACCAACAGGGGCAGCATTACTCTCTCCCTCTCCCTCTCCCTCTCGAGCTCCAGCATCTGGCCGTTGAGGGACAAGCATCTCCAGCCTCGGAGCCTCTCTCCGTCCCGCCATACAAGCCCATCGTGACGCCTCCGCCGGACCAGGACGCCCAGCTGGCCAAGATGGGCTACAGCATGACGACATTTTACACCTGCGACACGGTGGGTGGGCAGGAGCACTGCGGGTGGCATGTGCCGGTGCTCAAGGCAGATGCGCCGACGAGGAAGACGGATGTGCGGGTTGTGCTGGCGGTGGTGAGCTGTTTGGCCGGCATATTAGCCTGGGGTTTGGTATGAGTGATGACGCCTGGAATGGTGTTTGACAGTAGGAGTCATGGTTACAGAGGACGAGAGAGGACACGAGAAGGCATATGATTACGCGAAAGCCAACGGCGCACAACAACGGTATACGGCATTATTATCCGGTATTCTTTTACCACTCTTTGCATTACAAGGATTCATTACTGGGCTGCGTGGGAACGGAGATGGGATGGGATGGGATGGGATGGGCGCCGGTTTACTGGAGAGGTGCTACTGGTTAGCCTCTCTCACATGGCATGGCTGCGCATCATCCAGAACGGACGAGCGTGGCTTTATAGACGGCATGTCATTGGCGCAAAGGATGGAAATATCAGGCGTCTGAACAGTGGCTATACAAGAATAAATTGATTGCATCTACCTATCTCAATATACCTACTTCGTCGGCCGTGCTGTCGATTCCAAGCTTCATCTTCAAGGGCAGAACAGACGGGAATCTTGAAAGCATCAATCTGCAGCACAACCAGCTCCACAGCGGGGTTGCAGTTTAGGGCGGGGTCGCAGCAACTGCTGGGACGGTAGCTGTTGCCCAAAGCTCCAATCACAGCTCCATCATCACCAACGCCCGTCGACTCTGTCTCCATCGGATTGACTCTGCTTTACATCCGTGTTCTGTCTCTCCCTTTTCTGCGTTCCTCTCTCTTCCACCGCGCTCCCACCTCTACCAGATACCCCAAATTCCACATCACCATCACAATGCAGGTCCCTCTCATCCGTCTGCAGTGCGGCGTCAACTCGTACGAATGGGGCAAAAAGGGGAGCGACTCGGCCGCCGCCAGGTTCGCCGCTGCCACGCCCTCGGACGACCTCTCCATCCAGTCCGACAAGCCCTACGCCGAGGTACTATGCTCTCTATCCTTCCATACTCTCGCGTCCTGCCGTCTGTACAGCCTCTAACCGTTGCAGCTGTGGATGGGCACTCACCCCTCCAATCCTTCCAAAGATGTCAACACCGGCCGAACCCTCCTCGATCTCTGTTCCGAAAACCAGCTCCTCCTTTCCCAGTCTGTCGCCGCAAAGTATGGCGCAAAGTTGCCCTTCCTCTTCAAGGTCCTCTCCATCAACAAAGCCCTCTCCATTCAAGCCCATCCCAACAAGAAGCTCGCCGAGCAGCTGCACGCGCGGGACCCCAAGAACTACCCCGACGATAACCACAAGCCCGAGATGGCCATTGCCATCACCCCATTCGAGGGGCTGTGTGGATTTCGACCGTTGGATGAGATTGCCCACTTTCTCGAGACGGTCAAGCCCCTGAGGACGCTGGTCGGGGAGGAAGAGGCGGCGCAGTTTGTCCAGGCTGCCAAACAAGAGGGCGGCGACGAGGCGGCCAAGAAGAAGGCCCTGCAGAAGGCGTTTGGAGGCTTGATGTCGTCATCTCCCGAAGACGTTGACAGGGAGACTGCCAACCTCGTTGAGCTTGCCAAGACCGAGGGCGAAACATTTGCTGCTGGTGGCGTATCATCGACCAAGGGTGCTGTCCTTGCCGAGCTTGTCACCCGCCTCCACGGCCAGTTTGGTTCCGACATTGGCATCTTCGTCCTCTTCTTCCTCAACTTCGTCACGCTACAGCCTGGCGAAGCGCTGTTCCTCGTCGCCGACGACATCCACGCTTACGTTTCCGGCGATATTGTCGAGTGCATGGCGGCTTCCGACAACGTTGTCCGTGCTGGTCTGACGCCCAAGTTCAAGGACGTGTCCACGCTTGTCGACATGCTCACCTATAATTATGCGCCTATCGACCAGCAGAAGATGACACCGACAGACTATCCCTACGCGACGCTCAACCGTGCCGGCTATAGCTCTGGATCCTCCGTCCTGCTGTACGATCCTCCCATTGACGAGTTCAGCGTTGTGCGCACCCTGCTCCGCGGCGACGGCGCCAAGGCCACATTTGAGCCTCTTGAGGGCCCTAGCATCATCATCTGCACCAGTGGCAAGGGCACGATTGCGGTGGGGCCAACCAAGCACGAGATGAAGGAAGGCTACGTGTTTTTCGTCGGATCTACCGCAGAGCTGGTCTTGGAGTCTACCGGCGGACAGGACGACGAGTTCATCACGTACAAGGCATTCTGCGAGATCGACTCGTCTGGAAAGGACCGGTCATGATATCTGCATCTGCAGCCACTTTTTCTATGTCTCTTGATTCATGACGCTCTGAAATGATACGAGTTTATGTGCGATTGGAATTTTGCAGGGAGACGGACCAGTTAGAATTGACTCTATACAAGCCGCGGTACTCATGCAATCTACGGATACCGCCACGTTAATACCGCTCCTCTGCCTCTTGCACAGCCAGATCATGGATGAACCCTGGGATAACAAGATGGAAAATGCCACATCATTGAGAAATCGTTACACAATAAACATGTCTGTCCACCTTCTGCATCCGACATCTCCTGACTCACAGTTGATCAGCATGTCAGTTCCTCTACTTTTTCACGTGATAGCTGCCGGATGAGTCATCAACTGCCCCTCCAAAAAATCATATTCCAGAAACACCTACCCCACGTTCGTGATACGATACCAGCAGCGACTCGACATCCATTTTCTCGACAATCCGCAGTTCACAATGGCCGAAGAATCGAACCCCCCAGCTCCTCCCGCCGGCGACAATGCCGCTGCTGCTGCTGCCGCCGCCGCTGACGCTGCCGGTCCCTCGAAGAAAGCGGCCAAGAAGGCCGAGGCCAAGGCCAAGAAGGAAGCTCTGAAGGCCCAGCGAGCTGCCGAGCGAATCGCCGTGGCCGCAACCTCCAACGAGCCCGAGGAAGACCCCGCCAAAGACTTCTACGGCGCTGCCACTCCCGCCCTGCTCGCGTCATTCCCGGCCGATGCTGAATACGTCCATCTCAAGGATATCAGCGAGTCCCATCTCGGAAAGACGGTCGTCATCCGGGCATGGCTGCAGAACACGCGCATGCAGGGCGCCAAGATGGCCTTTGTCGAGCTGCGGGAGGAGGGCAACTGGGCCATCCAGGGCATCGTCAGTGCTACCGCTGACAACAAGGCGGAGGATGGAAAGCCCGTCATCAGCAAGCGCATGGTCAAGTGGGTGGGCGCCGTGAACCCGGAGAGCTTCGTCACTGTCGAGGCCACCGTCGAGAAGCCCTTTGCGCCCGTCAAGAGCTGCCGCGTGTCTGACTTTGAGCTGCACATTACCAAGCTCTTTGTCATTGCTGCTGCTCCCGCGACGCTGGGCATGACGCTGGCTGCTGCGAACCGTGCCGTTACCAACTTTAGCGACGAGGAGGCGAAACCTGAGGAGGTTGCTCAGGAGAAGGAGGCCGACGGTGGTCCTCCGGCCGCGTCCATGTTGACTCACTTGGACAACATTGTCATGCACAAGCGATCTCCCGTTCAGCAGGCCATTGCTGTAAGTCCTGAAATGAGTCGAACTTGAGTTTGTCGATGTTCTAACGGACATTCGCAGGACATCCGCGTCGAGGTCAAGCACCTGTTCCGCTCGTACCTGAGGGAGCACGGTTTCAAGGAGTTCGAGCCGCCGTGCCTCATCGGAGCTGCTTCCGAAGGCGGTGCCAACGTCTTCTCCATGCCCTACTTCAACCAGAAGGCCTACCTCGCCCAGTCACCACAGTTCTATAAGCAATTCGAGATTGCTGGTGGCCGAAAGCGCGTCTTCAGCATTGGACCCGTCTTCAGAGCCGAAAACTCCAACACTCCGAGACACATGACCGAGGTATGTTGCACTCATTTTCATTCTCGTGTCAACGATACTTACACTCTCCTAGTTCACCGGTCTTGATATGGAGATGGAGATCCAGAAGGACTATCACGAGGTCCTTTCTATGCTGGAGGGCGTGCTGCTGCACATCTTCCGCGGTATTGAGAGTATGTCTTTTGAACCCCTCCACACCTCAGTCCTGCGGCGACTCTAAAGCTTGGCACTTCTTGCTAATCCCTCTCCATAGAGAACTGCGCCGCCGAAATCGAATTGGTTCGCTCCGTCTACCCTTCACCTGAAATCCTCCTCCCAGAACCCGGCAAGGAGCTGCGCTTGACCTTTGCAGAGGCCCAGAAGCTGCTGCGCGAAGAAGGCCCCGAAGAGTTCCGCAACGTTCGCGACGATGAGGATATGTCAACGCCGCAGGAGAAGGCACTGGGCGCGCTGGTCCGTGAAAAGTACAAGACCGACTTCTTCGCCGTCGACAAGTTCCCCGAGGCCGCGAGACCCTTCTATGCCAAGGTCGATCCTGCCAGCAAGCCCAACGAGCCAGTCACCAACGCATTCGACATGTTCCTGCGTGGACAGGAGATTCTGTCCGGTGGCGAGCGTATCGCCGACCCCGATGAGCTTGAGGCCCGCATTCGTTTCAAGGGAGTTGATCCCAAGAGCGCTGGTATCAAGGAGTACATTCACGTCTTCCGCGAGGCGGGTGTTCCTCCTCACGGTGGCGGTGGCATTGGCCTTGACCGTGTTGTCGCTTGGTACCTTGCCCTTCCCAGCGTGCACTTGGCCGCGTACTATCCCAGAACACCGAAGAGACTGCTGCCATAGATGTAGAAATCTAGAAGAGGTCAAGAACTTTGGACGAATAAATGAAGAAATAAATAGAGAGTTGTGCTCAATGGCTACACCTTATCGACACAGTTATGGAAGCAAACATCCATAAGGTATTGCATGGAATTAGGTTGTCTGTCGTTACTTTTGACAGGACAAAGCATTGACGGCAAATCGCGGTATGAGTGGATCTCGCAAGCTTGAAGGTACCTACTGTGCATAGCATCTCTCAAGATCTCTCAAGGTTCTTTTCCACCATTTGTATCCGAGGCATAGGGACTCAAGAGGGTAGCGGTACTTGTAGGCACGCAGAGGCCGCCATCAGGGGTCCAGATCTGATTGGCCTGTGAGAACGCCAATCTACTGTATGTGCGCCAATTGCCGCCAAAACCAACACGCAAAGCTGCTAGTCTAGCTTCAGCGCGGGATGACGGTCAATGAAATGCAAGACATGGCGGTCTGAGATGGCAGAGGCTTGCCGAGTCGACAATTCGCCCCAAAGGCAACTGAGAGTGGTAGATCGGTCTCTCCGTGACATCTGGCCAACAAGATCTGCGCCTTGTCGTTGCTTTACGGTCAATCTACACGCCTGATGGAGATGTTCGATTATACGCAGCATACGTGAAGGCGGTTGAGCGATTTCCCAGTGATGAAGCTCTGTGATATGATCTGTATAGCATCCCAAGCCAATACCAAAGCGGTGACCTCCCAAGCAATGCACATTTCTCTTTCGATAACCGAATGATGAATGACTTAGAAAAGATCATTACTACTCCTAAATCTCCAGCCACACAAGGGTCCACGTTCGTTGGTGCACTCACCGCCGTATTCGTGCTCGGTATTGACTGGCCAATGTGCCGCTGGGCTATTCCGCAACGGCTAGGTTCACTTGCAGGGATACTTTACGCCCCCTTGGCCTTATTTTATCGCCCCAGAGCTTAAAGATCTGCTTAGACAATCGAGAAAATGAAGCAATGAGAATATAATCTGCCGTGCTGGTTGTCCTTCAGACCTGAATCTGTATTTGCAACTTTGGCCACATTGTATGACGATACTTTGTTCTGTGTCCCGACTTTCCCCCGGCTCTTGGAAGTTGACGACGACACGTCGCGATTCGACCGCCAGCATGCCATCGACTTTGGCGATGGCGGTGCCTGAAGATCTGAGAACAGGGGTTGACCCTCCGACTTTGGCGTCAGCAGAGAAACCAGCTCTTGGGTCGATTCCTGATGCAAGCGCCAAAGAGCAGATACTACAAATCGCGGAAGACGTAGAGGAAATAATCAGCACAAATGCCGAAGCCAGCTCGAGATTCACAGGCCACCAGCTCTTCTACATTTTTGGCGTCCATGGTATTGGCGCTCTAATCGTGTCCGGCGGCATCAATTTTGCCATTGCGTATGGTGAGTCTTTGTCTCCGTCGCGTTCACTGAGGGCATTTCCCAACGGATTGCTAACCGAGATTGCGCAGCCATGTATACTACGCAAGACACAGCGACAAAACCCATTCGCCTCTGGCAGCTTCCGAATACATTGGCGGGCGATGCTGCCGTTACCATGATCATACAGTGCATCATCACCTGGTTCGTCGAGCTGATCATTCTTCACTTCGATCTCAGCCAGCGCTCTGTTCAACCTATCGGCTTTATTCCGCCGCCCTCAAACTCTTTGCTGCGTTGCTTCTTCTTCCTTCCCCGAGACGCAACAGCCGAGACGAAGAAGCAGCTTCGCCCGTGGTCGTTCATCGAAGTTATCCAGCAGGCTCTGAGGGGCTTCTGTTTTGCTGTTGTGGGCTTCCTGTTGCTGTGGCCCGTTTTCGTGGGCGTGTTGACGGCTTTTGGGGACAAAGAGGGCGGCGACTATTACTATCGTCGGAAATGGGTGCCGGAGATTTTCAAACTGGTGCTGGGTGGGGTTTTGGGGCTGCTCACGACGCCGTGGATGGCCATGTTTTGGCTGGTCAAAGCTGGGTGGGAGCAGAGGAAGGATCTCCCCGTGATTGCAGAGGTATAATGATGACTATGATTGATGAGTCTATGGGAACTTGATGGATAATGACCAATATTATAATACAACAATTAGAATAATGCTTAATACCTAGGTTGTTAATCAAGACAGACGGCCAAGTAACACTGTCTCCTGCGTGTTGATGTTTCGCCTTCCTGCGAGCTTATCTTCTTGTCGACGTTGGGCTGCAAATTAGGTAGACTGCGAAGAATTTGCCTCGTCTACCCTATCCTCGCTCCTTTAGCAAGTGCGTTTATCACTCCATCGAATGATAGTGCCTGGAGTGGAATAAATGTCACCGCCTTCATAATTACAACTTTATCTTTGAGAAGTCTGCAATCTTCGCAATTGTTGGAAGGAACGGAATCACGATGCTTCGATTTCACGAGGATGTGTCAGTCCTCGGAGCGAATCACAGGCTGCTCCATCGTCAACAAATATTCGTTTTAGGAAAGTCCAGGATGGGGTTGCACGGGACAAGAGGATCTCGGCTCGTAGAAACATCCACAGCATCATGACTAAGTAATGAGCCAAGCCGTTGATGTATAAGAGAAAAGATAGAAGCTACGATTCTTGTGCATTGAGCAGAGCATTTCCCAGCTTCGATTTCTCTGTATCTCTGTATAGCTACAAAGTTCAAATTCTGAGGTTTCTATCATGCCCACACAAGTCGCTGTTGCAGGCGCCACGGGTGCTGTAGGCATCCCTATCGTCTCCGAGCTCTTGAAAGCTGGGCACCTCGTTACCGCTCTCAGTCGAAGCAGGAACAATTGCTCGGCCAAGCTTCCCGAGCACCCGCATCTGAGCATTGCCGAGGTCGACTATGACTCCGTGGCTTCGCTCACGGCTGCCCTGCAAAGCCATGCCATCGTCATTGCAGCCCTACCCGTTACCACACCAGTCGGTAGCCAGGACACACTCATCGATGCCGCTGTTGCTGCGGGAGTGATACGCTTCTTTCCGGCGGAGTTTGGCACCGACACCAACAATGACAAATGCATGAAGCTGCCGGTTTTCGCGAACAAGGTGCACGCCCTTGCGTATTTAAAAGACAAGGCCGCCAAACACCCCAGTTTCAGCTACACAGCCTTGTGCACCGGCTCCTTTCTGGACTGGGGCTTGGCGGCTGGGTTCCTGGTCCATCCCAAGACGCATACTGCTACGATCTACGATGACGGTAATCTTCCGTTTAGCACGACTACTTTGACCACAGTCAGCAAAGCGGTCGTGTCAATCATTGATCATTTAGAGGAGACAAAGAATCGACATGTCTACATCCATGATGCAGTCGTCACGCAGAACAAGCTCGTTGAGTTGACAAAAACGATTGATGGCAAGGACTGGCAGTTGACATATGTCGACTCAGCTGTTGCCTCTGCGGAGGCTCATCTCGAATTCCTGAAGCCAACCGCAGACATCACCAAAGGGCTTATGCCTCTTCTGCATATCTCTGTGCTTGGTAAGGGCTACGGAGGGGACTTTACTAGTCGCTTGGATAATGAGCTTCTTTCCATTAAGGAGATGAACGACGAGGAACTTCGGAATGTGATTGCAATGTTCTTGTAGGACTATAAGCGAAGAGGGTAGCTGCCGTGAATATAGGCAGAGCCAACGTTATGCATAATTACCACTCCCCAATTCATCATCAGTGACATGAACTAACGATGCGAATTTGATCCTCCCCCGTTATCGCCAAATTTGTGATAACCCCTTGTGCAAGTGTCCGTGTTCCTTCTGGTGGCCTGTCTCATAGTGCCTAGATACGTGACAAGACTTGTCATTAGCCAATTGCTTCAACAACCAGGTGTCCTTTGCCATGACCCATTTGACTTACCGGCTTCAGGTTGGTCTAGGTATAAGAAGACATCAAAACGTATTCCTTCTGTACAATCGGGAGAATGAACATGATTCCGAGCAGTTTCTCAATGTCAACGGATGAGTCTGCTGGAAGCTGCACGTTGATCATTGCCTCCGAATGGAATAGCACCAAGCCACAAATGATTTTTCAAGATTCGATTGAAAACAATGCACAGGATGTCAATGTGCATGGAACGGCAATGAACACAAGTTCCAGTGGAGGAGCGCAAGCTTTACGTTACATCAACGTTCAGATTTACTAGATCCGTACGTTGTCACCAGTGAATGGCGGTGACGAAGATCGTCTTCAGCAGCAGGAGTGGTCACTCCATTCTCGCTGGCCATTTGCATCGCCCAGGCGTGTCAGCTTTACGCATCAATATCGGCTGATGCACTGGCATGGGCACCTGATGTCGCTCTTAGAGTACTTTGGGGCCAAATTGTGGCAGCTTGTAAGGATTGAAAAGAGGCGTTGATATTACAAATAACCTTTCGCGTCAGGGTTCAGCTCAAATATGACGGGTTTAATAGAGTGCTTAATTGCGAGAATCGCCGACAAGGATGCACCAAACATGAGATGGCTGGAGAGGTAAGGCTGAATGGCGGTGCGATTTAGTCTAGGTAGCTAGTTAGAGGGGAGCGTATAGCGGACAAGCAATAGAGCGTATACACGTAGTAGAGCGCAAGCGGGCGTATAAGCATCATGGCAGTGCATGCCTGTCTGCGCCTGTTGGATTTGGAATTAAGCTTCTTTTGACAATACGCGTAAGATCTACCAGGTCCATCAGCTTTCATGTCGAGATCTCTGAGTATATAAATGAGACCTCTTTCCATATTGATAGAATCGAAAAAGCAGCTCACACCTTCTTCACGACTCCGAGCCACCATCTAAAGGAGCACAACAGTTCTGAACCTACTTGTACCTCGTTCTCAGACGCTTTCGCGGAATAATGGCGTCCCTTCTCATCGTTGGCGCCCTGATAATTATCAGGGCCGTTTCAGCGACACCCACTGTCAGTCATCGAACTCATGGATATTGCAAGCAACTGGACATTCCCTTGCCTGTCACTGCGGAAACCGCCGTCTACGACATACCCAGAGTAGACAATGATATCGAAGCGGCCGCCTGGGCAATCTACGACGCCACTCGAACTACGGCCCATGGCCCCCAGAACATCATCAAGAACACTACGACTTCTGGCACTTTCAATATTCATGCCCAGCTGTGCATCCCCAATGGCGCCCAAAAGCACAAGAACAATACCTTGCAGATCGCCACCCACGGAGTCCATTACGATTCCCGATACTGGGATTCGACGTACAGGCCTGAGAAGCACTCTTATGTGGAGGCATCTCTCAAGGCAGGATACTCGATCCTCACGTATGACCGCTTGGGAGTGGGCGAATCTGACCACCCGGACGCATACGACGTCGTCCAGGCTCCACTGGAGCTGGAGATCCTCCGCCAGTTGACCCTGATGGCCCGCAACGGCACCCTGTACGACTTTGCCAGCCATGCTGCGCCCTCCGATGCTGCTTTCTCTCAGTTGGAGGTCCCGCACAAAGTCGTTCACATCGGACATAGCTTCGGATCTTTCCTTACCTCTGCCTTCATTGCCCGATACGGCCCTCTTACCGACGGGGCGATCATCACGGGTTATCTCTTCACGGACCAACTCGCCAGTGCTGGTTCCACATCGTTCAGCGTTGAATATGCTGCAACAGGATCACCTCCATTCAACCGCTCCAGTGGCTATGTTGTGTGCCAGAGAGACGGTATCCAGAACATCTTCTTTGGGGGCAATCCCAAGACCGCCTTCACCCCAGAGCTTCTTAACTACGGCATCAGCATCAAGCAGCCAGTCCCCATCGGAGAGTTCGCTTCGGCCTTTTCTCTCCTTGGCAACCCCGGGCCATCATTCAAGGCTCCCGTCCAGTTTTTCTTGCCCGAATTCGACTTCTACATCTGCCGTGGCGATTGTAGGGGTCTGGCGAATATGACGGCCTTGAACGAGACCTACCCCCATGCCACCGCTATTGAGGTGGCCCTCCAGCCCAACACTGGCCATGCATTGCCATTGCACAACAATGCCACGGCAGGCTTCAACGTCATGTTTGACTTCTTCGCCAGACATGGCCTCTAGATGCCTACATGACGGAACTTTCATCTGCTAATCCATGAATTGGTGGATCTTCGGTTAAGGATATTTACTTTATAGCTCTGTGTATAGGGTTTTTCCTCTGTAGGAATTTTGGGAGTAGCCAACTATTAGACATGGGAATAGACGTGATTATTTGCCAGCATTATTTATCTATTTCACTGTGTGATACGTGACAGCGTGGTATTTGCCTCCACCCATGTAAGACTTACATTAGGTAGGAGGTTGTCAGTACTGGCTGTGTTGCGAGATGTTTGCTACATGCGCTCATAGCAGGCTCAACAACCAATCAAAATTAAACTCAGATTCAGAGCTTCATGTCTGTCAGTTATTGATGCTACTCCCGCCGAAAGAAGTATATCAAATGTCTTACTTATACTCTCGCTACTACTGCTAGACAGGCGTCTAGCTTCTACTTATGCCCGTAGCAAGATTAACCCCTTGCCACCTATATATATCAATACTTCCCTATGTTGGTGCCTCTATTGTTGACGGACTGCATCAATTTCGTGATATGCATACGTGTTTGCAGCCTATCTAGGGTAACAAATGGTAGACTTGAATGCCGACATTGGAGGAAAAATTCATTTTCGAGTAAAGCGTTCCACATGGAACAAACACACCTATGCATTTCTACTGTATTGAATCCAACAGAACGAACGGAAATATTTGCTACTGCTTCTACTATCTAGTGATGTCTAGTCTACGTCTATGGAGACAGTTCAAGAATGCCGCTACAACAAAGCAACGCACGCGGATTCAATGCTCTATTCAAACCTTCACGGCCTGAACCCTTGCAAACATGGCGTTGATGTCGTCATTGGTCTTCTGCCTGAGCGGCCTTGCGAAAGGGAGACGCTCCCACTCTGCCTGGCGGTTAGCCCATCTCCGGCACAAAGAGTCTTGACACTTACCAAAGAATGTCTTGACCCACTCCTTGGGAGCAGCTCCCGCGGCATCGTCCCACAAGGTCGTCAAGTACAAAGCTGTTGTCCCAGGGCTGCCCATCTGCTGGTTTATCGAAGCATTGAACTTGTCATTGGCCTTCATCGCGTCTGCTACGCGGGCAGCCCTAGCCTTGGCGGCTTGTTCCACGGTCAGATACTTAGACTTTGGATCACGTCCGATGTCGTCCAGGCCTAGCCTCTTAGAGGTCGTCTTCCAGATTCGCGGGTTAAAGTGTAAGTCATCTCCAAGAGCAAAGTCGTTTCGTGACAGCGATCCGTCAAACTCGATGCAATCATGCTTCGCCAGATCGGCCAGATTGAACGTCGAAATGTTGCCCGTGGTCGTGAGATTGCAGTTTTGAGCCAGTTTGAAAACATCGTCAAAGGTGTTGGGGGCGTAGTTGTAGGCACCGGCAACGGCAACTTGGAGAGTCGGCAGATCAATGTTCTTTCCCGAGCGAGGAAGCCAGCCGTGGTTTGCCAGAACGTTCAGGCCAGGGCATGGCGATCGGCCTAAAGTCATTCTTGTGTTAGTCGTCTGTGGATGGAGGGCTCAAGTCATTCTCCAGTAACGCACTATCTCTCGGCCCAGCAGGAATCCATTCATGGCCTTTGGTGGAATGGAAACTGGGCAGTCCCGAGGCGACACTGCTCAGCAGCACGGTGAGGAAAAAAGATCGCATCTTAGTTGATTAGAAAGTGGCTTGCTGTGTTCTCAAGCGGCGATGCAGCTGGTTTTGCGGTTTGTTTACTTTCATTCCATGCCATGATGTCGCATATTTATACAAGCCCTCAGGCTTTTGGGCTCGTATCTTGTCATAATCTAATCTGGGTTAGAAGAGAGCGTATCAAGGGAGATCGCGAACGAGATCAGGGGCTATGGTATTCCTTCTACAGGAAAACAACCAATGGGGGCTCATGGATCTGTAATCCTACTCGGTTGACGGGGGATTCCGAAGCACCGCCTGATCCTACCGAAGCTGTGCGCAGCTCACGAGCTCCCTGACACACAGCTCAACCCTCTGCACAGCTCGATATGCCTTCACGATGACACTCCCGCAGCTTGAGTCGAAGCCGTCGACAACGAACCTGGCAACACTGTGACAAATATAATACGCTCGTAATACGCCCCTGGCAATACGCCTCCACCGAATACGCTCGACGAATGCTTGGATTGGGCGCCATGTCAGCCCTAGGAGAATTTGGGGCAAATCCCGGCGCTTTTGGCGTGGTGGCCCAATTGCGCGTTCTGTGGGCTACAGCGAGAGCCGAAGCATTTAAACACTGTATTTCAGTTGGTCGGTGTGCTCGGAGATGCAGGCTGTCCGCAAGCATGACTGCATATGTAGAGCCCTGCCCTGCTCTTCAGTACTAATATCATGTTTATTCGATCGGCCTGTTGGCGACATGGAGGATCAATAGGCTCTCGTCCGATGGCCGGTCGTGCTTAGTCCTGTGGGGGACATGTCGAGTGACAGTTGTGGCTCTCTCATTGACCAAGAGTTGAAGTGTCACAACTCTCTACAGCTCTCAACGGTATTGGTGCTTTCAGTTTCTCAAGCTTCAAGTCTCTTTGCAACTGTGTCGGCCCGCTCTCCGACTCTGAGAGATCCATTCGGACCACCGCATGTCCAAAACTCTTCAACCATAACTCACTGAACAACGGCAATGTCATGAATGAACTCTCTCCCGATAGTTACCGCTGCTTCCTGGAGCATAATCTCGGAGCTATCCCATTTGTCTATCTTTTAATCTTTCCGGTTGTCGTTGAAAAAGGATTTGTAACGTTCTGAGTTTGCATTGCCCCGGATTAACTGTGTCTTAGTTGGAGAGTCTCTCAGATGACGGCCGCTCGGCCACAGTCGAAAACGGAATAGCACCCTCAGCTGTCAGTTAGCAGGAGAGGCGGTGCAACACGTAACGCCTTAATTCCAAATTCAAATTCCAAATTCAGGAAACTGAGCTCCAATAAATAAGGTAAGCATATTGCACTATCATTTTACCTTGTATCGCCAAACTACCTAACAGTTGACAATCAACCCCATGGCTCAACGAATCACCATGCCCACCAGAGAGTTCAAGCAGCGTCGGTCACACGAAAAGTCCAGAAAGGGCTGCACAAGATGCAAGATACAGAGAAAAAAGGTTGTGTACGGCGCATCATCCAGGACCCTGCTACGGTTGCTGACAACGGAAGCAGTGCGACGAGGCGCGTCCCGTCTGCACGCGGTGCAAGAAGCGAAACCATTGTTGCCGATACACCTTCGAGAACGATTGCTTTCGATCAGAGTCTACCGAAGTGAGCACTGGCCGAGACGCATTGACTCTTGAGACACCGCGTCTAGAATATTTGAGCCTCCCTGAAGCCAGCCCTCGCAGCTCCGCAGCAAGCTCGGATGAGATTTGCCTCAGTGATTCGGGCTTCTTCCCCGCATCGCCGTTCCCTGCTTCCGGGGTTTCGCAGACACTCCCACAGCCCTTTACACTTAACTCCGAAGAGCTTGAGCTGCTCAGTCACTACATTACACATACGAGTCGCTCCATTCCCTTCGACACAGACGAGTTATATGCCCTCCACGTGGGGATACCCAATCTCGCTTTCGGCAGCCGACCGGTCATGGGCTCCATGCTGGCACTCTCAGCAGTCTGCAAGTGCTACGACATTGTGAGGCATTCGCACGCGCCTCTAGAGAGGCTGGAGGAGATCAAGGGCCTGTTTGTTCTGGCAGATCGACATCACAGGACATCGCTGCACCAGATCCAGGCGGCCATATACGACGACCATTTTGACACCGTCCTGGCCAACGCCCCCTTGATGGTGCTCTACGCATTGGCTGGTCATTGTGTTCGAGTGTCATTGGCTCAGAAGGCAAAGAGAAGCGGAAAATCGCTTTCCAACGAAATGTTCCCATTGCAATCGCAGTGGATCACCTCGATTCGTGCTGCATACGTAGCCTACGTTGGGGTACACAACAGTTCAAGCCCTACCAGCGACTTTGACGACGGCGTACCAACTTCTCCTTGCACTGTCAAGGACGACTCTCCTTCACATATGGCCGCCTTGTCTGGAGGTAGCCTTTATCCCCCCGAGGATGGCCCTTCGGAAGGGACAAGGCGGCTACTGCTGCCGATAGTGTCCGCCACATACGGAACCGCCATGGAGAAGCTTACGGAACGAGCGCGAACTGTTTGGCTTGAGGAGGCCGGCTCAAACACCCACGCAGGAGATTCTAGCAACCCAGAGTTGCAAGCATGCCTTGCGTCTCTCAAACTTTTGGATGAACTGTTCACAACAATATTCTCTGACACCCAGCCAAACCACGAACTGTCTCCACCAGCATCATCTACCTCAGGCTTGCAACTGAATGGACTGGATAAGGCCTCTCCATGGTTGAGAAGATATATGGCCCGTGTTACTTCCGCTACGCCCTCCAAGTTGTGGCGACGAACCATCATGGCTTTCCTCAATCGCGTTCCACTCGAATACCTCCAGCTTGTTCAGTCAGCTCTCGATCATATGCCTGTCGCGACAACTCAGAGTGACCCTAGTTGTTTCGATAAAGCCATAAAGCTTGGTGCAGCGCAACAGCTGGCAATGAACATATTTTCCCATTGGTTGGTTCTTGTTATGCTGCTGGACGGAGTATGGTGGATTGGAAGCATCGGACAATGGGAACTTGGGAGGATCCTCTCGTTTACGGAAGCCCAATGCTGGACTCTAGAACCAACAGAGACTGGGGGAACTTGGTGGCCAGAGAGCATGTATGCTGTCCAGAAAGCAATTGCAGAGCCTGTAGAATGAATCTACTGCTATTGCGATCTTGCTTATGAATCACCTTTGACCTCAGTGAGAGTGGTTACGAGATAGCTGTCTGAAGTGCACCTGGGGTCAGTATGGGTAACGCCCACATTTGGGCCAAGTTGAGAAATCAGACAGTGAGCACCCAACTTCGAAGACAGGCTTAATTATGTGACTCAGTCCTAGTTCTTACGGTGTCTTTTCTTTCTTTGATCTACCTCGTACTGCGGTGGATAGCTGTGTAGTTTGGGTGTGGAGGCAGATTTGGTGCCCCCATTGCTCATCCAGGCGAGGGGTAGATAAGTTGCTCATGCGCCTTGGTACATCATGCGTCTGTTCTCGTCTACGTACTGGATGAGAAAGCCATGGCAGTTCTTCTCTGCTATGAGTCGATCGGCATTTTAATATTACGCCCACTGCCCCGAAATCAGAGTATCAGCCCGCCAGAAGTTGTGAGTTGCTATCCTGACATCACCAAGTCTTCAGAGGCGCCTGCCCTTGAATCGTGGGCCACGACTACCTACCTAACTGTCAGTGCGAGTTACCACTGGCGACGTCTTTCAAACTTCCTGAGGAAAGATCGATATCCGTATTGGGGCATGTCAACCTGTCTAGGTACCTTCGTATAACAGAGTAACAAATACATAATACCAGGTACCCATGATCCATACAAGCCACAGCGTGAAAAAGTGATAGTTGCTTAGTAGAACCTACCTAGGTATGAAATCACTAGAAGTTCGAGATGTCTCCCTTTACATACAGCTCAGCGACTTGGCCAATTCGTCCAGATAGCCAGTGCCCCTGTCGGAGTTAATAAGGGAATGCTAGTTATTGCAATGTAGGTAACTTACCTATAGAAGACTAATTATCTCTAATACCAAGCCCTAGACACCATTTTTTACTGCGATCCTTAGTGATTAGTTAGTGTGGCAGATAAGAAGCTTATATTATGTTATGGATTATTATAATATGGCTATTGCTATTATGCCTAGATTTATAAGAGCTAACAGATTGTAAGATTCTATATAAAAGAGACTTCTAACTAGTAAATATTATAAAGCATAACTCTTATACTAGCAGAGGCCCTAGTTATAAGGCTATTCTAGATTTATTAGTTATAAGTTTACTGCCTTTAAGGCTATTTTATACTATATCTTACTAAGGTTAGATATTTCTACAGCCTTTTAAATTAATAATACCTTAAAATATATATATTTTACTTTATTTTAAAAGTCACTATAAGCTAATAATTAGAGAATGTATTATAGGGCAGCTTATAAAGATTATTACCTACTATTTAATAATTAATAAACTAGATATTATACTTCCTCTAGCTGCTCTTTAAAGTAAAGTATAACAGGCGTTTAAATTTAGTAAAGGCAATATATATATAGCAGGCTTATAATAATATACTTAAAAAGCTTAAAATATACTATCCTAAGCATATTTAGGAACTAAAAAGCCTTAAAAATAAATACTAAAACTACTAGAAGTTATAGCAGGTGTAAAAGAAAGCTAAAAACCTATTAAAAATAACCTATAATCCTAAGACCAGGCGGCTAATAATAAGTAAAGTAAATAAAAAGCTTATTATTTAATAGCATTATCCTTATAGCTATTAGGTTATTAAAAGTAGTATCTTAGTTAGGGTATTAAGATTAAGACTTAAGAGGAGATTTTCTTAATAAATATACTTACTAGCTGCTATATTTATAAGGTAATAAATACTGCTAGCTTTACTTAATTAAATAATGCTAATAACCTAAATAATAATATTATTTTTAAGCCTTAAGATAAAGAAATAAAAAAAATAAAAACTTTACTTACTATTAGCAAGCTATTACTATTACTACTGCTACTAGTAATACTATTAATACTAATACTATTAACTCCCTTACTATTAATAATCTTATTATTATCTTATATACTAGGCGCTAGCTAATAAAAAAGAAATAAAATAAAAAGGCTTATAAAGGATAATAAAGCTATAATATTTAAAGGCATTTATTAGGCATTAGCTGCCTTATTAAGCTGCTTTACTAGGCTAGCTGCCTAGCTGCCCTGTAAGTATATTATAAAATTATAAGTAAAGGGCGCAGAAGACTTTAAAAAGGCAGTATAAAGTTATTTCCTCTTTATAAATAAATAAGGCATGCCTTTTATAAACTATTTAGTTTATTAGCTTTATTAAGATTTACTAAATATTTTAATATAAAATTTATTACTATTAGGTTATATATAAAATATATAGTTAGTAATTAATTTCCTTAATAATTTATAATATCTCTTTTTTTATAACTTCTAGTATTTTAAATAGCTTTAAAAATCCTATAATAGCATAAGGTTATTATTATCCTAGTATTATTAATTTACTCTTATATAGCCTAAAATTAACTATTTACTATCTTTTACTATTTATTAGCTTTAAATTTTACTTTTTTTAACTGTATTTTTATATACCTTTATTTATATTATTAACTTTAATACTAAATGCTTTATTTTTTATTTATTTTAATTCCTTTAGCTAATTTTAATAATTATAATATGCTTTTTAAAGCTAGCTACTAATATATTCTTAAAGCTAAAGGCTGCTTATAGTTAAAATAACCTTATTAATATATTAAGCAGCTTGCTATAAAGCTTCCCTTTTATCTAGTATTAAAATATTAATATCTTTTTACTAACTTTTACTAAGACTTTTACTATTAAGCTTAATAAAGTTATAAAGACTTATAACTGCATAAATAAGCAGAATTTAGTTATTAAACTTATACTTAGTAGTGCTATTATAAATAACCTTTTACTTTTACTTATATTTACTAAATATATTCTTAATAATAATTCTTTTTTAAGCATGCTATAAGTTAAATAGTTCTTTATAATCCTATAGTTATTAATTAAAATCTCCTTAATTTTTTAAATAGTAATAAGTCCTAGTATAAGGAATTATAATGCCTTACTATATACTAAATCTAGTATTTATAAGCTAAAAGCAGCTAGCTAAAATTACTAATAATTATATTAGCGCTTATAGTAAGAGATTTAAGTTATTTAGAAATCCCTTACTACTAGTAAAAATATAAGTAAATAGGCTATTAAAGGTAGTATTAATAAGTATATTTTATAAAATATTATTCTTATATAATTAAAATCTCTATTACCTTACTATTAAAATATATACTAGGATATATATATTATTAATAGCCTTAATAGCTTTATTAAAAGCGCTGTATTTTTAATTTAACTTAATAAGTAGTAAAATATATATTAAATTTAGCTACTAAATAAAACTAATATATAGTTACTATATAAAATCCTTAACCTTATAAAAAATCCTTAACACTAATGCCTAGCTTATATAAAAGCAATATACTATATTATATTAAAGTTTATTATATATATAAATTTATAAGAATATTATTACCTTCTGCTTAAGGCTTTAGGTTTAATTATAAATAAGACCTGTATTTATCCTTAGCTATTTATAAAAGCTAATAAACATAGCCTTTTTTATATAAAATAAATTATTAAATATTATATTAAATCCTTTAAGAAGCTTACTATAATATTTATAAAAGGCAGTATAAGTAAAATTCTAAATAATATTACTATTTTTATTTTATTCTCTCTCTCTTCTTAAGCTAATAAAGAAGCTAATATAAGCTAATAGGAAAATAGCATATTAAAGGTTATTATTAATATTATTATTATTATTTATAATAAATAAATATATAATATACTCCCTAGCTATAGCTAGCGCCTTAACTATTAAAGTTATATAAAAGTGCACTAGTTATCTTAAATAATTTATATTAATATATTATACTTATATAAATTATTAAGAAATACTAGCAGAATTCTATAAGATTTTTAACTACTATACTTATTATAGGCATTTATACAGCCCCTGCTAGCTTAGTATATTACTAATAGGGGTTTTAAGGTTTTATTTATAATAGAGTTAAAATATATAATTATTATAACCTAGCCTTATAGTTATAATAATAGGCCACCCTTAGTAAGCAGTATTAAATAAATATTAAACTATTTAGCTAATTAAGAGCTACTTAATAAAATTAACTATTAAGTATATTAAAAATAACTTAATAAATTTAATAATTAAGTATATTAAGGATATTAAAATAACTAAATATATAAGTTATATTTATATTATTTATTTAAAAAGTTTAATTAGCTAGTTATTATTACTTAATAGTATTTATAATATAAATAAATTAAAACCTAGATATTTACTATATAAGTATATTAACTAATTATATAATTATATATACCTTAAATACTAACCTAACTCTTTATTAATATAAACTTAAATAGCCCTCTTATTAAAGCTATTTACTTAAATAGTTTATTTTTTAAGAAATAGTATTCTTACTAACTATAAAAACCTAGTTTATTATATAATAATAACTCTTATTTAAAAAGTTACCTTAAACTTTTAAAGTAATATTAATTAAAAAAGTATTACTTTAAA